ATGTCAGGCTTATCGTGCCAACGTACCTGAGACTCCGCTGCACCCATGGATTTGGCCATCAAAACCATGGGAGCGTGTGCACGTAGATTATTGTGGTCCAATTGATGGCTGGTGGGTATTAATTGTCATTGACGCTCATTCAAAGTGGATGGACGTGTTTCCGTCGCGATCATGCACGTCCGAGACCACCATAAACATTTGCGCGCTTCATTTTCCTCGGGGGCTGCCAAAGACTCTTGTGTCTGACAACGCACAATGTTTCTTGTCTGAGACTTTTCAGACGTTCTGTCGCTCGAATGGCATTCATCATTTGACTTCTCCTGCACTGTCTCCGAAATCTAACGGGTTGGCGGAGCGTAGTGTTCAGACATTGAAAAACAGCATTAAAAAGCATACATCAGGCACGATTCACACCAAAATAGCGCGTTTTCTGCTGCGCTATCGCACAACGCCGCACACAACCACCCAGGTGTCCCCAGCGGCATTATTCCTTGGCAGGACGGTGCGAACCCCGCTGGATCTGGTCAGGCCTGATCTGAGTGGTAGAGTGAGGAAAAACCAGGACAAACAAAAACAGTACGCCGACAGGGGCTCCTATGAACGTTCCGTGTGCGTAGGCGATGCTGTGTTTGTGTCAGCCGTTGATCGTGTACAAAGTGCTGCTGGTTGTAAATGGCTGCCGGGTGTGATAGTGGTGCGGAAGGGAGTAAAACTGGCTGTTCAGTTGCAGGATGGGAGAGTGATCTGGAGGCATCTGGATCGGGTCCGGCCGCGCCGGACTGTGGCCGACGTACCGCCGCCGACCGCTGGACGGGCGCTGGACCTGGATCGGACGCGGCGGGACCTGTTTGATGCCGACGTACCGTCGAGGGCCGGACTGACGGCTCGGGCGGTGGCCCCGGCTGCTCCGGACGGGTCACCGTCGGTCCCGGCGGGCGGACCGCCGCCGGCACCGCGTTACAATCTGCGTCCGCGAGAGACGTTACGGCGGCCGGACCGGCTGTTGTGTGAGTGAAGTTTGTGAGCTCTCCGTGCCTGATATCGTTAAAAGTGACCAGAGTTTTGTTGTTACGTTAGTTGTGATTATGTTATATTGCGGGGTGGAGGGATGTCATAACCGGCTCTCGCCTCTACCGGCGGCCTCCCTCCCTCTCTCCCTCGCATACTGGTCACCCCTCTCGTCCCAGTGGACTCGCCCGGTGCCTCGGGCAGTATCTGTGACACGACCTCGGGTGAGCGGCCGGGAAGCAATACAGTTTTGAACGGGACGCCGTGCTGTCTACTTCACAGACCATGCGCTGATTCTTTCAAGAGGGACTACCCTGTACTCAGCCTGTGACTATCCCAGACCCTGGCTCCAGCCAAGGCTGGCCCCAGCAGAAGGCGATCGCGTTTGCTGCGCCATCTACAATACTATCAGCGCCATCGTGCGCTTCTACTGAGAAGCTTGGCAATGGGTGACGGGAGATCAGCTGCAGCTTGGGTGTGATTAATTTCCATGGTTATCTGACGATGACACTGGTTCTGACACGACTTTTTTCAATGACATTTACCGTTAAATTGATCTGCGAATAACTTTAACACTGACCCTAGAATGCTTATTCAAGCTAGACTTACAGATGCAGGAAAAACCGGGAGAAACCAAGAGGAGAAACTAGTGCGGAAAAACCTTTGAGTTGGTAGCACTTCAGTTCTGAGTTATGCTACCAAATGTTGTCGCAAATGGGGACTTTCCTGCAATGCTTGCGACAAAAGCGCAGTTTACGCGAATATGCAATTAGTCTGCAAGGGAATAATTAGCTTCAATAAATAAAGTAATTCATTTTCAGCCGTAATATCCTGCTCTGCTTTGTTTAATCTGAAGATCTTGGGTTTTATTGATTCGAGGCAAGTCAAAATATGATGGATGTTTTGTCTGTCTGTCGCTGTTTCATGGGCCAATGCTGAGGCTGCTCCTGCAATCGGACTTCATGACTTGTGTTTAAATCAGAATGCAATTGGAATTAATTACAGATCCCAAGGGAGGAGGATTGGTTTTAAGTTTTCATAAACGTGTTTGTTTTTAAACGATGACATTGAATTGCCACTATCCATTCCAATTGCTACTGCTTTTTTCGGCAGGAAATTACTGAAACCATGGTCCTGAGTGGGCTAGCTTTAAACATAGATTGGCTCCATCAATGTCTTTATTTATCTACATCTAGTACCTTGCACCGTTTTGAAACAATTGAGCAAGATGGCTTCAGCAAGATTGAGTTGTGTGATTGGCGGCTCAGGGGAGGGGGTATCTGTACTTTGGAGCGTGTGCTATTCCCCCTCCTCATCCTGCAGTCCCAAAAAGTTAGGAAAAAATTATTTACTTTTGAAGTTTTCCTCCCATAGAAAGAAAACCTAACAATTGAGCAATTTGAATTGGAAAAAAATTATTTTAAACTGCATTGCAAGTCATATGTGGAGGTGAATTCTGATGAGTTTTAGGAAATTGGAGATACTTCCCCCACATCATCTCAATCACCTTTCTGGATCAGTCAGTTATTTGTTTTGTGACTCGTAATGGTAGGCTATGCTTACTGCTTAGCTGCAACTAACCTGCTTGCTAAACACATTGTTTTACCACCTATATACCAGGCCTGGGACAAATCCCTAATTCAATATAACTTTGACTTGAGCCTTGAGGTTAGCCCACTGAACATAAGACCTTTGAGCTGGCTGTATTGAGTAATCAGTCAGTCTATTAGGTAGTTTGTCTCTAATCCAGTCCAGTGTTGTCCAATGTTTAGTCCTATTGGGAATCCTCATTTTTTTTCTTTCTCATATTTCTCCACAATCAACAAAACACTATCTTTTCAGGTGTTTGCCACCATATCTGTCATCATTTATCGATAATCGAATGGTGTGCCATCTATGTTATGTCTATTGGACATTATGCCATCTCTGTCATCGTCGTTGTGTATCATTCGTCTTTGTCAGATACCTCTCAGGCACCTGTCGAACAGTGTGCCGTCACAGCTGCGATCCCGTCAGTACACCTTTTACCAACCCTTTCCCCTCATTGCTGTATTCCAGAGATACGGTACCGACATGTGACTGCCGTTACCGTTGCCGGGTGGTGTGCTGAACGGACGGATACCTGAGGTGAGTACGGAGTACTGAATGGGTGCGGTCGCGGAGAGTCTGATTGTGGGGCCAGGTACCGTCTGGTGTCTGTCTGTCAAGTACCGCCGATAAGAATTGATGTGATAGTAGACGGGGTTTCGAAGATGATGATCGATTCAATATAGGTATCGACCGATACTCACAAGTACTATGATGCATAGATGTTATCAGAGTTATTGGATCACTGATAGTTTTTCTAAGTGGCAGTTTCGGATAGGTATAAGGGACATGTCATGTCTGAGATGTAGTTCAGACTCGTTGTTCTGAAGAAGAAGAACTGGAGAAGTGTAAAAGCAGCATGAAACCTCAACGATCTTTTCGATCGTTTTTGATCAACGATCAAACTTCTTTTTTGGCTTTTTGTTAGTTGTTTTAGTAAATTCACATTAAAAAATTCATTAGTTTGTAGATAAACTAGTGGGTCTAGATTCGCTATCGTTCTTAATTCTGCTTACAGAGTCGTAAGCAAATAGGCGATTTTCTCGTTTCAAAATAGTCAGTCCTCCTTTCATATAGGTATCCTCAAAAGTCAAAATGATGGGCAAAGGGAAAACGAATTCCCCAATGGTAGGCGGTGCATGTCAAAGATGCATCAGTCGTTTCAATCTTGTTGGCTTGCAAGCTGACTCAGCTACTCGTATTCCAAAATTTAATTTCTCTAATGCTTTGATTGCATGGTCGCCGCCGTTTGGAGATGTGTTTGATTGTAATTTGTAAGTCCTTGCTTATATTTTCTGTTGTGTGTTATTAAGTATGTGGTTATTCGTTTCCTCATGCTGGCGATGAATTTATTCATATCCTGGGGCTGCAAGCATGATTTATGCTTGATGAGCGGTTATTGGGCTCGTTGATACGATGTAATAACATCAAAAAGGGCGTAGCCAGACTTCCGTATGCTTCAAGTCATCAAGCGATACGAAACGGAAGAAATACTCGTTTGTTTTGCGTTTGTCGCGCTTGAAACTTGGATTAGGCTTATGTATGAGTGAAGCCTGGCTTAGAAACAAGTGTAAAAATGGTTATTTCCTTTTTTACCCTCGTTTCAATATTTTTATGCATCTTAGCTGCACGGCTGAGCTATTAAGAATAATGTCAGATCCCAGACTAATTATCGGCATTGATAACATCACTTAATAACGGTATTGATGCCATCATTTAGATATGTAATGATGAGTAGGCACTATTGGTACAGACGTCAGCATGGGTGCACTATCAAACTGTTCCCATCAGCAGTTACGAATCCGCACTGCGCCACAGCAGAGCGGGTTTACGGGGCTCACTAACTACTGACTACACTCAGTTGAGCGAGCTGCACTATCAGTTCTGGACTTCCTGATGTTTCCAGCCGTCGGGAGTCCCTGCGCTGGTCAAAATGTTTGCATGGTAGCTTGATTTCCACAATTGATTAAATGTGAATGTGAACCCGCGCTTGTGATTGTTTTTTTTATACTATGTTTCTTATTTTATTGTGCTTTTAGAGTTACATCACTGGTAGACCCAGGGGATGGCGGACGGGGGTATTTGGGGCATTTACCCCTCTGCAGTTTCCGAAATCGATGAGGCATTTTTTCTGCTTAACTTATACAATGATAAGACTCTGTATCGAATGGCCCATTAACGCTGAAAAATCAAATCCCCTAGGAGTGTTCGGCACTTTGAAATGGAGAACCTTAAGGTAGTAGTCCCCCGCAAGGTCTTACATTACCTGTCTGTATCTTCCAACGAGTTTCGTGCGAGCATGTCTTTATGGTTTTCGTATAATCTGTTCATTGTGAAATATCGGTTTGCATGATAACAATAAAATGCCCTCAAGCATTGTTTCCTCCAAGTTATGTAACGCTAGCGATACATTCTAAGTATTCAAAATGGATTACATGAGGAATGCAAACCGACAAATGAACGTTAAATCATTTGTTTGATGTAAAGCTACATAGGCGTTCGGCGCTGGCTATGGGTGCTTGATATATTTTGCAATAGGGTTTATCATAAATGATAATGTGTCTGGCATACACATTACACGTGTCATGTGGTGCCTGCATATAGAAAGGAATAGGGGAGAAGCGGAAAGGTGTACCAATGAAGGCCGCATGAATTTATCGCCAAATTTGTCGTACCATTGATATGTATAACTGTGCGGGGTCGTCTACGCAGCGCTGGGGGGCGCCGGGCGGGTGTGAGCGTGGTGAGTCGGGGAATAGAGCTCGGAACTGAAAGGTGTGTTTTGTCGGCTGTGAGGCCGGCCGGGCTGGTGGTGATCTACGGACAGATCAAGTGGCGACGAGGCTGAGACCGTTCTCGCCTTGCCTGTGACCGGTGGTGGAACCACCATGGCGTCGGCCCTTATCGGGAGCGTCGGTGAGTACGGCGACGACGGCTCGGACTTTAACGAGTACCTAGAGCGTTTTGAGCAGTTTTTGGCTGCTAATGCGATCTCGTCAGCGACAAGGAAACGTGCGGTGTTTCTGAGCGTCTGTGGTCCCAAAGTGTATTCAACTCTGCGCAGCATTTTCGCGCCTGATCTGCCAGCCACGAAAACTTTCGAAGAGTTGGCGGAGGCAGCGCAGCGGCATTTCGCTCCGAGACCGGCTATAATTGTGTCACGGTACCGGTTCAACCGTACCACGCAGCAAGCCGGACAAACAGTTGGAGCGTTTTTGGCAGAGCTGCGGCGCATTGCCAGAGACTGTGCCTACGGAGACCGCCTAACTGAGCAGCTTCGGGACCGGTTCGTGTGTGGGATAAGTAACCCGGGAATGCTGAAGCGGCTACTGCAGGAAGGTGACAATCTGTCGCTCGAACTGGCTGTCAAGATAGCGACTGCGATGGAGACAGCAGCCGCTGACCTGCAGGATATCGCCTCATCGGCAGCCCCGCTGGCAGGCACAGCAGTGACCGGCCCGGACCCGCTGCACGCAGTCTCCGCTGTCGCGCCTGCCGCTGCCGCGGGGCCAGCCGCGGGAGGGCTGAGGCGACGACCCCGCGCATTTCATACACGCACACGCCGGCCGGCCGAGACGGCGGCCAGTGCTGGCAGCTTGCCAAGTGATTCAGCCGGTGGTTTACCGTGCAGCCGCTGTGGCAGGCGTAGTCACCAGGCCGAGGAGTGTCCCCATAGGCGTGCGACGTGCTACGGCTGTGGCAAAGTGGGCCATCTCAGGAACGTCTGCCGAGCGGTACACACGGTACTGGCAGACGACACGGAGCCGGATGGCGACATGTATCAAGTAAACGCCACAAATACTCCACACCGGGTTCCTGCCTACAGGACGACGGTGGATGTCAATGGAAGGCCGCTTGTGTTCGAGGTCGACACTGGAGCGAGCCGAACGATCATCAGCGAATCTGTGTGGCGCTCAGAGCTGAAGAGCACCCCTCTGGAGCCGGGTCAAGTGGCGCTAACCACTTACACTGGAGATGCACTGCCGGTGCGCGGTCAGCTGACTGCACACGTCTCGTGCGGCGGCCAGCAGACCACACTGACTCTGCTCGTGGTTCGGGGTGACGGCCCGTCACTTCTCGGCCGGGACTGGCTGGCCAAGCTGCGGCTACCGTGGAACGACATATTCAGTATCGCAGCACCCCTGTGGGATCTGCAGCAGCAGTACAGGGCGCTGTTCCAGGACGACGGTGGCACCTGCAAGCAGACTGTGAGTTTGGATATCGATCCGTCGGTCTCGCCCAAGTTTTACAAGCCTCGGCCCGTCCCTCTTGCGCTGCAACCGCTGGTGAATGCGGAGCTGGACAAACAGATCGAACGGGGAATTCTACGACCCGTTAAGACAGCGGAGTGGGCAGCGCCGGTCGTCACAGTGCTAAAGAATGACAAGAGTTCGGTGCGTATGTGCGGTAGCTATGATCTTACCGTTAACAAAGCCTCACGGGTGGAGCAGTATCCGCTCCCTCGAATCGACGAGCTGCTTACAAAGTTGGCCGGAGGCCAAAAGTTCACGCGCCTGGATCTCAAGGAAGCGTACCTGTTGGTGCCCCTGGATGAACAAAGTCAGCGCTACACCGATATCAACACTCACCGAGGCCTGATGGCAGCCACACGCCTGGTCTATGGAATAGCATCAGCTCCAGCGGCGTTCCAGCGCATGATGGAGCAGCTGCTGGCCGGCTTGCCGCACGTGGCCGTGTTCCTCGATGATGTGTGCATCACGGGCCGCAACGATACGGAGCACCGGCGCAATGTGGACGCGGTGCTGCGGCGTCTGCTAGACGCTGGTCTACGGCTCAACCCGAGCAAGTGTCAGTGGATGGCCAAGGAAGTGGAGTACCTGGGGTACCGGGTGGATTGTAATGGCATCCACCCCACAGCAGCCAAAGTGACGGCGATCGTGGAGGCACCGCGACCGGCGAACGTAAAACAGCTGAAGGCGTATCTCGGCCTGCTCATGTATTATTCAAAGTTCATGAACAATCTGGCCTCCGTGGCGGCGCCGCTCTACCGCCTCCTGAAGACGGGTCAGCCGTGGCGCTGGGGCCGGGCGGAGGACACGGCGTTCGCTCGCACCAAACAGCTGCTGGTGCAAGCGCCCTGCCTCGCTCACTATGACGGGACCCTGCCGCTCGTGCTGTCGGTGGATGCCAGCCCCTACGGGCTCGGGGCAGTGCTGTCCGAAGTGGACTGTTCCGGAATGGAACGGCCAGTGGCGTATGCATCGCGGAGCCTGGCAGCAGCAGAAACCAACTACAGTCAACTGGACAAAGAAGGACTGGCGGTGGTCTTTGGAGTAAAAAAGTTTCACCAGTTCTTGTGCGGTCGGCACTTCACTGTGCAGACGGACCACAAACCTCTCCTGGGTCTGCTAAGCAGCGACAAGCCTCTGCCGCTGATGGTATCGCCCAGGGTGGCCAGGTGGCGACTCGCGCTGCAAGCGTACCAGTACAAGCTGGTGTACGCCCCCTCGGCACGGCAGGCTCACAGCGACGGACTGAGCCGCCTGCCCCTGGCAGTGTGCCCTGCTAGTGTTCTAGACCCCGGGGACATTGTCTGTCTTCTTGAGTCGGTGGACCAGATGATCCGCATCGAGCAGATCCGTCGACGCACGAACTGTGACCCCGTTTTGTCGCGCGCATATCAGGCGGTGATGAACGGTCGTTGGACGGAGCCAGTGGATGAGGAACTTCAACCGTTCTATCGGCGTCGCCTCGAACTCAGTGCTCAAAATGGAGTGGTCCTGTGGGGTAACAGAATCGTGTTGCCCACGGCCCTTCGGAAGCAGTGGCTCTCGCTTCTGCACGAAGGCCACCCTGGAGTGGTGGCCATGAAAGCAAAGGCTCGCGCCCACGCGTGGTGGCCGGGCATGGACGCAGCTATCGAGTCGACGGTTGAGAGCTGTCAGGCCTGTCAGCTGAGCCGGCCGCGGGCACCTCCGGTGTCTGAGAGTCCGTGGCCGTACCCGGATGCGCCCTGGGACCGCCTGCACATGGACTATGCGGGGCCAGTCCATGGGATGATGATCCTGGTCATCGTGGACGCTCACTCGAAGTGGATCTCAGCGTACCTGACACCGTCGGCTACAGCAGAAGCGACCATTGAGCGGTTGCGGATGGCGTTTGCGGAGCACGGTGTCCCTCGCGTGGTGGTGAGCGATAACGCGGCGGTGTTCACGGGAGAGGCTTTGCGTCATTTTCTAGCGCGTAATGGAGTGCAGCAGGTGTTCTCCCCGCCTCTCCACCCCAAGTCGAACGGGCAAGGAGAAAGCGCCGTAAAGGTGATCAAAACGGGGCTTCAGAAGCGGACTGATGGATCGCTGCAAACGCGTCTGAGCCGCGTTCTGTTCCATTACCGGACGACACCCCATTCAGCAACGGGAGTGACGCCCGCGGAGCTGCTCCATGGGCGCCCGCTGGTCACTCACCTGGCGCGGCTGCAGCCGGACCGCGCCCTGCTCGACCGTGTCCGAGCCAATCAGGAACGCCAAACGCTGGCCAACAACCGCCATTCGGTTGCAGTGCGACAGTTTGCGCCCGGTGATCTGGTTTATGTGTCAGCAGTGGATCAGAGGCCCTGGCAACCGGCCGTGGTGGCATCTGTCTCCGGCAGTCAGTGTGATGTGAGGCTGCCGGATGGCCGTGTGTTCAGACGGCATCTGGATCACCTGCGAGCTCGGTCGGCCGAAGGCTCGCCGGTGGAAAGGGAGGTGTTGCCGGTTCCGGATTGTTCTACGTCACTGTCTGAGAGCGTCGCTGGTCGAGCGAGTGCTGATCGTGAGGGTGGCGGTGGTGTTGGATCCCCCAGCTCACCCTCAGTGAGTGTGAGACGCTCACACCGCGAGCGAAGGGTGCCGCTTCGGCTGCTCGAGACGTAAACTGCACGGCACTAGTGGTATAGTGCTAATGCAGGTCTTTCCCCTGTGTGATGTCAATCGTTTTTTTTTTTGCAACAGCCACCGGTTTTAGTTCAGGAATGTCTAGTCCTTTGTTGCTTACTGATTTGGACTGCCTTTATCTTACGGTGGAGGAGTGATATGTATAACTGTGCGGGGTCGTCTACGCAGCGCTGGGGGGCGCCGGGCGGGTGTGAGCGTGGTGAGTCGGGGAATAGAGCTCGGAACTGAAAGGTGTGTTTTGTCGGCTGTGAGGCCGGCCGGGCTGGTGGTGATCTACGGACAGATCACCATTACGTCACAGGTATATGGAATGTGAGCTTCTGTGGCAGGTCTCGATCAAGCTACATTGAACTTTGGGTAGATTAGCAACCCATAAGCCAACCATTTCCAATCAGTCTTGCACGGTGGTGAACTGAGTGCGTCATCGATCAGATTATTACCTAATTAAGAAGATTGCATGCACCGTCTGTAAAGGGCTGATTACTCGCACAAAGTAATTCCGGTTAACCCCTTCCTCTGGCCGGGTTTATCGAAACTGATCAAAAAATGTGACTTACAACACTGGGTTAGCGGTCAGTGTGTAGTGTAAAATGTCAGTTCAAATGTCAGCTTCCTCTCTCGTAAATCGATCCTACGTGACAGCTTCCTGCTTCCTACGCCTACCGGTTCCCGGTGTTAACCGTCAGTTTTCGCATGTATATTGTGAACGGTCTCAATGCGCTTACGTGTGATCTTTATCAGATTGTGGGACATCATTCGTGTCCCTCTGTCGTCACCTCTGTGTCTCTGACGTCATACCCGTGTATCTGACGTCACACTCGTATTCACAGACCGTCCGTAACCAGGGTTATCTATCCATGGAGCGGGTCGGCGGCGAGATGGCCAGACAGGTAGCGCCTCCGGCGGGGTTTTCTCGCACGTACTGATGACCTCACTGACACCGTGTGCTGCCGAGTGTGTGTGGGGTGCAGCATGTGGGAGTGAGTTCCCTCAGGACAGCGCCAGCACTCGCCGCACCGCTTTCTCTACTTCACAGGGACGAGAGGCGAGAGTTTACATAGTGGGACTCGCGCAGCTTTGGTGTATGGCTGAATATGTGCGGTTTTTAGCGTTGTGTAACGGACGGAAGGAAGGCTGGGTCACTCGTGGTAGGCTGATTTTGCATTTAAATTTGGTTTATATAAATCGCGAGTTAGTAGTTACCACATGCCGCCCACCAGGAACTATTTTTATTATTGCACGGTTGCAGGATGCAGGTTGGGCTTTTTGGCTGATTTTGACCGTGTGATACTTTGCTTTGCTAACTATTGTAACACTGGGTTTGTCACAGTGGTGACTTGTAAAGCGTCATTCGCCAGTGCTTTTGTTTGTGTGCTGTTAGGTCTTTTTTTTTTAGATAATATTTTCCCGGTTGTGAAGCTAGGTCAAGAATTTCCTCACGTCAGCTAACTCCATATAGTGCAGGCTTCAGATAAAACACTCGATGATAAAGCAGATGATTTCCTCTTTCTTATCCATGTGGGAGTCCCAACTGACTGCTTCTGATAATCTTATTCTGATAATTGATTGGCCGGTGCTTCATCGCTGATTGACTGAACAGAGGCCGGCTTCTCTATACAGTGTCTCTATCTGGGTCTGGTCGTGAGTGTGCGACTGATTGCTTTGCCATACCTTTTCTTATTGTAATTCTATGCTCTTCAGACCTGGGCCAGATAATGTTACGTCGTTAATTTAGTTCCTTGTTTTGTTTTTGCTAGATACTTTGATGCATCATAGTCACCAATTGGGTAACTGGTTTGGTCCAGCCTTGAAACATCCTTGAAGTTGCATGCTGAAAAAGAACTCGATTATCCAGTTTTTTTTTTCTTCGCCTGAATGTGTTATGACGAGCTGTACATAGTTCAATCTATTGTGTAGCTTGGAGATGGGCCGCTGGCTAATTTCCAGCAGTTACCAGGCCCTGTTCGGTCACCAGTCAATTATCGCCTTCAGCCGTCTGACGAGTGATGCGTGGATCCCGTGTCCGTTGTGCACGGAAACCGTGCGTTCCGTGCGCTGTGACACGGGTGAACGCTGAGCCTACACGGGCATTAATAAATACCGAGCTGTCACGTCTACTGCCGAGTGGAAAAACGGGACGAGATGTGCGCTGTACGCTGTACGCTCAGTCACGTTCGGTTATCGTGCCCTGGCCTGTATTCGTTATTGCATCACAGGGCTCAGTCGTATTCTGTGAGCGAGTGTGGGTTTGGGAGTCTCCTCTCTCCTCCCTTGGCTCTGCCCTCTCTCCCTCTTTTTGTCCGAACCACTGTCGCAAAGACGGTCATTGAGGTCTCCGGGCCGGCGCACCGCCGGCGCCCACTATACTGTGCTTTGGCTGGCAGTGAACATATAGAATAGGAGCATGGCACCAGCACTGAGAGACATAAGATGCGTCCTAAGGCATTGGGCTTCTCGAACGTATCTATAAGCTACTACGGATCAATATATCTGTACCAATGATTGTGAGACTGACGAGTCCATCTGACCCGATCACTGATAGTCTCCTGCTACATCAGTTCAGCGTCAGCATTAATCATGTCCAAATATGTTACACAATCGCACCTCGCTGGATTTGCGGCTACATCAAACACAGCACGCGTTATATCAAAGGAGCACTCACAGTCTCACTTAGGGGCGCACCGGTCACGTCCAAATAATGAACGTAATGAATAATGATAGCGGTCAGCTAGGATATGTCAATTGTTAAGCTCATTCGGAGCGCTATCTCTGGTTGTTGAATGCAATGACTCTGTCGCCACCCAAGCCTGGCGAGACTGGTATCTCAGCTAAACAAACCAATATAACAGCCCAACGGGACCAGAATCCAGTCTGGGCGGCGTTATATCTGAGCTGAAATCCACTGGTATCTCAGCTCAGATAAAATAGACGTCCATCTATGCTGTTTAACCAGCGTCCCAGCTGATCGGGTCCTTCTGGCCAGCCGCCCACCTCCAACCGGGCATGGTACACCGTAGAGGTGACATGACTGCGGTCACGGCCATTGGGCGGCGTCACGGGCGTGACCGGACAGTGTGACGGGCGTGACGGACCGTCACATTGTTCCGGGACCTCAGTGCAAACACAATGGTCCGCGTACCCCGTCGTTACGCGCCTGTGGTCACCCGGTATGTGCTGCAGAGTGGACGCGCCAGGGGTTGGCCTGGGGTCCGTGCTTGGACCGGCGATATATGTATTTATGTAATTCAAATGGGAAGCTTTCCGTCATAGCGAAGAGTGCAATCGAATTTCACATTGTGGGGCTTGGAAAGATGAAAAATTACTGCACGCAAAAGCGGAGCATTGTGGGAATATGTAAGTAGGCTCCAGCGACAACCGACACAGGCGAGAATCCAGATCCGCTTGTGTGGGTGTAATCCTACCGTTTGGTGCAGTCGCGATACGGTCGGTCCAGGCGGGTCCGAGTGCTGGACTGGGGGGGGGGGGGCACGACTGGGGGCCGCCTCTCGTCGTCGGCTGCGGACGGACCTCGTCGGCAGTCGGTCGGCTGAGCCCGGGGCGGCCGGTGGGTGCGGTCAGACCGGTGTGCGTGCCGCGAGAGGTGCTCTGTAGTGCCGGCGATTCACCAGGCCGTCGAATCTCGAAGCTGGACGCATTCCGTGTTGGTGTCGAATTTTTTACCCGTCCAGCAGTGCCTTGTGCTCGTGTGGCGCCTACTACAGCCCCTTCAGCAGGGGCAGACTGCTGAGCCGTATAGCGACAGGTGAAGATTGTGAAGGCTGGATCCAGTGAGGACTGATGCTGACCGTTCGTTAGTCGGTCAAATACTGACTGCTGATCGCTGGCCGCTGACCGATTACGGCTGACCTCTGCCTGCTGAGCGCTGCCCGGCGATCGCTGACGCTGACTATCTACCAGCGCCCTCCATCTGTGCTCTGTGTCTATATCTCACGGCGCTCCGTCGATCGCTGACCATCTACTAGTTCCTATATCGGTGTCTTGTGTCAATATCTCACTACCTCCCCGTCGACTCCGACAGAGCGCGGCCCGGCGGCCGACCGTCGGCAGCCATGGGCTGTCCGCGCTCTCGGCGTCAGCTGGCCTTCTGCTTGGCCATGCTGCTGCTGCCCTTCTCGCTGATCGTGCTGCTCAACCAGCCAGGTGAGTGCCGTACCGCGTCTAACGAGCAAGGCAGAAACGTGTGGGTGTAACGCTGTTCGTTCATCTAATAATGGCACCTCAGATGTGTTCAGTGTTGCAGCGTGTACTATCCATGTGGAAGTTCCATGCTTAACAACGCAGCGCCAGTACAGCGGCAGAACAAAGGCAGTAGATCGTCATGGTTAGAGCTGCAATCCTAACTCCTCTTGCATCAAGTTCCTTGCACCCCAAGGCTGCTTTGGCGTGTTTAGCCAAATGATCTACATTTTTATGCTCGGTATGCATTGTTGCGAGTGATTCCGATGGCAGTGCAATGGAAAATTTGGGCTGTGCATTACTTTAGTATCTATGTGAGACAATTATTGTTATTTTTTACCCTTGCTGATGTGACAAGTTAATTGCGTAGGTTTACAGACAGCTGGATGACAGGCATTTTTCAAGTTCAAGTTCAAGTTCATTTATACACGTTAAATTCACATAAATGCGACTTTTCATTAACGCAATGTCAAGTGATTAAAAAAGGGCACGATGTCACAGTCACACCACATGTTCATTATCACAGTGAATCGGCATACGGTCAACGTCTTCACGTCTGAGTTTGGAGCAAGTGAACTTTTACAGCTCTCTTAACCCTCGCATGTGTAGGGGGGGGGGTCGGATGGACCCCCCCCATGGTTTTTCGCGAATAACTCGCGTAAAAAGCGGCCGATCGCGACGAAACTTTCAGTACCCTCTCATTGATCAATTTTACACCTACCCTGAAAATTTCATGACCCTGACCCAAATGACCTTTGACCTGTGACCTCTTTTCCGAGACCATGTTTGGCCGGAATCGCGATTTCGCGTATGTCGGCTCGCACTAGCCGCGCTGTTTGCAAGCTTTTCGTGGTTTCAAACGTTCAAACATGTGATTTGATGTTACTCCCGTGTGTGTCAAGGTCACCTGAAGGTCAGGTCAGGTCATTGACCTTTGGTGACCTCGGGTGACCTCGGTTCACTTTTTCGAGTTTTACATGTTTCTAGGCTAGTTTTTGGAGCTGAATTCGAATTTAGCAACCATTTGAACATTTACGAAGTAGTTTTGGTGACTTCGTAACATGTTACGAAGCTGTCAGAGGCGGTTGACACGTACTACGAATACCGTCACGACGCCTACTGGTTGACCTGACCTGACCTGACCCGACCTGGTCTAAATGCTTCAAGACATCATCTGTGATCAAAACTAACACGATATTCGTGATCAGCACCCCGAAAAAACCCCTTAGCAGCCACACTTTACGACTTTCTAACAGGTCCCGATTTTCCCGACTTTGGGTCATTGACCTGACCTGGAAGGTCAACCAATGACCTAGGACCTTAAAATTGGGTATCATCGGCTTCCTCTCGTCACGGGCAACACGCTCGTTTTTTCCGCGAAGCTCTATCTCGATCAGGGGCCAAACGGCAAGGGGGGGGTCCAACCGACCCCCCCCCCCCCCCTACACATTAGAAGCTGGCAAACGCCGCACACATGCGAGGGTTAAATGTCATTCGCCCGTCATAAACTGCAGTGAACGCGTTGTATGCGTCCACACCACTATACAGCAGCTGCCTTCGCCCCGTCTCAGTATGTATCCACGGTAATCGCAGTCTCTGTGCGTTGCGGGTGTCATGTCCGTGGTCTGTCGCGTTTTCAAGCTTGCACGCGATAGCAGAAGGCTGACCCGTCTGAACGATGATTCGCACGTTGCATATTCTGTGGTACAGGACTAAGTTTGTAGCGCTGAGCCACTTCAGCTCATCCAAGACATCGCTCACATGGCAATACTTCCGCCGGCCACTTAAACGCGTGCACAAAAATTCAACACTTTTTGTACCCGGTGAAGCTCAGTGGTGCTGCATGTCCCGTAAATAGATATGCAGTAGCGCAGTGCAGACAATACGAGAGAGGACACGATCGGTATCAGCGTGGACGGCGGTAACACGTTCTTCGTGTTGTTGCGCCAATAGCGATCCCGTGCCCTTTGACACGACTGGACACGACATAGCTGACAATTGACATGGCCATGATACGTCAGATGTCTGTCAATAACGAGGCCGATATTTTTGACAGATTCGGGCTCGTGAACAGTTGCATTGGCGAAGCGAATGCTACCAGAAGGCAGTCCTTTCAGCATCTGACGTGTTCCGAGTACAATCCACGTTACAATCCACGAGTTTTTGACGCGTTCACTTTCATGTTGTTTGAGCAAAACCTTGCAAACATTCTCGTCTAGAGTCCGCTCCATTCTCAGGATTAAGCCAGCTAAGTCAGCCTTTTTACCAGATACTAAGATCTGAGTGTCATCGGCAAACTGTACGATCGGGACATCAGGGACGTGGAGACACAGATTGTTTGCGAATATGGAGAACAGCAGACAGCTGAGAGATCCCCTTGGAAAGCTTCGGATTCTATTGACAAAGACTTTGAAAGAATGACAGACCTGTCAGCTTAGCGCAATGAGCTCTAATCTGCGGAGAATTACCTTGGAGATAGTGCCTGAACCATACCGTGTCTTTTTCATGATTAATCAAATCGAAGCATCTTATTTCTGAGCTAAGTGTATAATTTTACGCTTTAGGAACAGAGTCGCTGTGCGCCCATCTCGCCACCATCTTGGAGAGTTGGACCCACTTTGGTTGACCTGTAGCACACAGCTGCCGGTGGGTCGGGTCAGATCAAGTAACAGGTGTGTATCGGATGTCGCGTCTGACCGGTCCTGCCCGCCTCCCGACCGGACCCGGCGTGGGGGATCCGGTGTGGGGAGCTGCTGGGTCCAACGTAGTAGTGGGTTTGGCTTGTTGTTTGGTGTGCGGCTCGACGAGTGTGGGAGGAGGTTAGCATGTGGGCGGATTTTTTTGGAGCTTATCGCTTGAGCCTGTATGCCCACTGAACAATAGACGCTAAGATTTGAGGCCTGCACACTGCACCTGGCGTTCTATCTCCAGCGGCCTGTATTCCTCATCGAAGACCACAAGCGCACGGATCAGTTAGAGCTAGCAGTCCCAACCGGGCTTTGGACACCTGTAACCACAGGCAGCGACTGTATCACGAAACGAAACAAGGCTGCTGGGCTCCAAAGAACGAGCATTTGGGGACAAAGTCGGTATGAGCCGATCGTACGGCCACCAGTGCGGATCTTTTTGGTATACTGAACCCCAGCAGATGGTCGTTCCGCTCGCTGGGATCTGTCTTGCCTTCTGGAGTCAACAATCACCAGATATGGCCTTGTGCGAGGATCTGCTTTGTTGTAACACAATCCAATGCCGACCAGCTACGGGCCTGGCTTATCGCTCTGCACCCGCTCTAGATAAACAGATGGGCATCGTTAAGAACAAAAACACAGAGCAAAGTAGTGTCTGCGGTTGCTCATTTCTGACATTGAAGAAGAATGCGGGTGTGACAGTGGTTTGCTCTGTGCCGTAGACCATTTTCTTAGAAGGAGGGGTGGAGGGGGGGAGAAGGGAGGCTCGCGCAGCCGCGCTTTTCTATCATTATCTGGCTCGGTGTCCCTACCTACGAAGGCCTCACGTCAAAACGATACTGGTTCACACATTATGAGCCCTGCTGGGATCAACAGGGTCCAGTTGACGGCTGAAGGGAATGCGGCCCGTCTGAATGCCAATGACCTCACATTGTGGTCAATCATTCGTTACCTAGATAAACAATTGATTTATATATTTGCTGGTTAATGGCAGTGGCTATGTTTGTGCTCTTTTCGTCCACATTTGTATAAGCTTATTATCCCCTCTTTTCCATCACCTAGCTGCATGTAAATTCTGAAGAGTGAGACGAATACGAGCACGATACGTAGTTCGCCCGAAATAGAACGTGATTATGCTAATACTACTGCGACATTCACAGAATGAATGCCATTGACGTAAAAAGCGTCAATGTATTGTTTTGTCCTCCGTTCCGTCACTCAATGAAGCTTTCTTTAAAAAGAATGAGCATTGAGCCGCTTTGGAAAGCCCTAAATCAGTTGTTTGAAGTAATTGTACGTTACTGCTGAATGATTGGCAGGGATGCTGAATCAGCACGATGAGTGTTCAGTGCCGCCTAACGTTGCGTTTTCCCTTGCCTAGTGATGTAAACATCAACCCCATGGGCCAGGCCTGTGACCATTCGTGACCTCTTGATGCTGACGTTTACCCCTACATGCTGATCAGGGATGGGAGGCCGGGTGGTGTGGAGACGACATGGCCATCACGTTCATCTGCTGGTGAATGCCGGCCTCGTAACGCTAAATCACCAAAGTTACAAGTAAATTGGCTCTGCTTCTGGAAATGCGTCTGACTGAGCGACTGTACTGGCTGTAGCTGTACTGGGCTGTAATTGGGTAATCTGGGTGACCGGGGAAGACTGTGACTGAGTGACCCGACCTAACTCTGATTGGTTGACTAGACCCTGTGGTGATTTGATGGCCTCGCCTGTACTAACCGGGTGACCTGGCTCAGCGGTGGCTGGGTGACAAGTCCTGTAGTAACTGGGTGACCCGGCCTAACTCTGGCTGAATGACCCGTCATTCCTCTGATTGGGTGGCCCGACCCTGCGGTGGTTCGATGACCCGACCTATCGGTGACTGGGTGAACCGGGCCCACAGCCACAAGGACACACAGCTGAATGGGGGCAGGATCCGGCGCCCGGCGGGCCGGCCAAAATAGACACTTGTCGCCGTAATGGCCGGCCCAGCGGACTTAGCCGCTTCATAAGTGGCGTCGGATCGCTGAGCCCTTACAGGCAGCCGCTGGCCGTTTGCCAAGCTAGGAATAGCCGGCTGGGGGGTATTATCCGCATACGTATGATGCTCAAAGTAGGCGATATTTTAAACTTGGAACTGTGTTTCATGGCTGGCGGCGACACGGGCTGTAGTTAAAATGGTCCGTCTTAAAGTTACCATCTCTGCCAGATTTCACTCTAGCGGGAAGCCAACAGCTGGCTGAAATAGAATGTGCACCATCTAATTAACAAATCGCGTTATTTGTGAATCTAATGAAGATGGAAGGCGAAGAAGTGCCTACTTGAATTAATTGGAGCAAGGAATTCATCAGCACGCAATTTGTAGAATTATGTTCCGTGCTGCGATTTTTTGCTTGGATTCTCCAAATATTACTTTTTCGACGAAAAAATCATATTTCACGATGTTTTGTTAATAAATTCACCTATCCCTCTTCCATCATAGCATTTTATGCTAACCCATCCAACACCTTGCCTGTTCCTTCAGATCCTTCGGACTGTACCGGCAGGGGTCTTCCGTCAGGGAGTGATAAAACAGGTGCGTTTTATCTTCTTCGCAAACGTAGTTTTGATGTGCAGTTGGACATTGTTCTACCTTCATCGACATTAGACACGCCTCTATGTTTATGAAAGTGAAAATAATTAAGACCCTAAATAAATGCGAGTTTAAGTCCTGACCTGATCTGCTTGCTCTCTTTGCGCCCTTCGGCCTGCGCCCTGACCTGCGCGCTGTGACCCGCGCCCTGACCTGTACCCTGCTCCCCGCGCCCTGACCTGCTCTCTTCACCCCGCTCCCCGCGCCCCGTACCCTGACTTGCTCTCTCTGCTCCCCGCTTCTCTGCGTGTTGACCTGGTCACTGCACCACCACCCTGACCTGCTGTTCTGTGACCTCTGGCCGCAGTGGACACCCGGCTGGAACGGACGCTGGTTCAGCAGCTGGCGGAGCTGCGCCAGCGCGTGCAGCACGCCGAAATGACCAACAGGGAGCGGCGGAAAGACGTGATGGTGCTCAACAGACAGCTGGACACCTACGGCGCCGCCGGTGAGTGAGAGCAGGGAGACGGGTGGGGATCGGGGCATAGCTGGGGTACGGGGACGAGGGCGGGGACAGTGAAGCGCCGTTCGGTGTCTTTTTATCAGCACGCTGTCGGTTTTCTCAATATGGTAGTTCGTTGCTGGCGTTTCTTGGGCTCTCATTGATGAATTATGAAACGCAAAGACTGCGTGATTTCGACTTATGAGGAGCCGAAAAACTAATAGTGGTTCGCCACTTACCACCACCACTTATACTAACACCATTTCTATTTTCTATCAGCAAGCTAGTAGCCTGCTTTATTAAAAAGACGGCGATCGAACAGCGTCCGGGAATGGGATAAGGATGGAGACAGAAACGAGGATAAGCCTAAGATCGGGGTGATCGGTGATTATGACGGTGACGGTGAGTCGTGGAGGACTGGAGGAGGACTCGCCTATGACCGGTGAATGTAGGGGCAGCTCTCTACCCCGAGGGGGGATAGAGGGTTACGGAGACGATCCATTGATAATGGATTGACCCAGCTAGGAACGAATCTGAGATGGGGAGTGACGGCGACAGTGATTGAGACGGAGAGGCGAGTGTCGGGACTGACGGAGACGGAGACGGAGACGGAGACGGAGACGGAGACGGAGACGGAGATGAGAGGGGAGGGGACGAAGATGGGTGGGGACGGAGGTGGCTGAATGGTCGGTCCGACTCGGTGGTGACTGGTGAGGTAAATGAAACATAGGAGAGGTTGTGCTGCCTCTAAGGCCTGTGGCGAAATTTGAAAATGAAAATAATTGTGCAGGTACGGGCGACCTGTAACTTCATCCCAGCTCGGTACTCCAGGGGGGGGGGGGGGCGGACTACGCCACGCACTAAGCTAATTCCGAGCCAACCGGCTGTTGCATAACCATTGAAAGTGTCTGGCAGGCATATGAATGCACCACACATGTGCGTACTTTTATTCAAAGTGCAGGAACCATTAGATTGGTCTATTGTTATTAGTGGCTGACTCAGCGTCTCTGTTTCCGGCCATCTGATTGTGTTGGCAAGCCACATGCATTGTGCGTGTGGCAATAAGTGGCATGCTTTTGGCAGGTCTTTATTCACTAATGATTTAAATTAGTTCAATATTTCGCAAGTTGAACTGTTATTTGGTAAAGCTCGGGTCACTATTTAAATATTTGGCATGGGTAAATGAATAAGCCTTGCAATAAATATTCCGCTTTTTAGTTGTATTTTGCATTTGAAAATTTAAATATCTTTTCTTCATTTTGACTTGCTATTTTCCCAAATATTTTTGTTTTATGCTAGTTTTCTTTCCATTGTCGTAGTGGTAGCTGCCTACATTTTCGTCAAGCGCTAATGTGGAGCAAGCGCAATGGCTTTGATTCCGTTGTTTTGTGCCGTCTGTGTCGCAATATGTTATCGTCCTGCATTTTCTGTTTCTACCGTTGTTTTTCCTTGTGCAGGAAAAAGCCACCATGCTCAATTAACTTAATCTGCCCTGTGTTTGCCATCATGTATCCAGTGTTTACCATCACCAAAGTGGTCGGTATTTGTAGGACAGGTGTGTCGTTGGGCGCTCGATACCCTGGGGATCGGCCCGCTGTGGGTCGGGGGGGGGGGGTCGTACGACGTGCGTGTGGAGGTATCCGGGTGTTGGGGGCGTGGTCCCCCTGTTGACCTTCAACCGCTGACTCGTTAGTTATTGGTGCTGATGGTGGTGATTGTAGGGGGGGGGCGTGAGAGCCGAGGGAGGGCGGGGCTGACGCCAGTGACCCGGGATCGACCAGGCTCCAGTCGACACGTCCCATGCGCTACTACCCAACCCGCCCTACAAATCCTGGCTTAGTACGAGCGCCTCTGACACGCCGTGGGTAGTGCACCACGAGTGCCTCCGACGCGGCGCAAACGGCGCGCCATGGTCGTCTCCGGCGCGCCGGAAATGGAGCTGGCCTGTACTAGCGCCGCTGGGGCTCGGCTGAGCCGCGCTCGATCGAGTGAGAGGAATAAAGCTGCCGCCCAGCCGAGCTCAGCTCCGAAATAAAACGGCGACGGGAGCGGGACGGCGCGGCTGTAACTTCAGCCGTGGCGCGTCAGCGCCCCCTCCCGTCCCACGTCCAAATGTAATTGCTTTTTATAGTTATTAACGAATTAAACCTCAGATCCTATCGAAGGGATACTCCTTAACGAAATTAAATGTTATTGGTGCCACACAATTACGGAAAAAGTGATACTCGTGTGGGCCATGGCACTGAGCTGTGCTATGTTATTGTCAACCATTGATCGATATGTCGGTACTATGTTGCACGGTGCTCGTCGTGATGTATTGAGGAATTGGAGTAGGTGTCAATCATAGTTGATTGCTACATTTCGGTAGGTGTCAATTGATGTATTGATGCATTGGAGTAGGTGCCAATCATAAGTAATTGCTACATTTCGGTAGTTGTCGTGCGTGTTTTATTGATGGCTTCAAACATGCGATTTTCATTTCCTTATGCTTATGCTGCTAGTCTTGGGGAGGATGGTGATAGTAAATTATGTGCTTATTTTATCATTTACTTAATGGGGAGGGTTTAATGTTAAATTGAGCACTGCTATTTATGGTAGCAACAACTTGTGATCAGTGTTTCAAAGAATGTTATCCGCGCGTTCTCCATCTCTGTTCCCATAAATGAATGTTTGAAATGGTCACTCTGAAGAAGCCACAAGAATGAAATGTCAGTCTCTTTTATATAAATTCTGTTTTCCTTCATTTTTCTAAGAATTTTGAGCAAAGTATTTCATCGATCTCACTATAGTTTTATAATTATCAATGAATTAAACCTGAGATCCCATCGAAGGGACGCTCTTTACTAAATGAATTGTTATTGGTACCACACAGTTACGGAAAAAGCGATACTACGTGTGGGCCATCACCTACCTACTGTGTGTCATCACCTACCTACTGTGTGTGTTGACACAATTATGAGCTACTTATCTGTCGTACCTGTCTGTCCCTTTTCCCAATGCCTTTCGACGAGTAGCTACGGACGACACGTATTGATTCTTCTCATAATCGTGGGATGGACTGTGGGTCCGTGTATATTGGCTGAATACAGATCGACTGAATACAAACGAATTGGGCGGGCGGGGCACTGCCACTGTATTGTAGTAATGCGAGGGGCGAGCCTGTTGTTGGCGTGTCGTCGTCATACATGCCGTGAGGCTATTGGCGCAATGGCGCGCATAGCTGGGTAGGTGTATGAATATGTCAGGGCTCACATTGTTTGGCGTTGGTAAAGTCGGGCATTTTTAATTTGTTTCCATTGGAGGTGTTATTTTAGTTTCTTTGATTCTGCATTATTTCGGTAAAAGTGAACCTTTGCGTGTAGCCTGACGGATTAGTTTGCCTACTGTGGCTGGTGCAGTAGGGTTGACATTGATCAGCGCTATGACGCTAGCCCATCTTACGTTGTTTGCTAGTGCGAGTGGCCCTTGCTCGTGTGTTCCTCCCTCATTCATCCCGATGCGTCAGCCCGCCGTCATACGCAATCATATCCGCTGTCGCTGTGCCAACATTGCCAATCTCCTCCCTCAGCTGTGAAAGCGCCGTCCCAGCAGCAGCAGCGGCAGCAGGAGGAGGGACCTCCAGTGCTACCTCCGTCGCAGCAGCAGCTGGCGCAGCTCGCGCCGCCACATGAGCTGAACGACACGACGACCCCGCGAGGTCGGACGGTGCCCGGAGCGCTGCCAGCAGCTGTTTCCGGGGTGCCGCTCACTCATCTGCAGGAGATCAACAGCGATATGGAGGTAGGCAAGCTTGATGTGACACGGGAAGTGCACGATTATAGGACGCGGTGCGGCACTTCTGGGACTTGTCTTAAAATTTAAGCGACTTCCTGTAACATCAATAATTCAAGCTGGCATTCACAGTACCTACTTGTTATGGCCGTGACACCGTCAGCATTTTCCGAAACTTCCAGCAGGCACGTACAGCCCACCGCTAAAGTAATGTAGGGTTTTACCAATCTCAACGATTGGCTTTGACTGGCGATTGTTTAATGCGGAGTGATCGAAAAGAAGATGTCAATAGCTAAAGTTGCAGCTGCAAGGGTGACGATACATATAAGCTACATTCAAAGTTTCATTGTAGTCTGGCTAATCGTTCCTAAGCTTCAGAAGCAGAACATACCCATGACTGAAACCCCACATTACTTCTGCTGTGGACTGTACCTAGGATTTGGCCAAGGGGGGGGGGGGGTGGTGGAGGGAACGGAGGAATCCCGGGGGCCTCCCCTCTACAGAGGGCCTCCTTTCTATTGAGAGCCTCTTCTCTAAAGGGGCATCCTCACTACAGAGGACTTCCTACCTACAGAGGGCCTCCTCTCTACTGAGGAGTTAGATGGACCCTAGCGGTCAGACACAGACACTAGCGGCTATTTACAGGAGGCCCAGAAGGACCCTAGTTGTCATGCTGGTCAGAGGGCTCTGATTGTCCTGACGCGATTTTTGGGATTTCCGTGAATTTCGTTCGCCTCGGACGTGATTTTGGCCAACGTAGGCCTTCGGCCCGCGGGGGCCCTGATTCCATCCGGAAGCCCTGAAAACCCCAAGGGGGGAGGCGAGGCGCCCCGTCCGCCGTCTCCCGCCCTGGGTACGTCCCTGACTCCCAGTATTGATGAAATATCGCAGGATGGGGATTTTCAATGTTGAGATAGAAGTGGAAAGTACATGTATGTATTTTGTGGAAAGTGGAAGTTTAAGTGCGAAGTGTATGTATTTTTATTGGATCTCGCTCTTTATCCAAATTGATAGATTGTGTTATACTGCTGCCCGCTCCATATTTCTCCTGACAACTATCCTGTCGGCTCTCACCCAGCCTCTAACCGCTCACCTCTGACCCCACCAGGTGCCCGGTCTTCTCACCTACCTACCGCACCTGCTGGGCCGGCCCGACGCGCTGACACCGGCGCTACACGTCAGTCAGGGTCGGCGGGACGTGACTGTGGTCATGGGACTGCCCACAGTCAAACGTGAGGTGCAAAACTACCTCATATCGACACTGAAAAACCTCATCGACTCTATGTCTGAGTCGGAGAGGCTGGAGACGCTCATTGTTGTCTTCATTGCCGAGAGTGAGTGAGTGAGTGAGTGAGTGAGTGAGTGAGTGAGTGAGTGAGTGAGTGAGTGAGTGAGTGAGTGGTGAGTGAGTGAGTGAGTGAGTGAGTGAGTGAGTGAGGAGTGAGTGAGTGAGTGAGTGAGTGAGTGAGTGAGTGAGTGAGTGAGTGAGTGAGTGAGTGAGTGAGTGAGTGAGTGAGTGAGTGAGTGAGTGAGTGAATCAGTCGAAATTTTTCTGAAAGTTTTAGTAGGCTTTGCAATGTGCTGAAGTCAATACCATATTTTTTTTTTTACCTCGTTTATTTCCCAGGCGTGATGCACTGCTCACCTAAAAGCCTTTTTTGCGGCACTTTGTTAAATTGATTGATGTTTGGTTCTCGTGCCGTTTTCTGTCCCCAGTGACCAAGTAGTTCCACAGCATTGCTGTCAGAATGCGACAACATACGTCATTTGCGTTGTACATTTGCGTGACAAACGTCGGCCTTTTGCCTGTAAATAACCATAAAGCTACATTGCTGAGCACGCAACCTCAAGGCTAAAGGCTCCCTGTCATGCGCCGCACCCGGGCCCGCTGCCCTTCTGTTGGTCTGTTTCTATGACGCTTGGATTAAAGTCCTGTAATTTTAGTGTGAGATGTGTGTTGGCGCGTTGTCATGGTTTCCTGCGTGTTGAACACAAGCTGGGTGGGGGACTGATAAACTATGAATTTCCAATCTGAAGCGTCCTGTATCGCCGGCTCGTAATGCCGCTATCTTGTTTCAGAAATTCGTAATAAGTCTGGCTAGAATGAGCCGTTCTGCAGTCGCTTCCTGACAACCATTGTTTCTTTTTCTTTGATTGTGATGTTTTTAGCATTGGTGTCCATAGCTACGCCATAGCTGAACCTTGGGTCGTGACTATATTTTTTCAGCGACGTTCCGAGTGTCGCCGTTGCTATTCTATCGCGTTGTGAAGCGTTTCCCGTCTGTCCGTCCCCTCCACTCCACTGCTTGCATCTAATCTGTTTTCGTTCCCTCAGACGGATGCGGAGTACTGCAGCCGGACGGCACAGGAAATCCAGGACAAGTGAGTGATCACGATAGGCCAACTCTCGGCGTTACACTCAGGGTTCTGTGGCTGTTTGGGAGTGATGAGGTCGGACGTGACTGCTGCGTCGGGCCGGTAGGGAGGCGGGCGTGTTTGGGATACGGTGGTTTACCGCTTGTTTGATTGGCGGGCCTCGCGTGCAGTGCCGTCACACCACCTGGGAAGTTTGTTGTATCGACCCGTGCTGGCCGTAGGCCGGATGCGGCATCACCTGTGCCAAACAGCCGGGCTCGACGCCATCCGATTTCTCGGAGCTCGTCCCTCATCCTTGTTCCGGCTGCTGAAAACCCTCCTCTGTTTTGGTACGTCGCTAGTGCCGCAATACCCCTCACTTCGGTATTATTCCTACATTACCATTACGACAGTCTACCCCACCAGCGTCTGACGTGGGCACTGGATAGAACAGCGCCCCGATTGTTCTATGAATGGCCCTGCTCGACCCGTTCCATCAGCCGCCACTACGCTGAGGGACGGCACTGCTGTGTCAATGAGCACCTGCACGAAGCTGTTAGCACCTGCCGGCGATGGTAGTTCCCTCTGAATGAGTTCGCAGCTCTGGCACCTGGTTTTTGGTCGATGAAAGTCCGCAAAGCTTAAACACCTGCAAGAGGTTTAGCGCGGCAGTGAAGCGGCCGGCGTTTGCGGAATTGATGTGAACCAAACTGAAGCGGCGAGCAAGTCTTTTGATTGATGTGGGCGTGGGGGAACTTTACATTTTGGATAACGGGACAGGATGAATGGAACAGTTTCCGATGTTCGTGCATTGTCAAAAGGGTTGTCGAGGTGACTAGAGCAGTGCTTATAGTTCCTTGTTTTCGATACAACGGCGCTGATGAAGTCGTAGAGACGAAACCGGTACGCCATTCATGTAATTGTTTTTTGATAATTGTATCGTGAATTTCATAAGGTACTCTCAATACAATAGAGCAGTGCTAAATGTTTGCCTCGGTTGTATGCATGCAAGTTGAAACAATGGTGGTAGTGGTATTAATTTTACAACTCCCTCCTGCAGTTTGTCCGTCGCTGTCATGTGCTAGAATATGAACGATGGTATGATAAAACGGCGGTGTTTGTGTTTTAGTAACACGTAAAGAATCTGATTAATCTTGCTAGGAATGACGCTTGTCACGGTGTTATACGCTGGTTTACCTTTAGCCATGAAATTTGTAGCAATTACATCCGTTATGGCGGAAATCCTCATCAGTGTATGTGGGAAATTTAGTGATCGAGCAGTCCTTTGTACCGGACAGTTTTATGCTGATCCACTGCGATAACTAGTGCATTCATCGCTCCTATACCGTGAAAAGGCAACTTAGGGATTGAGTGTTGTGTATGACATCACCGTTAGAAAGTACCCTAACGTGCAGTCGGTCGCGCATTCAGTCACATGTGGGAGGCTATTGATCATGCAAGTCCGCTGCTAGCCTACTTCGTGCCACTCAGCATTTTTGCCCCACGAAAGTTTTGTATTCCCTATAGAACCCTATGGAAATGTTCCGTTTGCACACATGGTTGCCATGCAACAGATTGCGCGTGTGTTGCAACGTTTTGTCTATAGGCCTACTGGACCGTAGTCTTTGACCTTTTTTCTGCACTGCCGGTGTTTTCATTGAAGGCCGGTGCTTTGAACGTCCATGGTATGTTTTCATCGCTGGCGCTGGAACACTCGGCCACCGAGAAGGCGGTCGCTGAGCTGGTGTGTCGGTAATCGCTGCTGACCCGGCGCTACGTCCCGCCCCCTCCCTCCATCCCCCTCCCCCCGGTCGGCGGCCCGCTCGCAGTCCCCATCAGCACAGTACAGGGGCGGGCCGCCACAGCGGTAATAACACGGCTCCCACGGCATTTTTATGGACGGCGAGCCGCCGGCTGCCGGACGTCCTGCTCGTGAATTGGGCCCGTGAGCTGACGCCGATCGTGACCGGCGCTCGTGGTCGTGAGCTCGTGACCCGGGGTCAGGATTGGAGTGGCTTAGGGTCACGGGAGGTTGATGAGCAGACCTCAGACCGGAAGACTGGGTTAGTAATATTCCTGCCAGCTGGTCGAAAAGGCCTATGCCTATCGGTTGAGTTGGCTGGTCGAGGGTGAATTGACAGCATGCGTTCTGCATGTAATGCCGGTCGGAGAATTCAGTGCTCAGTGCTTGAGGACTGTTTGATCACAGGGCTCAGGTTGTTGTGACGGGCCCGGATGGCTGACAGTGCGTGTTTTTGGTGGGTGCTATCGAACGCCATACAGTATGCGGGTGACTCTGCTCGACGATGGTCTATAATTTGCGTGTGTACTGTGCTGACCCAGTTTGGTCGAGGTCAATAAGCCAAACAGAATATGTTGCCAGTACCGCCCATTTTGTCCTTCCCCTTTTTACAGAATGGTCGCTCCTTTCCGACCATTCCTATGTGTTGACTGTCGTTACACCAATCATTCCCCATAGATTCCTCCCTTGCTGTCTTTCGGTCACTATCCCCAGTCAACTATTCCTACTGATCTTCCCTTCGACCATCCCTTGTTCCTTGACGGACGGTCCCAACCTCCTTTTTTGTTTTTGCTTGCGATTTCGCTCGGTTATTTTAGAAACTTGTCGTTTCCCCGGCAGGTTTCCGGCCGAGGTAAAGTCGGGTCTGGTGGACATCATCTCCCCGTCTGCCGAGTACTACCCGCCCCGGGACTCTCTGCGCCGCACACTGGACGATCCGCTGGAGCGCGTCCAGTGGCGCACCAAGCAGAACCTCGACTTCGCCTTCCTGATGATGTACTGCCGGCCGCGCGGCGTGTTTTACGTCCAGTTGGAGGATGACATCATGACCAAACCCGGGTGAGTGGGGCGCGGGGAGGGACCGTGAGGTGTGGTCTTGGTGTGATCTTCAGCTGGACGACGTCATGACCAAACTTGGGTGAGCGGGGAGGAGCTGGGACCATGAGCTGTAGAGGGTAGGTTGGATGACGTCATGACCAAACCCGGGTGAGTGGGCGGGGGACTGTGGACAGTGGAGGGTGAGGCTGGATGTTAAGTGAAGTGTGTCGGCGTGAGTAAGCTCGCCCACAACAAACTTGCTTTGTATACATAGAGCTCATTCAATGTTTTTCCTACTCGCATACTAGCTGTCAATTTGTATTTTGAACAATTCTAGATGCGATTGAGTGGAGCTTACTATTTGACATTTTGGCAATGTTCTGACCATGTTTTTCCCCACAGTTATGTAACAAAAATGAAGGAATTCGCTCTTCAAAAGATCTCAGAAAAGAAAGACTGGCTTCTTCTGGACTTCTGTCAACTTGGTTTTATTGGTAAGTTTGGCTCTCGCTTGGTGGCTTCCAGCTACCTATGCCTTGAATTGGATGACACTAGTGGACCGATACTCTGTTAAGTCTTGCACTTAACTAGGCTCGGCTCCCTATTGCGTTGCTTTGCCTTTTTGTCCGTACGACTGCTGTTATGCAACCGCTGCTTGTATGGCACACCTTAGGAAATCGGCTACCTCCAACTGTGTTCTTAACACTATTGGGGGCTGACTTCCGAAGCAGTGACTGATTCGCTATGACTGATTTATGAGTGTCGGACGTTAAATACTGTACTCCACTTCGCGTGACAATCGCAATCAAGGCGATACATTGCTATCCAGCTATCATTCAACTGGCTGGCGTCATGGCCAATGATTGTTTCCATGGTGAAAATATTGGACCTGTTATGTTCTGCTAGTGTTAAACGGTATCCCATTTGTAATGGTATTTGTATTTCGGTTATCGGACGGAGAGTCGATCTGACACTCTTCCTCTTCCTGCTGCATCCATCCTCTCAACCATCCATCTCCCTGATGCAGTTGCTTTATTAGTTAAACAATATGTTAGTTAAAAAAGTCACATCCAGCTTCCTCTATAGCTTTGCATTCAAATTGCCAACGAGTTCGTACTATCGGGAAAAGCCGGTGCCCGCTCCGCTGTTATGTGGACTGTTCGTACCACTGCCGTTCAATCCGCTTCCGCCTTCCTCCCTCCTTCCCCTCTCCCTCTCCCTCCCTTCTCTCCTCTCCTCTCTCTCCTCTCTCTCTCTCTCCTATCCCTCTCCCTCTCTCTCTCCTCCCTCTCTCTCTCTCTCTCCTCTCCTCTCTCTCCTCCCTCCTTCTCCCTCTCCCTCTCCCTCCCTCTCCCTCTCTCTTCTCTCCTCTCTCTTCTCTCTCTCTCTCTCTCTCTCTCTCTCTCTCTCTCTCTTCGTTCGTTTACCGCCTGACACGTGAACCACCGAGCTGCGTGTCACTCCTGTCAGAGCCGTCAGAGCTGTGATGGGCGCGGCTGGGACTGGGGTGACTGTTGAAGGTGGGGCAGGCACGCTGCCATATGTGTCAATGCCGATGGTTTTGACGGATAGATTTGGCGCTACACGGAAATACAAGGGGTGCGTTTTGTAGATGTAAACTAATTTAGTCTTCTTAGTGCTTGTGCAAGGAGCATTTGTATTTTAAAATACTTTGTGAATGACCTCTCCTTGAAATTGTATGTAAGGTAGGACATGTATTTTACCATAGATTGATCCAAATAATTTTTGAATTATGAAGTTTGAATGTGATTTGACAAAGATCCGTGATCGAAAACTCATCATTTCTGTATTTGACTTTTTGTAAAATATATCATACCTAACATACAATTTCAAGGGAAGGTCATTCACAAAGTATTGTTAACTAGGTAATTGAGTTGTAATTGAGAAGTGCAGAAGTATTGCAGAAGTAATGGTGGCTTAGTAGTAGGTGAAAAAGACAATAGTAGGTGCGCCTGTAAATACAAATGAACTAGCAAGGGCTCATTGAATAGAATAGATAAGGGTTACCCGCGTGCTCCGCAACGCGAAGGGGGGATTTTTGACCTGTGGGTATTGGGTTCGTCTGTGTCGATTTGGTTGGTATCCACTTCGTTCGATTGCTTTTTGACGGCCAAGCATTTTGTAAGAAAACAAAAAGATACATCGCATCGAGGTGCCCGTGTCGTATTATCATGCGTTCTACTTTAGAATGATTCGAAAACTGGCGTGAAATCTTTTGAGGGCCATCGCAGGGTATGGCCATCGATGAATTTCGCTAAAAATGGCAATGTAATGGTTTGGAACATTTACATTTTTAAGAATACTGTTGCCCGTCATGCAAAAATGAAGAGTGAATATTGGACAGAATTGAATGCTCTTTCCAACGGTGCCATTTTTAATTGCCAGAGATATCAGATCATGGAGCAAAACCCGTGTGATTAATACAGTGACACAAAATTGACAAACACCATTTTCTCCCGTGATTTGCACCACCTTGATTTGGATCAATCAGCTTTTCACAATTTTTATATGAGAGGCGGTACATTTCTCTTGCCAACAGGCGCTGTTCCAATTTGCTCCGTTTAACGGTCACCTAAAAATAAAATCAATTCCAAAATCCTTCAAAAACCGCATTTTTTCAACAAAAGTGCCCTCCCCCGGTGCACGTGGCGCGTGCCATCCCCTGCACCGCACACCATTCAATAGCCCGTTCAATTCTGTACACGATGCTGTTTTCCCAGTGCCGATCGGACCCCTGGTCTCCAAGAAATCGCACCTGGACCGGACCCGTGTCGGCCAAAATTAGCCGTTTTCGCCCGATTTTGCAAGCCGATTTATACATGTAAAGTCTATGACGCAAATTTGCACTTTTTGAGCACGCGCCACACGCTCACTATCAATCCGATCGAGCTGAGACCCCTCAAAGGCACGTCGCGCATCCTTGATCTATAAGTTGTGCAAATTTCACCGGGCTAGGTGCAACGGTCTGGCCTGTAGTCCACGCAAAGCACCACCAAGTCGGGACCTCGGTAACGGACAGACGCACCCTCCTCAAATAGTAATATAGATGCAGTGCAATTAAGGTGAAGCAACGCGCCGATAATGCGTAGCATGGCGAATCACTCAGTTTTATCTGTTTTATGTGACCGGTAAAGGCGGCCGCACACTAGGCCATTCGGCGGGCGACATTCCGCAAAAACGCAATTCCGTAGCGACATTACGCTTTCGTGGACGCCGAATCAGCTGCCGAAACGACAAAATTACCAGCCGACCGGCTGCCAGCCAGCTGTCCGCGGGTAGAGTGCGCATGCGCGCGGACAGCCGCGGAGTTGCGGAAAAAGCTGGACCGGTTCAGCTTTTTCCGCGGCGACGCCGCGGACACCCGAAATTGTGGAACTTAAAACTCACCAACTATTGATGGAGCAGCCGAGAAATAGATTTACTTGATGAAGTATCGTAGCGGCACTTCTTTCCCCATATTAGATTGTTTTATACACTTCATTGGTTATTCTAATAGCAGGTTGCTTGTGCCTCTCCACAATTGTCTTTAGGTTTCTTGCATTTGTCGACAAACACGGTTGTTTACATTAATCACGAGCTTTATTTTTTTGCAACTTCCTCCAGAAATTATGTCAAATTAATAGATATTCAAAACTTTATTGTACAGAAACATAGCATAATCGCATTAAATAAGCAAATATTGTATTTGCTTAAATGTTTTTAGTTTGCATTCGTTTATATTTATCATAAAATATCTCACATAAAGTTCCTGAAAATACTAAGTAGAAAATCGCACCGCCGAATGGTCCTGCTGAGAACAAGCGGAAAGCCGCTGTAGGAATGTCGCCCGCGACATTCCGCTTTTGCGGAATCTCGCCCGCCGAATGGCCCAGTGTGCGGCCGCCTTAAATGATGTTTAGATGTTTTGCTCGGTCGACATCTACATCTCTACCGCTAGGCCTATTGGGCTAGATGTAGAGACATGCCATTCAGATATCGACACCCTAATGTTTATCTTTTCTTTTCAGGGAAACTATTCAAGACCGTGGACCTGTTGCCTCTTATTCATTTTCTGGTGATGTTCAACAACGACAAGCCCTCAGACTGGCTGCTGCTTAACCTCGTGCACACCAAGGTGTGCCGCTTCGACAAAAGTGCTGTAAGTGGTCGTATGCCGTTGCCCCTCTGGCCAGTTTTGCACTGTAGCAGTTCAGTAATTCGGCGAAGTGTGTCTGCCCGCATGACGCTGGCTGGAAGTATGCGAGGTCTTTGGCATCACGCTATGGAAATAGGTATCATCTGGCACCACGATTTAGTGAATGTTTCGCAATTGTGGGCATGCATGTTATTGATCACTTAATTGCTTTTTGACTATACTGGTTCGTATAGCGGTGTGGACATATAACTGTCCATTTTTCTTTACTGGGAGTTATCGTCTTCTGTGCAAAAGGCAGTCATTACTGTCCTTTCGCTATTCCTAACTTGCCGCGCCAACCGTCAGTTCGCATGACCCCATCATGACCCCATGTTGTGCAAGCTCCGAGCTCGCTGACACGCGTCCTGCAGTACGTGGACCTGGGTCGTTTGTCGTCCGTAGAATAGCCTCGCCCTATTGACCGTGCCCGCGGTATGGCGCTGGTTCAGACTGCCACTACCATGGCCTCTGAGGCCCCTGGTCGCGTCGGGCGGCCCGCCGAATATCCATCGACCTGGCTGTCCATGCGGCCGCCTCTGCCTCGTTATTCGAACGGATCGTGTGTGATGATCCTCATAACAAAACTATGGTCGACGAGCGATCGCTGTCGGTAAATGGACCCGCGTTATGTATTCATAACGCCTCTTCTACTGAGCGACGTATGAAAGCGTGGGGCGGTCGGACAGCCATTCGATGGTCGCGCAAATAGCAGTGTCGTCACTGACCGCTGGCACGAATGGGGACATTAATTTCTTATATGTCTGTGACCGCCAGCAATTGCATTTGTTTATGGTAGTTGTTGAGGCCGATAAATAACAATCCTGAATGTGTGGCATCGCGATGGCTTGGCGGGCTTCATTGAAAAAGGCTGATGGCATTGTGGCTTGTGTGTTGTTGGATTTTTCGGATGCTTGCGCTTGAGCTCGTAGGCTATCAAGCGCCTTGATACGAGGCATCCATGCTTTCTTTTAAGCTGTTGTGTGAATGCAAACTGATGTGTTTACGGTTTTGTTTTACAGAAGAAATGTAAGGAGGAAAAGGACAAGGTTTGGCTGCATTACAAACCGTCGCTGTTCCAGCACATTGGTACCCACTCGTCGCTCAAGGGCAAGGTGCAGAAGCTAAAGGTACGTACGCAGACATTCGCGACTAACTCTCCGATGCATGGCTCCGCTGTACTATGGGTCCGTCCTGGCTTCTGGTGCGCCTGCTGTCCTATCCGGTATTTGTGTAACACGGTAAAGTCACGGATGCTGATGATAATGATGATGATTTGTAGTGACAGGGCGCACCAGCAACGAGGCTAAGTCGCAAGGTTACGAGGGAGTGGTATAGGTCAGTGACCAGCTACTGTCGTGATTTTGCACCATTCCGTGGTGTTGATACCGAGTATGTCGAGGCGGCCGAGGCGGGCACTCAGCAGCACTGAACAGGCTCAATGCTGATGAAAATGGAGCGGGGTTACGTGCCCGACAGGGAATGTTTCGACGCTAGCTGCTTTATGGTATGCTTAAGTCGTGTTAACGTTGATGAATTAGGTCGCTGTTGATGAAAAAGCGCCTTCTTATCAGGTCACGGAACACAGTGTCCTCAAGTCATAGCGCGTAACCAGAGAGCCAGCCTGTTTGTTCACGCTATTTTGCGTGCAAGTTTCGTGATGTATGCAACCATCACAACAATTTGAATTAAGTGAAATTGAGTCCAATAGTTAGTCTGGAGAACATGCGCCTTCGAGAATGATGTCGCACTGAATTTATCCCGTGGTATCGACTGGCTCGAAGCTGGCACGGGGCGCGAGGACAAATTCGCTGTGTTTGCCAACTTTAGCTGCAGCTTGGCGTTTATCCCGATCCAACATCTCCCCGAGCCTGCCCTAGGAACTCCACACGGCAGTGACCTGGCCTTAGAACAGTGGTCTGGCATGCAGACTGACAGGGGGCGGGGTGGCAGCGCCGGTTTAGGTCCCTGGCCCATCAGTGTGATGGGGTGCTCGCGTGTCGTGGTCAGGGCGGGCTCGTAGGCACGATATTCCCTGGGGAAGACGGACCGGCCCCGCAGCTGCCACTTCGATGTACATTTGGTACGTACCGAGGCCAAGGTGGCTGTTTTGCGAGGGCTGCGTTGCCCGATGAACATTGCCGGATGAGTGGAAGCTGGCCATAGTGACACCCCTATTCAAATCAGGTGATGCGACTGATGTTAACTGTTTTCGCCCCGTGTCGGTTCTGCCAACGGTGTCCAAACTGGCGGAGCGGGTGGTATGTAATCAACTGGTGGAATATCTTACATTGCATAATGTTATTTGTCCGGAGCAACATGGCTTCCGTAGGGGTCACTCCACGGAGTCTGCTATGCTCGACGCTGTCCAATTCATAATATCGGAAACTGACAAGGGGAAAGTGGTGTCAAATATTGCGGCCGATATCTCCAAAGCCTTTGACAGCGTCGAGCATGGCAGACTCATGGATAAACTAGGTTGGCACGGTGTGGATGGGCACTGGTTTTCCGACTGGCTTGACGGTAGGCGTCAGATAGTAAAAGGGGGGTCACACCTCCTTCCTGTCACCCATGGCGTGGTACAGGGGAGCACTTTGGGAGCAATCTTGTTCTCGTTATTCACTAATGATGTCGCTTCCCATGTCGTTTGCGATAAAATTGTAATGTATGCCGATGACTCGCAATTTCTCAACAGTTTCAACAAAAACGATATGAATAGTCATAAACACAAAGTGGAGGATATGCTCTCCATCGTTCAGAACTGGTATGACCAAAACGGACTTAAAATTAATCCGGCTAAAACCGAAATGATACTTTTTGGCATGCCAAAACAAGGCATTGGTGGCGACATTATGGTGAACTTTGCTGGTGCGCAGGTGCGGCCAGCAATCAAGATGAAAGTGTTAGGCGTCACATTGGACCCCGAGCTGAAGTGGGAGGACCATGTCTCGATGGTGATCCGGAGATCATACGCAACTTTGGCAGGGCTGGCGAAATTTTCCCATTCTTTACCCACCGCAGTTAAAAAGTTCATTGTTGAGGCTCTGGTCTTCCCACATATAGCGTATTGCCTTACTGTTTGGGGTGGGTGCAGGGATGTCCAGCGGAAACGAGTCCAGAAGGTGCTGAATCATGCTGCCCAAATCACTACCTCATCACGGCGCAACGTGCACGTCACACCGTTGTTCGCTGAGCTTAATTGGCAAAAGTTAGACAAACTTATTGTGGAAAAGGATATTCTCACGATTCATAAGATTCTAAAAGACGGAACTTATTCCGCAAATCTAAAAACTCTTGTCGAGTCCCGCGCAGACATATCAGCACGCAGCACCCGGGCCGTTGAAGCTGGGCAGCTCCAGCTACCCAAGGTGCGCACTGAACGTGCCCGGCGCTTCTTTACCTACCGCGCCGTGGCTAGCTGGAATGGAGCGCCACCAGCTGTCCGGGAGGCGCCGACCGTTAGGCAGTGCAGGAAGAATATCAGAGAGAATGCGTTAGTGTGATAGTTTGTGCAATGTTTATATCTTAGGTGTCATTGTTCGTTCGCCTTTTAGGTCGTTTAGTACCGCTCCATTTACTGTCATCTTTTACATATATTTCATGTACCTATTGGATGGTGATTTAGCTTACCTCAACATTTTATAGATGCTGTTATCGTGGTATTTTAATATTCTTATCGTGTTCTTGTATTTTACTTTTCTTTTTGTCTTTTTATCTATGCCCGAGATGTGAGATGATTTTCATGTATACTGACACTACAACGTAAAAGCCACTACGTGGATGTTGTAACGAGCCTAAATAAATAAATAAATAAATGCGTTCATATATGATTTATTAGGTGGCGCCGTGTTTGGGTAATTCCTGCACCTTGGCCCGCTGTGGATTTGTAAGTACGGATTTCCTGCTCTTGAGGGGGTCTTTAGCTACTGTAGCACGCACGGTTAGTGCAATATTTCTAATTGGGTGCTATGGAAATGCTGTTGTTATGGAAACTTTGTGCGTTTTCTTATATCCCTGTGCTTCAGGGTGCCTTTATTTAGCATTTTGGACGCGTGAAACACAAATATTAAAGGTAGTGTGCCAGCTTTCTTGGACCGTATGGAGTTAATGGCCCAGATAAGGAGAACCGGATTTTTAGAACTTATCCATACCTTCAAAACTCATGGAAACGTCTTAAATTCTTCAAATTTTGAGTACCCCAGTGCGAAATTCGCCCCGACGGGTTGTCGGTCGTACCCCAACCACATTTCACACCACTATGAACAATAAATGCACACACTGAAATCGCTATTACCGATATGCTCATCCAATCAAGTTTCGATAAACCCGTTCATCATCATCTCCTGCGGTTTCGAACACGCCTGTTAGGTGGCTTCTGATGCTCGTCGAGGTCGGAATTTCCAAATACGCGTGGTGCGTCGGGCCGCGCGCTCTGACTTCGGCCAAGAAAAATGCGTCAGCTGATCATTGTCATTTCTGCCACTTGCGTGTGGTGAAATGGGGTCATAACTTATAAGACGGCTTTTTCATATCAATTATTTTACATAAAATCATATTTCAAACCATAAATAATGTTCGACAGCCAAATAAAAGAAACAATACCAATACGGGCTTACAGTTTAAGGCTCGACATTGTGTTGTCTACGATTAGACAGCTGATAACTCATTCCCGTACGTCGTATGGTCGTAACACTATAATGACCTTTGCTTATTGTCACAAGTGCGCCGCATTCGCGATTGTTGCCCGACGCCTGTTTGCAGGTGAGCCCACTACAGTTGTTATACATATCTAAAAACCGAAAAACTTTTAGGCGAAAAAGGCACTATTCCAGGCCCATTTTTGATTTTTTTTGCGATATTAGGTAAAAACAGAAGCTTCTTATCCTAGGAAAAATAAAATGGGAAATCTTTCAAAGGTGGCACACTACCTTTAATTGTTAATGTTCTCCGCCTAACCTATGCAATAGCCAGTTGAATGAATAACTGTTTACTAATATAGTGATCGAACAACTTAACGCTACATAGGGCACGCGCTCAGGCACGCGGCTGTGCAGAGCCCCTGAAAATACATCCATGCACGTTATAAGCTGTGAACCGTTCCAGCTTAGCTTGGTAGCTGTGTATATAACAACTGCCGGTCCTAGTCTCTGCCTCATACCGCTTGGCTGACCGCTGGTGACCCGCTGACCCGGCGTGACCCCAGGACCGGTCGGGTCCGGCCGCGCCGCCGCCGCTGTCCGCCTCCGAACAGCTGCTCCACCTCAGAATGCTCCAGCGCAGGTCCCGCGCCCGAGAAACGGTGCGGTCCCTCCTGTCTGGCTTGCTTTTGCTGTGTGCTGCTTTGTGATGATTCGCCTGCTCACGCTCTGAATGCTGTGTGATGACGTGCGAGGTGGTCCAAATATCGGTCCTTGCGATGACCCACGTATGATGAACGGTGTGGTGACTTGTGTGTCTTCAAAAACTGAGTGAAACTGAGTGCACACTCAAGTAGTCGTAAGGGTGGCTCTGTTTCTGTGCACCTTTGCACTCATATTCCTCACAAAATGATATTATATTTCTGCACAGAAGAGAAAGCTGTATTTTTTACTGCACATAACTCGTTCACCTTCAGCTTTAACGTTCCATGATAAGGTCGACTGACTGCTGGCCCCGAACGTGTAGTTTTGATATTCTACTCACATATTGTCTCAGAGTGATGTTTGACCGCATTGCTGTGTGTTACCTATTTTTATGAACGCGTACTTCTGATTGGTTTGCGGTTTTATATTCAGCACAAAGGCTGTTGCTAGTTGTGTTGCCAAGCAACGCGACCATCACTGACACTGGATACCGGCAACATTGTAATCCAATGGTTCTCGATCCCTGTATAACGTCAACTGTTTTTGATTGGTTGTCATGGTAACCAGAGACGCGTGGCTGGTAAGCAGCTCGGTCAGTAACTGATGAAACTGTCGCACTCGAATTATTGCTGGCCGGTTGGTATTCACCGACGAATGAAGAGCAGAGAGGTCACGGGACCATGCTCCCCATGTTCATGCCAAACTTGTATCAAAATTGTGGATATTAACGTCCCTTTCTGTGGCATGAAAAGGTTGACCTTAAACCTGTGTATAAAAAGAAGAACTTATCCAGAATATCCAGATTATATTGTCAATCTGATGTATTTTCGCCATCAGCCTGCTGAATTGTGAAGAATGGCTCAAAAGAAAATGCCAGGGATATGAAGGAAGCTGGTTACCGATGACTGAACTTACCGAATGCGCACCATTTTATTCAAAGCCGTGCTGTTCGTTGCTGATATGCTTAAAACGCTTTCACACCGACAGACTTACATATGCGGTGGCTTAGCGTAACCACTTATACCTCATTTCGACCACAATTTGCGCCATGTTTGAAAAGCAAGGCACGCCAAAATTGACGATTTGAGTGACGCCTTTTTAGCTTTAATTATGCACAACTCTGGTAACGACCAGCAAATTAAGTGTGTGGTCGCTACTAAGGTGTATTCTAAGCCGTAATGCGTGAACTTAGTGCTACCACGGCCCTACTTACTCACATTAGATGACACCAACTTGTCAACCTATATGCTGCTGCGTGGACATTTGCCCATCGATTTTACTGCTGCGTGGACATTTGCCTATCGATTTGAATAGGTATGCTGCTGACTCACTTTTTATATGCATAGCTTCTTGTGCATACATGGTTCCACGTCTTTCAGCGTCGCTCCAATGACCTAATGGCAAGCCTTGCACAGCGGGTTCGAGGGCCTTGTACACCTTGCCATACCGACTACCGAGCCACGCCGTGCCGACCGTGCCGTGTTTTAGGTATTCCCAAGGCGGTATTCCAAAACGCCCGCGCACGGGTGTCGCTGCGCACTGGACGTGCCACTCAATAGCTGCCGTTGGTGGATGTCAGGGTTACATTTAAACGAGCTGCTGCCGCGCCGGCCGAATTGCCGGCTCACATGCTCACGCTTTATAGCTTTTAAGTGTCCTAGTGCCCGATGGGAGGTTTCCTTCACTCAGTGTGCTGGGTATTTTTGTCGGGGTTAACCCTCGCCGGACCTATTGGTTTTCTACATACGCGCCGGCCGGGGGGGGTACGACCCCCTCGCCGTTTCGCCCCTGGTGGAGCTAACGCGTCGCGGAAAAAAGCGAGCGTGTGCGCCGTTACGAGACGCAGAGATTGGTACCCGATTTTAAGGTCCTAGGTCAACCGGTGACCTCTGAGGTCAGGTCAAGTGCGCCAAGGTACGGTTCAGTTTTTGGTGAATAACTTCGCAAAAACGGCCACAGAGACGCGATTTTGGCAGCATCGTGTTCGCCTCGCTCAGGCGCGTCGAATGATATACTTTTTTGTTCGGATCAGGTCAACTTAGGGTGTTTACCTCAGGTCACGGTCAGGTCAGCACCCCCAGGTCACGAAGTTGGTCGAAAGAGGTCATGTCGCATATCATTCGATTCGGCAGGTCTTCCTGAGTCCATTGGTGGCTTTTCCACATAGCTGGCTCAATTTGCTCGGGAGTTATTGACGAAAAACTAATATGACCTTGATGACGTCATAAATGACGTCACGCAAGGTCAACAAGGCAAAAGTGAGGCATCTAACCTTGGAAGCAAGGAGTGCATCAAATCACGATTCTGTGTGCTTGAGATAGTTGGAGGTCGTTCCCGATGCCAGAATAGCAGTTTTCATTTTTCCCCATTGACTTATAATGGTGAGGTCACGAAAATGACCTGACCTCATATGACCTTTAGGAAAAATCCGAGATATACAAGTTGTGAGACTCGTAATGGATACTAGATCCTGAAAGTTTCATTTCCCTGTGAAAGCTCCTCTGGCAGTGAGGGCGTTGCGCAGTTGCCACATCTGGAGGTCGTGCAGAGGTTCACTTATGACGCCATAGGTCCGTGACCTGACCTGACCCGAAAATGCGGTTGGTGTCAAAAGATCTGGCTTGAATCAAAGGTCAGGTATGCCAAGTTTCAGCTCTCTATCGCCAGCGTGTGCGGAGCTATAACGAAAAAAAACCTGGGGGGCGCCCCCCCCCGGCTGGCGAGGGTTAACCCGCGCCCCGCTGGGCTATTCAGCCATACGCGCCCTGCTGGGGGGGGGGGGGGGCAGATTCTGCCCCCCCCTGTCTAACTTCCGAACCGATGGTCGTAGAAAGACGGGGAAAACGGCAATCGAAAGCTCTCAACAAGGCGGATCTTAAGAGCCCAAATTTTTTTGCTTAAGTAGGTCAGAGGTCAGGTCAAGGTCAGGTCAAGGGTACAAAATGCAAGTTTCTACAGTATCGGCCTTGCACCGTAGTTGCCGAAGAATGGGCTGAGACTGATTGCCCAAAACGTGTTCTTAGACTACCAAGACAATATTCGTTGCACACAATGTCATTCAAAGGTCAAGGTCAAGGTCAGGTCAGGTCAGGTCAGGTCACCAAAAACAAAATATAGAAAAGGGCATGTGCGACACATGTTTTATGGGTCATTTTACTCATGGAATTCAATAGGCACACTCAATAAGTGATATGGACCACCTCTGGATGAATTTCAGGTCGAGGTCAGGTCAAGGTCAGGTCAAGTGAGGTCAAATTTTGAAGTTGGTTGTTAAGGCCTAAAAAGGTGTCTATCCGATGCAGTTTTTCACGGCGAATCGAATGGTGGTATTTTTGTTTCTGTACGAGGTCTAGAACTTCCAAAAAAATCATTTTTCATTTTTTTTTGTGTGTCATGACGTCATAAAATTTTGAATAACTTCCACATTTTTGAACCGATTCTTCTAAAAATTGGTATGTAGGTGCACATAGACCACTTCTTTGACATATATTCCGGTTTTTTCGATAAACTCAAAATTTTGGATTTTATAAATATTTTCCCAAAAAAGTCAGTTTTTTGGAAAAAAATTTGGCCAAAATTCAAAATTTTCAAAAAACCGAGATAGCCATTTGATAGACAAAGTAGAATCACGTATAACCTTTTTTGTTACGTCTTGATTCCTTTAAAACTGAAGATGTTAGCGGCGTTTGAAATTTTGCCGTTTTTGAGGCGAAAATGGCGAACATGACGTCACTAAAACGTCAATTTCTCAAAAATTTTCCGACGAATTTCGCTCAAATTTTCAGGGAATGTGTCAAATTGATGTATGATAAGGTACTGAAAGTTTGACGTCGCTGGCGTAACGCGTTTAGAAGTTATTGGCGAAAAACGGGAGGGGGGCAGATTCTGCCCCCCCCCCAGCGGGGCGCGGGTTAAGTGATTGGCACATGACATCTGATTTTGTATCGACAGGACAAGCAGTTTGGAAAGGTGAAGATGTTCAAGGCGCATAGCAACCCGCCGGCCAGGGTGGTCTGTGACATAAAGCCACACAAGCAGTATACTCTGGAGGTAAGTGGGAGCACATGGACGGAATAAAAAGGTACTTACCAAAAAACTCTGGAGGTAGTGTTGTGAAACGTGATCACTTGGGAAAGATTGGAGTGTTCATCGCCCGTCGTGCATCGCTCGGGATAGTAGGGACAGTTTTAAACACCTTGGATACGACTATGTAATTCCGTTACCTATTAAATACTAGTTGCTACTCCAATTGTCTATTTATGGAAGGTTCTTAAATACGTCCTATAGATATTACGGACCCGATTTAAGAACCTAGCTCTCAGCTAAAGTCGTCTTCCCTCTGAGTCTTCCCTCCCCCGAGATAGCCTATTGCTCACCCCTGCCCCTCTCTCGGCGCACAGAGGGCGTACCGGGGAGAGACGTACTTCTGGGGACTGTTACCGCAGCCCGGGGACCACCTGGAGTTTCACCTCACGCCGCCGGTTACACTCACCGGGTAGGTAGCGCCGTCAGATTGCGCTGAAAACACTCTGCCGGTGGGGTCGGGATAGGGCGGAGAAAATGTGCTTGATGTTTGATACATGCGTTTACCAATTGTGTTTTTCCTTGTGAAGCTTACTGGTCAGGTGTGTATTGCCTTGTATTGCCTTATCAAGCGACTTGACTTGTATTGAAGCGACTTGTATTGCCTTATCAAGCGACTTGACTCATATTGAATAATTGAAGCGACTTGTATTGCCTTATTAAGCGACTTGAATTGTATTGAAGCGACTTGTATTGCCTTAACCCGCGCCCCACTGGGGTCTGTGTATAACACGCCCTACTGGGGGGGGGGGGGGGCTATTCATAGCCCCCCCTCCTAACTCCGAAACTACTGGGCCGATCGTCAAAATTCAAACGGCGTCTGATAGCCCCGGAAAAACTGTCGAGCGAAACCTAATTTCATTGACCTCGAGGTCACCGATGACGTCACAGGTCAGGTCAAAGTAAAAATTATTAGCACTTTGGCTTGTTCACATTTTGGGCTCTGGCCGCCGTCTTACAAGTCAGGTCAGGCTCATTTTTGGTTTCCACACTCGTGAACAGATGCTCTAGATACCTTGAGGGTACCAAACTTGTACTTTGATTTTCAGGTCAGGGTCAGGTCATCACAGGTCACGAAAATATTATATCATGCGTCGGTCACGTGACACATGTTTTATGGTCCATTTAGGCCATAGATTTCGAATTTGATGTCGTCTGTGTCATTCGAGGTCATTTTGAGTCGAATTTAGCTTAGGTCAGGTCACTTTCAGGTCAAAAAAGGTCAAATTTTGAAGTTAAAATTTTTCAACAAAAAAGGTGTCTATTGGATGCAGTTTGAGCTCAGGAACACGATGGTGCCATTTATATTGGTGTACGATGTCAAATACGTTCTGAAAAAGTGATTTGAAAAATTAATAATTGTGAATTTTTTGCAATAATGCGTATAACTTGGCCATTTTTGAAGATATTTAGCTAAAACTTGCTAGAGTTAGTCATAATCATGCGTTCTGTCACATATATTCCGGTTTTTTCGAAAAGTCAAAAACTTTTTGAAAAAAATATAAAAATATAAATTTTGAATATTATTATATAAAGTTTTCGAAATTTTCAAAATTTTGAAAATCCGAGATAGCAGTTTGATAGCGCGGTCAATTCTGAATCCTTTCATGCAAAGAAATTGGATCTAGCTTAAAAACTGAGCTCTTGAGCGATTGCCGTGGTTCAATGTTTTGCGTCGAAATCGGACGAACATGATGTCACTCTGACGTCATTTCCGGCCGACCTATGGTAGCTACGAAGTTCAAATTTTGACACAAGGTGTCGAATTGATGCAGCCGAAGGTACTGAAAGTTTGGCGTCGATACGTCAAGCGGTTTGGAAGTTATTGCAGAAAAACGGGAGGGGGGGCTATAAATAGCCCCCCCCCCCCAGTGGGGCGCGGGTTAATTAACAAGCGCGGGAAACATCAGTGAAGTTGTTGACTTTTATCCGTCAGTATATTGACTTGTTCATGGACTGTGAATGAATCTGACCCTCCCTGAACTCCGTTTCAGCTTCATGTTTCAGAGTGGCAATGTGGAGCACCCCTCTGATCGCTTCTACAACACCACTGTTGAGATTGTGCCGGCGTTAGCCGACCACGAGCTACTTAAGCGGTACAAAACTACTTCAGACGGATACGCAATAATTGGTAAGTCATATCTACGTGTAGATAACTTATCACCGAATTAGTTTAGTGACCGAAGGCTAATCTTAAACCCCACGCTATGAATCCACCCCACCTAGCACTGGTCTCGCTATCATTGCCTCTGCACTGCATGTCGCTCACATTTCAATTACTAAGTAACGAATCCTGTACTAGCATCCCTCGTAACCACTTTCAACTCACGAATGCTCCAACTCAGAGCTGACTGGCCCGGCAGCTGTAGGCAGTAAACTCCACGCCCGCTCTGTGAGTCGCAGTAAAGCACACCGATCTCCCTCGGAATATGACCCGCCCGCTCACCGGCGCCGTATCCGGTGTCCTTTCAGGTCAGTTTGACGACCAGGGGGTGGCGGCCGGCTCGCTGGATCCCACGTGGGGGCCGATCCGCTCTCTGAGGCTCGCCGTCCAGGCAGAGAGCGACAACTGGGTCATACTTAGTGAGGTGAGTGTAAAAATGGCTTTGTCTGAGACAGCCAGCTAAAAGAACTGTCCCTCAGTGAAGTCAGTGCATTAATCCTAAATATGTCGCATTTCTCGCATTCCATAGCAAATACCTACGTAGAATTTACCCTCTTCTTTATTGATGCATTGTATCATGTGCCATTTTAGCACTGTAAGTAGTTTGTCCAGCCATCGGATTGGTCGAGACGGCGTGGTCGCTGGTCTAGGCTTCTGCTGCGGCTGTACTATCCCCTTTCAATGAGCCGTTCCATATCGGCAGATTCACCTGAAGAGGAGCTAGTGACGCTGGAGCTCGGCGGAGCCGCCAACCCTCTGCTCAACTGCGCCAGCCGCCCCGCGCCGCGCCGCTCGAACAGTGCCTCGCGCGGCAGTGACGGTATCGGGGACGGTGCGGAACCAGTGATAGTGACTGCGTCCAAGGGCCGTCCCGGCGAGCCCAGTGAATACACGTGCCTATAGACGGGACGGGTGGGGGCAGTTCAGTACCTGCGGTGAGAGAATACGTACCGGCCACACACCCGCGCGCGTTGTTGAGTGTTCGCCAGTTTATTGGAAACGTTCTAACTAGTCGTTGGTTAACAGTACGAAGTATTTAAGACTGCAATAGACTCTATAATATGGGAGATGGATAAATGGTTTGTGGAACCATTAGCATATTGGTTGTTCCATCCGCCTGTTTACTTTTATCTCGCCGTTGACATGAGTGAAAGGTGGTGCGTTTTTACGTAGCTAGATCCGCTTAATGGAGGCGCTGTCTATTCGTGAGCCGCTTTATAAAAGCCAGTGTACGTCAGTGCGACAATAACCGTCTCACCAAAACGAAGCTGCGCGTCTGTTGTCTGGGGTCCGAGTTTCCGCGAATGTCTGAGAGCTTACGTGTGACTGTGCCTGCCTGTTGCGGCCGGTAGGTGTGTTGGGCGTCTGTGGTGGCAGGATACTGCCGCTGTCTTGATCCAATCATTCCTCAGTGTCCCGCAGCAAAGCCAACAGCGAAATCATTCCTACGGTGCGGCGCGCGAGTCTTTCCTTCGTACTTAGTGACGCGAGGATGTGAAAGGTGCAGCTGCTGTTGGGTGTTGCTGCGCTGTATGAGGCTAACAATTACGATGGTTGTTGCGTGTTGGAGTGGTGCGCGTAGTTGGTTGTCTGGTGGCGTTAGCGTCGGTTCCGCCGAGTGCCATAGTGTCCAGGGGTGTCTCGTCCAGGGGGAGGTAGGCCCGGCTCACGCCACCCGTATGTGCCTCGAATACAGCTGCCCAGTTCTTGTTACTGTCGCGTGAAGGTGATGAACTGCAGGAGAGGACTCGGAATTTGCTGAGAAGCTGTGGGCGATGAAGGTTTTTTTTAAGTATAGTTCAAATGTTTGACTGGGCAGCTTACTGCGAGGGCCCCCAACTGGCCGCGGCCGCTGTCACCAACTGAGCTACGGTGTCACCAATCCCCGACCATCCCCGTCAGGGATCTCGCAATGCCGAGCGCGGAAGCGGCTCGAACCCGGGCTCCCGCCGCCGGGAATCCCACGCTCGACCAACTGAGCTACGGTGGAATCCCACGCTCTACAAACTGAGCTACGGGAAGGCCTCTACCAGTCACATTCTGCTCTTCCGGTCTAACCAACTCTACTGCTAGAAAGCTCGTGTATTAAATCACTGTTAATTACCAACTATTATATAAAATCACATTCACTCACACAATTATCTCAGTTGTCAGTGGATGAGATATTTATCCAACATAAGGACACCACGGTCTATCCACACAGGCCCTCAAACGGGACATAGCAGCCTGCTGCTCCCACAAATGGCAAGCTCTGAACCAGTGCCTGTGTCTAATGCCACCCATTCATTTGGCAAGACTGCAGCCGTCTATTGCCAGTCCAATCTCTTTTTCATGTTCCATCACAGTGAGTCGGCATTCAATATCGTCTATCACAATCACATACATGCATCAGCGGGACATGCAATCGATCGTTTCAAACGGCTCAGTGTATGGTATTGACACAGCGTTGATCACTGAACTCCAACATGGACCCAGAACTCGTTAGTAAAGCATCCGCACAACTTGGGGGTGCCCGCAGTTCAATTGCAGAAAGCACAATGGTCTCACAAACACACCGTTTGGCCTCTATCAACAAAGTAACGTACGACAGCATCGGTCCACCGTTCGCTTTCACCGTGCGACCAACAGTGACCAACAGTTAACGTTGACCCCCGAGGTCAGTGTTGGTTGACCTCCGGTCGAGTTGCCGCGGGTAGTACAGAGATCATTCCGGCTCGACAGCGCTAGGCTGTCCTCTCAGCTCTGGTCCAGCCAGGTAGGTCCTAAAGGTTATACATTGTAAGCTGTGCTTGTATAATATACAAGCACAGCTCGCGGAAAATAGTAGCGGACAGCAGCAGCTGGCGTCGTTATGAGATAGAGCTGTTAAACAGAATGTGTGTGTGGCTGAAACCGCAGATGGCTATTGGTACGAGTTTCCCGATTGCATTTGATGCGCGCAAAAGCTGCACTTTCGCGGTATGCCCATAAGTCCCGTTGCTAGTGACAAAAGCCAGCATATGAATGTCAATCGCAAGAGATCATGATTTACAAGATAGAGCGTCATAATGTAAATGAGTTGTTCTTGAATCGGTGGCTTCGAAACGCAAGTACACGACTGCTAAAAATAAGCAAACGAATTGATTCAGATGAAGGGTAGATGATGCCTACAAAAAGCGCGCAATATAAATCACTAACAAAGCATGCAGACATTCTACATAGTATTCAACACCAATGAGCTTTCCCTCGGTGATCTTGCCAACTCAGTACCACACTACTATTTCTCGGCTTTGGTAGCAAGAGCCACTGCAGTCTTGCAATCATCATCTTAGCGATCGCATTGCTTCTATTCACAGTGGCTAACCAGCGCCCCGTTTTCTTCTCTGGTATGACGCTTTTCGTGTGATAAATCGACGTCTTTTCGTCCTTCCAAAGTGTGCGGTGTAACGCTAACGACCGTCTCCACTAGACGGTACTCTCCTCCAGCAGGGCCGGCGCCGGTGGAGCGGCCAGTAGCTGCTGCCGCGCCTCCGCTGACTCACACTCTGCCCGCAGTCTGCCGACAGAAGGGCGGTGTCACGGGGTGAGGGGGCTGGAGGGGTGTAAAACAGTGCCACGGGAGAGGCGATCGGCCGAGTTAGAACGGTGTCAAAGGGGTGGCGACGGGTGGGGTTTTAGGACGGTGACACTCTGGTGATTTGAGTTGGAACAATAGTTTATTGAGAGTAACATTGAAACAGCGAGTGTTATGGGGCATGGTAGAGCGGCGCTCGACGGCTGACCTGGAGCGGCGGTGGGTTGGAGTTAGAACGGCGTCATAGGATTGGAAGTGATGCAAAAACGATGTCACAGGAGGAGTGGTACATGGAATGGTTTAAATAAGAACGGCACGGGCCAAAGCGACATTTTATAAGGGTGTCACACCAGGGAGCAGTGTTGAACGGTGCCACGGAACGGGGAGTGATGTTAGAACGGTGTCACGGACTGGTAAAGATAACGGGAACATTGCTCTATCCGGGCATTTATGATTCAGATACAAATCTTGAATGAGCATAAAAAACTCGTCACTAATTTGAGTGACAAATGAAACACCAACACGGAAAAACCACAACGGCCTCACTGTGCATGATACAGTAACCAGTCAGCCATCACATAGCGGAGCTAGTACAGGAGTGCTGATAAAGAATCTGTAAGAATATGCAAAAGAATCCCCAACTCAGTGTCATATTCATGGGGACGGAATTTAATCAAGTAGTCCAAGTAACGTATGCACAGTGCACACCAATCATGCATAACAGTCTTGCCCGACTTTCTAACTCATGGTGGAAATCAATAAAACACATGCAGGCGAATATTTAAACGAATACAGCCGAATATTTAATACGGACGGCCGTCCCGGTCAGAAAGCCGTCCGTACCAGGACGGCTGTCCGACCTAGAAGCCGGTTTCAAAGATTTCGAAAGATATCACTTCGAATACGAGTTACAACGCACACGAGTACGCCGCTCATATGGGTACACTGAAAGAACCTTCAAAGTGGATCATATTTCCATGCACTGCCCAAGGGGTTCACTACACGGGAGGTAATGCGTGCACTTCTACGTGGTTAGTCCTAGCTACATATCGTGAAGCCAACAAAATAGGGGAGAGTGGGGCAAAGCGGCCACCCTAACGTTTCTAACGATGCCGACGCTTGATTTTTAAACTTGGAAAGATTCTTTCTATATCAATGTGATCCCTATTAAATTGTCTTTTATTCCAACTGCGTTTCATTTCTAAAGGCGTTCACATATGGGAGATATTGACAAAACTTTAAACCTATAGCATATTGGCCACTTTGCCCCATCCCTGAGGCAAAGCGGCCACTGGCGACTTCTCAAGTCCCGATATGAGAAACAGAATAGTTGCCTCATGCACGACTAGGGTATTTGATGGTGACAAGGTTTAAGGGAAGATGGATGTTTACTTTGTTATCTTCCCACCTATTGCTAAACAAAGAAAGAATTTTCTTGGAAAAACATTTAATTGCATAATTTGGTAACTCATGTAACCGAAAAGTGGCCAAGATGAATGCATGACGACACATTTGAATATAAATAATGTTTTTATCCAGATGGAAACAACTTATGGCCAATTGGGGGCTGGCCACTTTGCCCCGGCCGCTTTGCCCCGCGCATACCGTCCGAGACAAAAATACTCCAGCTCAGCTATTAGTGGGGTAAAAAGCATTAAAATTGGTAGAAGGCATGTACGATAACCACGCAATGCATGGACAAAAACGCTTATAAAAATTCCAAACGGTTATGGAATAAAATAACATTTAAAAATTGTAAACATAATTGGTAACCTGGCAGGAAATGCTTTTCCGTGTTTCACAGAACAATGGCGATGGGCCTGAAACCCCGGTCTGGCTCATTCGAACGACCGCAAAGAGAAGTATAATTGGAAATCATAAATTGGAACTGACGCCAGCTGTGGAGGGCTAAAACGATGGATGGCCGCTTTGCCCCGGGTGGCCGCTTTGCCCCACTCTCCCCTACGTATCCAATGCCTGTTAGCTAATAGCCTATTTCCATTATACATCTGTGCTCGCTGGAATATCCATTTCAACTTACGCTTGTCCGAACCAAGTCAAAGATCCTATAAACAGCCGGAGAAACAACGGGTAAATGACATTGCCGAGATGATTGGAAGTGGCACATGATGTGCAAGTTAGCCTTCTATACCACCGAGCAAACGACACAGGAAACATCAATCAAGTACATTGCAACTTATGCGTCTTCATTTACGTCCTTTTTATATCACAGGAGATACGGATGATCTCGCGATGCGTGTGATAAATAATAGGGGTAGGGATCATGGAGAGCGTGAGCGAGTGGAAGAACGGATGAGGAAGGGTAGTTGAGCTCATGTACGATGAATGATAAAGTGCTTTCCGAAATAAGTAGATGAGTAGCAATGAGAAAGCATTTGTGAGCGAGGTAAGTGAGTGAGTGAATGAGTAAACTGCGCAAGCGATTTATTAATTGACTTATTGAATGAGCTGAGTGACAAACGCACGCGCCCTGTTCGTCTGGCTTCCATGGCTTGTCTGAGGGCCCGCCTCCGGTCTGAGATTTATTGAGTGATTGAGTGAGTGTAACTAAGTGAGTTAGTGAGTGGCAAACTCACGCGTCCTGTTCGGCATCCATGGCCTGCCGGAGCGCCCGCCTCTGGTCCGATATCTCCAGTAGCGTGTTCACCAGCTCTCGCTCACGCTCGATGTCCTCGGCGCTCTTCTGCGGCTCTGGAACACGGACACGACATATTCGTGATGACGGGAGCAGACAGGTGATTTTCTGAACAATAGTGTACGAACGGGTAGATTGTCTTTGTGGATTACGTTTGATGTCAGTAAGCGAATAGCAGTCAGTAGACAGCGGATAATGGACAAGCACGAAGTCCGCCATCCGTAACACAGAATAAAGCGTCAAATGCATACATAGGCCACTAGAAGAATTATGTATGCCCACGCATGAACATACACAGGGCAGGATAAAACACCATTCGCCATTATGGAAGCAGAAAGTTGAGCACGTTTCAATGACGCAGCAGCCTCACATGACGTCATGCATTCAATACGTCCACCTTAAGTATCAACAAACAAGTACAATCACCTAATGACAATCGATCATGGTAAGCCCCCTTGCTGGAATTTACCGTGTAGCGCGTCACAATGCGACTAGTCCGCGATGATAAACTGTTGGGCAGTGAACTATGGCCTGAATTTATTGAAAATCGATAGATCCGCTACTTAAACGGTATGGACTCTAAGATCTATACGAAACAAGGGCTAAAATATTACTTTGCTTCAGGTTCGTATGCAAACGTGGTTTGTTTTGTCCATCGTCCCGCAACCTACACATGACCAACGTCGCCGGTTCTGAATTGGTATTAGATTGCTAATGTCTGAACTCTGCACATAGCGCCGCAGCAAATTGAAGCTATCAGACACACCAAACACTTCAACACACATTAGTGTACCAACCAACACAGCATATATTAATACGTACCGGGCGAAGCCATGCGCTCCCTCAGCTCGAGCTGCAGCCGGTCGTGGCGGTCCTCCAGTTGCAGCTCCTGAAGCTGCAGCTGGAGCAGCTGGTCTCGGCGCACCAGGAGACTCCGCTCGTGAACCAGGGCGAACCAGTCGCGCATCAGGGCAGCGTCATCGGTTAGCTCACCGCAGCCGTCTGAGAGGGAGGAAGAGGGAAGGGAGGAGGTAGGGGTGAGCAAACGGGGTTCAAACATAAGTCTCCACACAGCGGAATAAGATGTATTTGAGTAAAACCATACAACGCTAATCCCTGCTTGTAAGGAAATAAGTACTTAGCTATCTAATAATCCAGCTGTTATTGAATATCTCCCCGGCCAAAGAACGTTGATGACACCTTGCTCAAATCTCCACGGGCCGACTCACACATGACACGTTGCACCGTCGCATCACGATCCGACTCACCGCTGGTCTCGCCTCGTATGGTCTTCTCCAGCTCGTCGGCACAGAGCTGCAGCTCCTGCTGTCGGACTTCCACCTCGCCCAGCTGTCGCTGCAGCTCCTGAGCACGCTGCTGGCTGTCAAAGGGTCGCGGAAGACACAGTCAGCGGGCACTTTGAGGCAGAATAGGGTCAACATTGTAAGATGGAACTTCTATGTCATAGAGCATAGAGGCACGTGGGCACGTCGGTATGGAGGGCATGGAGGCGCCCAGTCACGTTGTCTTCTGATGATTCAGCGTGACGACTCAAAAACTTTGTAAGAAAGCGGGTTGTGTAGCTAGGCTCCAGATTGACGAGGCTGGATTTACTATGAAAACTCCCCAATGACCCGGCAGCTACTTGGCTCAATCCCTTTTGACCCCATCATGACCAACCCACGTGACCACTGTTCCAGACACATGCCCTAGCTATATTGGACACATTAGTATTTCACTGGCGCCTTTGTGTTAATCTGTGACATCTAACCAGCTTACCGTCTGATCTCGGAGTGGCGGGCGGCTCGGCCCGACCGAGACCGACGCGACAGGGTCCCCTCGGGCGACGAGCGACCGCTCGGGGTCACCTTGGCCTCTGATGACACGGAACAGGGGCAGTGGGGTCACGCAGGTTCAGAGTGGTGTCAGCAGGGTCACACAGGGGTCAGCGAGGTCACAGGGGTCGGTGGGGTCACAAATAACTCAGTGCGGTCACATTAGGGTTAACGAGGTCATACAGCGGTCACGCGGTCAGGAGGGACTGGGGTCAATGGGGTCAGCCGATTAGACTTGCCCGGCCTCACAAAAGTTACGATATCACTCGAATGACCAGGGCGGAGGGCTATGGGGGTCGCAGGGTCACATACAGGGTTGGCATTTTTGCCGGCAAAAACTAGTTTATGCCATTTGCCGGTTTAAACCGGTTTTAACCGGCAAAAAGTGGCAAAAACTAAGAAATATCACAATGCTATGCTTGGACATGAATTTGAACATGAAGCATTTTAAGGAGAATTCGGTGAAAGCTTTATGCTTTCAAACAGAAGTGACATTGACCATTGAAATGCTTCATAACTCAAACATTTTCATGGGCTTTCCATAAGGAGCTAGTAAGATGCCTTTTAGTGGGGTGACAAATGAGCCAGTGCAAGGGTGACTGGGTGAGTCCTGCACAATCAGAAGTGCGAAGGGGCATCTGCCACTGATATGCGCACGGCACCGCATGGCACCTTACTTACCGTGGCTGTCTTGCCCCACTCTCCCCTACATGGAAATACGTTCCGTTGTGGATGTCTACCGACATGCATAGACATTTTAAGCAGGGATAAGAATGAGGCAGCATTAGAATGTTTAGTGCATCTATATAACTACCAGAAATACATTTGTACATTTCAAATCCATTCCTAACTAGAAGCGTTGTAGGTTTGGCCATCTGAGTTTTAGCCAGTTTTTGCCAGTTCTTGCCACCAGGGTTTCTGCCAGCCGGTTTAAACCGGTTAAAACCACTGGCAAAAACCAGTTTTTGCCACCCCCTGCCAACCCTGGTCACATAAGGTCACAAAGAGAGCGGAATCATAGGACAGCAAACTGTCTCGATAGATCGATTAATGCATGCCAGCGATGTCGGTCCTCGGAACAACAGGGTCGTTCCTTGTCAAAGATAATTGAAACATAATTGAAGGGATATTTTATTGCCGTCGACAGGGAACCCTCATCGATTGTCAGCTGATGGTTCATCTATGATGCATGCCGAGCGGGCCGTATAGTGCGATTAAGTGACAAGTAACGGTGCACGTTTACGTTTCATCGAGAAAGGTCGCCACAAATGTCGAGCCTGTTCGCCGTAATAGATGTCTTACAGGTTTAACACGCTTATCATTAGACATTAGAACCACGAATCCATTCCGTTGGTATGTGATAGTGAATCGTAAAGAATGTTTGTGGTAGTGTGTTGTTGGATCAATTTGCGACGCTAAATATACAACGTAGATCTGTGAAGGAATCAAGTGGGGTGTGAGCAGGCCTGAATTTGGTTGAAATGAGGTAAGATCTGTCGTACATTGCTACAGACAATAAAATTGTTGGGGACTAATTGATTGAGAGCAGCTCAGATTCTTTAACGCCGCAACGTCCCTTAGTCCAGAATACCCATCGCACGAACTAGAAACCACGATGCTCCGCAACATTTAGCCAATTACATGATATATTCTATAGACGCGTCAGGATGCAATGACAAACGTTTTTCATCGTACCACGCAATCGCGGACGGGACACAGACTATAATAAATGCTATAATAAACTATAATGTAATAGAAATAAATAAAGGTTATAATATAATAAATAATATAATAAACACAGACTATGATAAACCGGACCGGCACGCCCCAAACGGCGCAAAACGTTACCTGGAGCCGCCTGTGACCGCTGTACGGCGTCGGTGATGGACGGACTGTCTGTAACGTCGGCAGACACCGGCGTTCCTGGCGGCGACAGCGACGGCGACGCAGACAGCTTCTTGTCCTTGTCCTGGGAGAGGGCGGAGAGCGTAGTTGCATAAAATAGAGTTTATGTCGGGGGTTACGCTTCAAATCGCGAAGTCCGATAGCCTGGATCCGGTACATTTTATTTCAAAGTTACATACGAACAAATTTTGAAAAGTAGCTTCACACGTCAAGGACTATTGTTGACATAGCTGATACTCCAGTTTTATACAGTTCAGAGCACAAAGCAGCATTACACAAAAGCGATGACTAAGTTTTAATAACATTGTTGATCACCGACCTTGCTCTTCCTGAAGCGCAGTCCGAGCCGGTTACGGAGCGGAGTCTGTTTAACTCCTGCCGCCACTGCTAACGGGCTGGGAGACGCAGAGACGTCTGTCGCGGAGGGAGGAGAGGGTGCCACCGCCGCGGCCACCTCCTTCTTAGAGGGAAGACTGGAGTCCGGCCCGTCGTCCTTCTCTTTGTCCTTTTCTTTCTTGTCAGTTGAATGTCGGAACATGTCTGCAAAAATAAGATGACATAATGACATGCAACACCAAACCTGTGCAATGTGCATAAGACATAAGCCTCTTACGCTCCTCAATGTTGGTCGTTAAAGTCATGTTAAACGACATTTAACAAGGAACTCGTAGGCCAAGGTCTCCCCCTTATTCCTATCATCCTTCCGGCTCTGGAATGGTCTTGTCAGACCGAGTAAAGGGCCTAACCTAACAAACAAAAAAGGAACTCGTGAATATAAAAATGTCGCCAAATTCTGCTGTTTTAAGATAACCACCCGTCATCCTCTTTTAAGAGGTCCAACATCACATTTCCAGCTCGCTCACCTGAAATGGTCTGTATGATGCTTCGACGTCTCTCCCTTTTCTTCTTCAGATCGGAGGATTCCTTCTTCTTTCGCGTAGTAGGTGTGGACGGTTCGGTGAGCACCACTCGCGATCCAGAAGTCTTCCCATCTTTACCATCGGGTGCAGTCTCCTGAGTCTGCTCCTGGGTGGAAGGCTCGGCCGCTTCACCGGTTCTACTTGTCGAGAGCAGATCGCTAGACTCGTCTTTGGGAGGTGATATGACACCAGAATCCACCGACCCTGGAGAAGCAATTGATGACTGTGGTGGCTGAGATTTCACATTAGGTGACGTATCTCGCTCTGGCGACAGTTTTTTATTCGAGAGGTCGGCCGCAGACACAGCCGGAGTTGTGTCGGTAGATGATACCGCGGTTAGTGCCGGTGTTGAGGACGCCGTTTTACGATTTGGAGACGCAGCCATCGACTTGAGATCTGTTGACTGTGCTTTCTTCGTGGTGGATGGACTATCCAGTCTCGACGACATACCCAGTGCCGATGTTTCATTTTCCAGTGAGCCATGTAGATCAGACACAGGCCTAAGCTCATTCTCCCCGGCGATAGTCATCGTCCCACCAACATCAGGAGGCATTGACAGCACGGCTTTCCTATCAGCAGCACTCTGCTTCTTCCGGCGTGGCGTGCGCTGGTCGCTGGCCCGTGGAGGCCTACGGGGAGGCGAGAACAGGGCACGCGCTGCCGCGGGGATAAGGGAGAGTCGTGCCGAGCCTCGTGTCTTGTCCGGCAGCGGCGGGGGCTGGTCCACCCTCTCCGGTTGGTGGGGAGGCTCGTCTGCAGTCTCAGACACAGTCTCATGTGTTGTACTTGGTGTTGTCTTAGTTTCATCGTCCTGCACCGAGGATGGAGAATCATCGATGAACGGAACCACGGGGCTGAAATCGATGATGTTGTGCTTTGCCGCTTGCGCCTGTTCAGCTCCCGCGTCTGGTTTCTTCTCAGTCACATTGCTTGCCTCCGGCTGGGTCGCTTCCTCAGACGTTGGTATAGGCGGGGGAGCTGGTGGTATCAGCCGTCTTGTCGCTGTCAGCGGAGGCGGCGGGATGACTTCTCCTTCCTCCTCCGCTTCTCCATTCTCTTCGACGTCACTCTTCGGCACCGGTGGCGGCAGCGGACGTACACTCGGCCCCGACGTCCCCAGCAGTGCCGGAGAGGTCACCCTCTTCCTGATCTGTTTCTCCGGCGAGCGTCGAACGCGACTCAGCACAAGATCACGAATCAGGCTCTCCTCTGGCGGTCTCTCCTGCGCCGGCTCCTGTGGCGTCGTCTGAACCAGATCTTCTGGAAGCCTGGACAGACGCATTGGAGCTCCGGAAAGTGCCGAGCGAGGAGGAAGAACCAGCGACGGTTCGGTGGCACCGCGACGCAGCAGTCGCGCGCTGACTTCCTCGACAAGAGGAGAGACTCTTATCTGTGCAGCACGGGGTGGTCGAACGAGCGGGGTGGTAGGTGCGGAGGGAGATGTGGGGGTACTCGGTGGGACAGGGATGGGAGGAGTGACTGGGGTGGAAGGAGTTGAGTGAACGGTGGGAGACACTGGAGTTGGGGAAGACGAAGCTACGGCGGGTGGTGTGAGAGATGTGGGAGTTGTAGATGCAAATCGTGAAGTCGTGACTGCTGTGCTCCTGGGAGCAGGACGAACATTCTTGCCCGTGTCGGGAGTTGTAGATGACAGGGGCAGCGGCGGTAAGGTGGGTCTGGCGGGTTTCACAGGAGCAACACGCGATGAAACTACAGCGGGGGTCGTTCGTGTAGTGGGCGAGGTGGGCGAAACGGGGGAGATGGGTGACCCAGGCACAGGCGATGTGGCCAAGGGAGCAGTGATGACAGTAGGGGTGACTTTAGACGTCAACCAGGATGGTGAAGAGACTGCCTCTGTACTGGAGACCGGCGGCCAAATCCTCGCCAGAGGAGATACCCGAACAGGCGCCGGCCTCGTCTTCTGCACGGCAGCGCTGACGTAGGCTGACCGTAACAGGAAGTCCGGTTGACCAGGCGGGACGGCGCCGGAGGTCGGCACCGCTGGTGCTGCTGCCCGAGGTGCTGAAGAGACTCGAGAAGCTACAGAAGAAGCTAGAGTCACGGTAGGCACTACAGAAGCCGCAGAGACTTGTGTAGAAGTTGACGGGGAAATACGAGCGCTGGAGCGAGCCGCCGGTACAGGAGCCGCAGGAGTCGCCACTGGAACTGTAACAGGCGACGTTGTGGGAGTTGCCACGGGAACTGAAGTAGCCGGAGTGCCAATAGCAGTCGCTGCCAGGACCGCAGCGGGAGCGGACAAAGCAGGCAGCGGCTGCGTCACACCCTTCCTCTCCGGCGCCCTGACTGAGGCCGGTGGCGGTCCTGGCGAGGGCTGAGGCTCGAGCTCACTAACCGGGATCGGCGGCGGCCGGGTGGAAGGCGGTGGACGGGGGATGGGCGGTGTCTCCCACTCCCACACTGGACTCTGCTCAGTGCTAGGTGTCTGGTGGATGAGCCGGTAGAGAGCAGAAGAGACAGGAGGTTCTGGGGTCTGTTCTGTATTTGTGATCGGCGTGGGAAGAGAAGTGAGAGGGGGCCGAGAAGATGCTAGTGGAGTGCTCGTGGCTCCAGGTCCCTTTGTGGACGGCTGATCTGGAATCTTGGCTTTACTGCGTGCAGAGGCTACCGGTTCGGCTCTCACAGAATCACGAGCGGCTTTGGTTTCTCTGGATTTGGCAGTAGTGATGACCGCTTCATTTTCGCCAGATTTGATTCTGTCCCCGAGTGAAGGCAATTTAGAGTTCACATTCTTCTCTGATGACCGCTTCCGGCTCGACACGATTTCAGTTGTCTCGTCTCCACCAAACAGTCTTAGTTCCGGCAAAACATCGTGTTTTGGTGAATCTTCCTCTGAAATGCTGAGAGGGCTTATTGCGTCACTTTCATTCAACTTGGATGGAAGCACATTCATTCGTTCCTTTTTAGTTGGGATGTTGCTCAGCTCGTCGCTAACAACATTGTGCTGAGCCTCACTCACCTTGGATTCGGTGACTTCCCTGACTTCAGACTGCTCATGTGGCCTCCGATCATCGACTTTAGAGCCTCCGTCAGAGCTCATCTCATCAGCTGTTGAAACCATATCTTCCCATGAAACGCTTTCGTTTTCATCCATGGTCGCTTCAGCTGCGGTGGGTCTCACATGTGGTTCTTCGCTCATCACTGGCCGTGTCTCTATCACAATAACTTCATCCACATCAGGCTCCATCTCTATGGACAGATCCTCTGGCGTCTGCGTTCTTCTCCGTTCCGGCGTCGGGGACCTTTGTTCCTGTTGAACTTGCGTCTCTCGCCTTCCTTCCGGTGACTCAGCCTCTCTCCATCCTTCTGACGTCTGTGACCTCCGTTTCTCCGGCATCTGTGCGCTTCTTCGTTCTTCTGGTGTTTGTGACCTTCTCTCATCTCTCAGCCCATGTGACCCTCTCCTCTCTTCCGGAGCCGGTGTATCTCTTCTTTCTTCAGGAGCCTGCGGCCCTCTCCATTGTTCTCGCTTTGCCTCGGACATCCAGCTTGACACCGTTTCATCCACCTCTCTCCATTCATCCACCCATTCCTGGTTGAACTCCATGCTCGCCTCGATTCTCTCCGAGTCAGCCACGACCTTTCGCTCACTGTCTGCTGGCTCGGGACTGTCTTGTGTTAGATCGATGATGGGAGGCGGTGAAGCCGTCGAACCTGCAGCTGGTGATGGCGCTTCTTCGTGAGATTCGATTGCATCTGGCGAGGAGTCGCGTGGTGCTGGCGAAACCTTTCGAGGTGGCGGAGATGCACGACGGCGGCGGCGGAAAGTGATGAAACTCTCGTCGAGTTTGAACTGTGGCGATTTCTTGAAAACCGCTTCTTCAGAAGCTGTACCATTCGATTCTTCTTCGCCTCGTTCTAGTCTCGGAACCCGATCTTCTTGGTCCGAAAACGAAGCATCTTCGTGATCATTGACAGCTTTCCACGCTGGTTCTTGTTCCTCCTCCTCAGATATTGATTCCTCATCAGGTGGGAGGGCACATTCCTCCGGTCGCAGACCACTTTCATTCCTCGAAACTTCTGCAGGCGTAGTATCCAGCGACGTAGACTCCGCCGTCTGCCAGGCAGTCTCTTCGTCGCACGACTCCGGGGCCTCTCTGGAGTCCAGAGCGGTGGAGTCGGCGGTAACCCATGCGGCATCTTCGGCGTGTTCTGGAGACTCGGGAGAACAAAGACTGCGACCAGTGGATGGCTTGTCGTAGATATCTTCGTCATGATGAACGTAGGAGTCAACGTCTGACAGATCAGACGCAGCGTCGCTGTGATGGGAAGAGAAGTGATCATTGTCGCTCGGTGAGCCTCTACGTTCCAATTCACTAGAAGACGCTTCGTCGTCGGTTTGCTCCTTACCATTGGCTGTAACTTCGGTGATGGTGACGTTTTCCCGACCAGAGCTTTCGTCTTCTTCTGAGAGCTCTTCATCGTAGTCACCGTCATCACATATATTGTCGAAACCTCGCTCCAGATTGGTTACATCTACGTCATTCAGAAGAGCGTCAAACTCGAGGAAAGTGTCTCCTTCGCCGGAACGTTCTTGTTGATCTTCAGGCTCAGATGGAGCTGCAGGTGAAACCTCCTCCTCGCTTTCAGCATCACTTTGGCGTTGATAGTCGGCTGGAACGTATAACGGCCTAGCTTCATCGGCATTTGGAGCAGTGTACAGACTTCGCTCAGGCTTTGTATCAATATTTTCAGTCTCCATCAGCTCATCGTCATCACCAAGCATTTGACGCCAGCGCTGCTCTAAAGCTACATCATCAAACTCTTCGGCACCGGAAAGTGACAAATGAATGTCGTCTACATCGTCTTCTAAGAGGCCCCTCACACCCAAATCACTGAGGTTCTTAGGAATGTGTTCTTGGGAATGCCTTGAGTCCCTCGAGTGTTCTCTTTTGACCTTTGATCCACTTTCCACTGCACTAGCATGTCCGTCTGACTCGTGATTTCTCCTGACCTCCCGTTCAGAATGTGTGCTATCCTCTTCACTCGAGTGCATGGCCGCATCGTCGTCTGGTCCCGGTAGGCGCACTTCTACGCTGGTTTCACAGCCAGATATTGCCTCGCTTGCACTGTCTGCCTCGGCGCTCGAAGACAGCTTGTCTGGACTGGACAGTTTATCAGCTCTATTCTTGCGGGTTCTTCGATAACTGGCGTCCCGTCCCTCACTTGACCCAGACATTACTTCGTCGTCTCTCCTCGTAGAGTCCCGTCTGCGGCGCTTTTCTCCATCATCCCACTCTTCCGACGAAATCCTCCTCTCTTCCTCCTCCCTTGCAGCACCTTGGTCGACATCATCCGACCGAGTCGTGTCTGACGTAGCCTCCACCTCCTGACTGCGCCGTCGCTGCGCCCCAGATCGCCTACCGTTCGACTTGTTGGCCTCTTCTCTGGCCTTCCGTGCCATCCGCTGCTTCATCAGGTTCTCTTTCACCTGTCGTCTCACTCTGTCCCTTGCCGCGATGGCCGCTACGCGATTTCCACCGCTTCCCCGCCGAATCGGCGCCGATTTGCCCAATTTCCCTGTATCAGCTTTCAGGTTCGGTTGTTCCACCGCGCCCTCAGATTTTTCTGTCAAGAGTTTTGCCGGTGCAGAGGTTTTTCTCTCAGGTGGCGACGTGCGGCGGGCTGCCACTGGTCTCGGCGCTCCGTTAGTGATGGACGCTCTTGGAGCTGGCTGCGGTCGAGTGGGTATCTTGGTAGCAGACGGTCGTGTCATCTCAGCTGAAGGCTGCCGGGTAGCTGCTGGTTTCCGCGTTCCCTCGCTCGCCACATTTTTAGCTGCCTGTTGTCCCTGATTCACACGACCTGTCGCGGCGCCGATACGAGAGCCGAGGTCGGCGGCTGAGCGGGACCGTGCTGGGCTCACAGCGGCCGGTGTAGAGGACGGAGAACTGACCAAAGACCGGCGCTTCAGCTCGGTGGAGTTTCGCCACGCCGCGGAATCGCTCGCCGGAGGACGAGATCGCTGTGCGGAGTGTCGCCTGATGTCTCGTGTCGGTTTCGCAGCGGCATCTTCGGAAGTCGCGGAGGTGGTTTTGTTTGGCTTCTGTTGCACCAAGGTGCTTACACTCACCCTTGCAGTGGTCACCGTCTTCCCCGAAGCAGGTTTTCCAACACCTCTCCCGATGAGCGACGATACGGGTTTCTTCAAAACCGGGATGGACCCCGTAATTTTCTTCCCGATATCCTTCCTTGGCGACTTTTGTTTCCCTTTCTCCTTGCTGTCTCCTCTGCCTACATCCGCAGCTTTGCGCTCCTGACTCGACTTGCGTTTCCCGGAGCCAGACCCGGAGCCGGATCCGTGCGAGTCCCGCTCGGCTCCGATGGGCTCCGGTCGGTGTTCCGGCAGTTCGGGATCCGGATCCGGAGGTCGCTCGGTGTCCTGAACGACTATCCGGGGCGCCGCGGCCGGGGGAAGCGGAGGCCGCAGCTCGATCTCCGTGTCGGAGGCGGCCGAGGAGGAATCGCCGGCTGAGCGGCGGGGCTGGGAGACGCGCTCCGGCCCAGAGACCTGCCGGAGGAGGGGGCAGGGCGTCATTAGTGAAACTGAAGCGGTTTAAGGTGCTGCGACGTAATGGCAAAAAGTCGGAATATGGTGACAATGTTCTGCATTAATGAAAGAACCGAGCGTCCATCATGACCTTCAATCAGCAGTAGACCATTTCGAAGTTAAGGGCAATGAACGAAGAAAAAATCGTATGCACGTTGAGCGTATGGAGCAACTCGACAGTAATTACGGCCGAAACATGCTAGAAGCGCTTATTATGCCACGGCAAGTTATTTCTTAGAATGCAAGACGTTATGTTGTAGATAAATCAACAAAACAAAGATGGCATATTAGCAAACTGCCGCATAACATGCAGGTGATATGCTATTTAAAATACGAGCACGACATATGCCGACATATAGCATCGTTGCTGGTGCGTCCCATAACACCACACCCAACACACCAACAACATATGCCAAGGGTCCATGCGAGCAAAAAAAAAAAAAAAAAAATCATATACTGTGACGGAGCTACAAAGTAACATAATTTTGAAAAAGGTGCTTGGTATAAAAAGGGTAAGGTTTTCTCAGAGAGCCGGTTTTATGTTCCATTACAGCTGGTAAACGTACAAATACGCACATCAATTCGGTTTTTGATTAATACAATCGAATGTATCAATGTTTACGTAATTCATGTGTTGGGCGATATTGCATTGTGGAAACGTAGGCACTTGGCAGGTGCCCACATCATAATGCTACCTGTGCCACACAGAAAGGCATTAGTGCGTTTTTCGAATGACAACAAATCAAAAACTATAAATAGGTAAGAGTGTGACATCCTCGTAATAAATCGGTGATTCAGAAGGAATATGCATGCCATCCGCGTAGAGGAACTCATACGCTATGTCAATGACGGAAAATCGGAATACCGATACCAAACCAAATACCAACCAAAACCACGGGAAAATACCGAAACCAAATCAACTTGGGAAAATGAGGGAAATACCAACTTTTTACCGATTTCTTAGCCTCTTATACATTAGTGAGGGTTTATGATACCAACAAAATACCAAACACATTACGATTGAAATACCAAATACCAAGTTGGTATCGGTTTGGTATCGGTATACCAAAAAGTTGGTATCCGATTGACATCTCTAATGCTGACGTCTTTTGTAAGCATTGTAGGTACTTGGTTGCAGTTCAATTCAGTAACACTTCTGTTTTTAATCTCATCATCAAACCGGGCACCAACGATGCAAACAATTAAACATCGGCGATAGGCAATCAGTACAGGACACCAAATTACAATATTATGAAAACGTCAAACATGCCGTAGCTACATGCCGTGTCACCTGCAAACTCGCTGATTTTTGAAGAACCGTTTCAGGTAAAAAGAGCAACGATAGAAGAGAATAGAGGGAGGCATTTGAACGACTTAAAATTGCATGTGATTTGTCAATTACTTAAAATATTCATATGAGCATCATAATTTATGCTCCAGAAAAATACGTTCAAAACGCAAGTAAAGAAAGCAGACTTCGGCTTCTTCAGACGCAGTGGCACCATCCACAATCCACAATCATCCACAACGACAGGGGAAAACTTTACAATGTTTGTTAAGCTTTTTCGATAACTGGGTAACGATTAAATAACTGTTCGATAACTGGGTAACGATTAAATAATTTGCCTGCCAATTTGCCATCACTCTAAAATATGTTTCATTGGTTTTCAGATTGTCTAAATCACTTTTCATTTAAATCAATGCAATGAAAAAGAGAGCATACAGGGATACTGGGACAGGGCTGTAGCAATGTTATAAGCTGTGGCGGCGACGGCGTAGTGGGAATATTAAATCGGATAATTTGTAGTGATCTTTATGCGCTGTGGGCTGGCTGAGACAATACTGAAATGAAAAGCGAAGGTAGTAGTGTTAGTTTATCGTAAAGATGGAACGAGCTTTACAAAAAGGGATTAAACATCTTACAACATAGATGAAGATTTCGCGGTACAAACATTGTCAACAAAACACTATGCAAGAAAAACTTCATGAAAATATAGCAAAGGACACAATGGACCGTCAGTGTGCACTGTGCAGCCGAGCAAAACCTCAGGGAGACGGAACTGGTCTGCAATGCTGATCCCGCAGCCCGCTATGAGTTAATGGCATACTGACGTCACGAAGCGGGGTAGTTACGAGGCTCCCCTTGTCGCCCGAATCTCAGAGTGTTGCTCACCTGAGGCCCCTGGCCGTTGGTCCGTTTTCGGGGACTGTTAGACCGCAGTACGTGCTCTGTCAGACCGTCCTCAGCCCTGCGTCTCAGCCGCTCAGATACCTCCTCTTCTGTCTCCGACTGGTGGCCGGTGTCAGAGGCTGTACGGGCAGAGTTGTGGAGGGGTCACTAGTCACTACACTACAAACGTGGGAATTCATGAACACAAGGATATTTCTTCCATCGAGGCTACGTTAAGCATAAAGCGGGCTAGGCATGATAATCTACGCGATCTACGTGTCATTCCACCAGAAATCGCAGGCACGCACTTAGAACGAGGCTTTATAAAGAACAAATCAAAAGCAAAATAATACATCCTGCACACAGCACGAGCACCTCTCAGTGGTCCCTCACAATTTTTTTTCAAACTTATTTGCAGCCGATCTCTTACCGCAACAATCTTCCCACTTCGCTCCACCAGCCGCCGACGTACCGTCTCCGGCTCGTTCGACGCCGTCCGACTCGTATCGGTCCGAGTCCGGCTCTTGGTCCGGCGGTCGCCGCTCGGGCTCCGGCTGGTCATGCAGCCGCCGCCACCGCTCCGCCAGCCTGAGGACCTCCTCGTCGTCCAGAGCGGGCTCAAACTGGTCAGAGTCCGGCGAGCACGAGTCGCTGTCACTGCCGGGGGAGGAGGGAGATTATAATGAGATAAGGTTAAAGAGAGAGGTTATAATAATCGAATTTTTCTATTAACCCGCGCCCCGTAGGGCTACCGGCGGACCCTACCATCCGTAGGGGGGGGGGGGCGTTTCGGCCCCCCCCTAAGATCTCGGAAGTTTACCGGCCGATTTTCAAAATTCAAACGGCGTTCGATAGCCCCACCCGGGAACTATCTTGTGACCAAATTTCATTGACCTAGGTCGAACCGATGACGTCACAGGTCAGGTCAAAGGTCGGATTTTCACCGTTCACAGGCATTTCAAGAAATGTGTTGTGAAATCGAGTAAATTGGTAAGTTATTGAAAACCATCGATGGTACATTGTTCGTCAAACACATACTTCGCTATCTGAGGTCACTGATACCAGGTCAGGTCACAGAGGTCAGGTTACTGGGGGGTCACAATATGAACGACGAACGTGTCGTGTGATACATGTTTTATGGTCCATTTTACATGACAAATGCGATTATGTGGGTCAGGCTGCCTTTGAGGCCAGCTAAGGTCAAGTTTTGGTGAAGGTCAGGTCAAGGTCAGGTCATATTAGGTCAAATTTTAAAGTTGATATTTTTGCATAAAATGGGTATCGATTCGATGCAGCTCGTCACGGGGAGTCCAATGGTGGTCTTTGTTTTGTCCTACGTGGTCTATAATTGCCAAAAATTGAGTTTGAAAATTTGACGTCATCATTTTTGAACAGTTTTTTCGCTATAACTTGGCCAAAAAATGAGATATCGATCTGATATTTGGTATGTAGATAGAAGACGGTAGGTTCTATCACATAAATTCCGGTTTCTTTGAAACTCAAAAAACTTTTTGTATTTTTTGGCTAATATATCCAAAATATCGCATTTTTGATTTTTGGGGGGTTGAAACTCAAAAATTTCAAAAATCCGAGATAGCAGTTTTGTAGCCTTGTCAATTCTACACCTTTTATGTCTTGATCATTTTTCTGTATCTTGAAAGCTGTAGGCCTGAGAGCTCTTCTCGCGAATGTCTTTTTTCGGTCAAAAATGGCAGAACATGACGTCATTCTGACGTCATTTGTGGCCAACCTATCATAGCCTCTGGAAAAATTTTTGGTCACAATGTGTAAAATTGATGCCCGGAGGGGTCCTGAAAGTTTGGTGGCGATATCTCCAGCCGTTTAGGAGATATCGACGGAAAAGGACAGGGGGGGGCCGTTTCGCCCCCCCTACGGGGCGCGGGTTTTAACCCGCGCCCCACTGGGGTCTGCGTGTAACACGCCCTACTGGGGGGGGGGCTATTCATAGCCCCCCCTCCTAACTCCGAAACTACTGGGCCGATCGTCAAAATTCAAACGGCGTCTGATAGCCCCGGAAAAACTGTCGAGCGAAACCTAATTTCATTGACCTCGAGGTCACCGATGACGTCATAGGTCAGGTCAAAGTAAAGATTAGTAGCATTTTGGCTCGTTCACGTTTTGGGCTCTGGTCGCCGTCTTACAAGTCAGATCAGGCTCATTTTTTGTTCACACACTCGTGAACAGATGCTCTAGATACCCTGAGGGTACCAAACTTGTATTTTGATTTTCAGGTCAAGGTCAGGTCATCACAGGTCACGAAAATATTATATCATGCGTCGGTCACGTGACACATGTTTTATGGTCCATTTAGGCCAAAGATTTCGAATTTGATGTCGTCTGTGTCATTCGAGGTCATTTTGAGTCGAATATAGCTTAGGTCAGGTCACTTTCAGGTCAAAAAAGGTCAAATTTTGAAGTTTGAATTTTTCAATAGAAAAGGTGTCTATTGGATGCAGTTTGAGCTCAGGAACAAGATGGGGCTATTTATATTGGCGTACGATGTCAAATACGTGCTGAAAAATTGATTTGAAAAATTAATAATTGTGAATTTTTTGCAATAATGCGTATAACTTGGCCATTTTTGAAGATATTTAGCTAAAACAGGTTTTTTCGAAAAGTCAAAAACTTTTTGAAAAAAATGTAAAAATGTAAATTTTGAATTTTAAAATTTTCAAAATTTCGAAAATTCGAGATAGCAGTTTGATAGCGCAGTCTATTTTGAGCCCTCTCATGCAAAGAAATTGGATCTAGCTTAAAAACTGAGCCCTTGGGAGCGATTGCCGTGGTTCAATGTTTTGCGTCGAAATCGGCCGAACATGACGTCACTCTGACGTCATTTCCGGCCGACCTATAGTAGCTACGAAGTTCAAATTTTACCACAAGGTGTGAAATTGATGCGGCCGAAGGTACTGAAAGTTTGGCGTCGATACGTCAAGCGGTTTGGAAGTTATTGCAGAAAAACGGGAGGGGGGGGCTATAAATAGCCCCCCCAGTGGGGCGCGGGTTAAGCCTTTTAACTGGTGAGTTTAAGCACCAGAAGATACCATGAGACGATCAATTTACGACGGTAAGCTCCCTTCAACCCATCAACACAGGAAAATATCTTCCCGAGAAATTTCGTTGTCAATGGATTAGCATGCTCATGTGGTCTTGCACGCCCTAAAAACTGCGCTTAAAACTATAATTCGAGCCATGATCAACTTGGTTCAATTTTACCTCGCTCTGTCTTGATAGCGGCACCACGGTACAGTTGTACAATACACATATCACGATCACCTTCCTGACTCATCCCATACACCTCAGCAGTCAGCAGCATACAGCTACCCGTCTACCCTCCTCTCCCAATGGACGGACCTGCAGTCGGCGCCACTGAGCACCTCCTCGGTGGTGAGGAAGTTGCGGTCCGTCCACTCGTCCTCGTCTATCTCCGAGAGCAGCTCGTCCTCCGACATGGGGTCACACACGCTGTTCTCGAACTCTGCCCTCTCCGGGGTCACCCCGCGCAGTGAGAGGTGGGAGCGCATCTGCTGTGGACGGGAGGGACCGGGAGGGTGAGCGGCATTTGAATTGTGAGGAGGTAATACGCTGACAAAATACATTATCTCTGAAAATTACCGACAAAGGGCAGAACTCAGCTCTGTGAAAAAGAAAAAGGAAAAGTTTGCGCAAGTGTAGCTTCCAATCGTTCGACAAATACGTGCAACAAAACTCGGCAAAGAAGGGAAGTGAAGCAGTGGAAAAGTTTGGTTACAGTGTACACACTGTAAACAAAATGCGTTTGTTGGGCAATGTCTATTCTATAAAAAGGAACATTTGCTTGAGTCATATATATGACCCAACTGACATTCAAGCGATAATAGCCCGAGTTCGTAAAAGTTATCGATCCAAGTGATGCCTCCTGCCATTCCGCTCAGCCCTCAGGTCACGATTATCTCATCCGAGCTACAAATCTCACCTCTGTGACAGGAGAGGGGCACGGCGGCACGGTGGTTGTTGCCTCACTCTGCTGGTACTTGTACTTGACCAGCGAGTGAAGGCCGAAGTGGGGCACACAGAAGAACCGACCGGCATCAGCGTCGTACTCGCAGTTGCCTGTGGGTTGGTGTTCAGGGGTGAGCTACGTTGCAGAGACTAGGACTGTACCTATCATAGACTAAGTAGAATCGTGTGAACATGGTAGATTATCGCGCAGTTATAGCATTAACCTTGATAATGCGCGGGCCACTGGATAGAAAAAATCGCATGATTCGACTACGTGCACGACCTTCATCGTTTCAGAAAAGGGAAGAGGTACCTGATGCGTATCTACAGGGTGTTTCACTAAAAGTGTCAAAAAGTAAATGCTTATTAAAGATATATAAAATATGCAAATCACGTGGTTGCGCACGTGGCTTTGTTGCAAATTTTTGGACATTTATGCTTTGTCCATTTAAGATGTATTTTACACCCATACGGAGCGAGGGCAGGAGGCCAAAGTTACTAGTCGTTTTTTTTTTCCTTAGGTATACAGAACAGGCTATTTACACCTCAACAGGAGGGGTGAATTACACTTACATTTGGTGCCATCAGAAATATTGAAACCGTATGCCGACTTTTCAGGAAACGTTTTACTCTCTCATCTCGCTACGTTCCAGATTATAAAAGTTTAAAAGGGCTTCTTAAGAGGTTTAAAAGGGCTCCTTCGATGCCAGTTCCAGTCAAAAAAAGGCGGGGTCGCCCCCACCTCTCGGCGGAAACCGTTTGAAAGGTCAGGGTCTTTTTGAGGGCCTTTGAAGATAACAAGAAGCTAATTTCAACATCAGAAACAGTCAAGGCCTTACAAGTTATCAAAAACAACCACTGTGACGGCTGTAGCCACCAGGAACTGGCTGGACCAGAAGTTCCTGGGCCAAATAATCAGCTGCCTCACCGCCCGCCCCCATGGCCAGCGCGAAGCCCCGATCTGTCACCGCTAGACTTCTGGTTCTGGTCAGTGACTCAGTAGCTCTCGCAGAGCTGAGGAAGACTCAAGTCGCATCACTTCTGGAGCTGAAGAGCACAATTCAAGGCTTTGCCGACAGTCTGGACGCTGAATATGAAAACGGACTGTGAGGCACCTCCGGACACGTGCCGAGACGGTGCATCAAAAGAAGGGGCGGATATGTGGAATAGGTTCAAGTGACGGTGATATCGTTGTTATACATTCAAATGTCCAACAATTGCGGATGAAATGATATGCAAATTTCCTTAGAAAACATTGTTCTTATGTGCATTATGACCTTTTACTTTTTGACACTTTTAGTGAAACACCCTGTATGAATTACAAACAAGTTACAACTACCAATGTTTAGTGCCCTCGACCTGCCATTTGGGTAGGATGCATTAGATGAACTCCCAGTTGACCCCTACCCTGCCCAAAGTGCCCCATTTGGGCCCCATTGAGAGCGAGAGCAGGCTAGACACCTAAGCTCGGTTCAGACGTCAACTCACCTGGCTTCAGCGTCACACTGCAGTACTCGCATCGGAAACACCTCGGGTGGAAGCACTTCCCCTGAGCCACCATCCGGTCCACGAGAAACACGCGCTGACTGCAGAAATGGCACGGCTCGTGCGCCGCCGCGCCTGCACCCTGGTGGCGGCAGGCCCAACCTTCAGTTCAGTGGCGCCCGCCAGGCGGCGTCCGGTGAGGGTGTCACCGTCGTCCGTGCAGAGTTGGAGGGTTAGCTGCTTGCTCGGCCGAGAAGCGATGTTCGTTTGTACAGAGGATCGGTTTGAGTAGTTGGGTCGAGGCGTCAGTCGATGTCGAGTCACTTTTTGCGTAGAGCATCAGCGTCTTAGTCTGGCTTTATGACTCGGGTCTCCTGTCGAGTCGGACGTCTGCCTCCTCACTCGATGTTCAATTGTTCGAGACAGAGAGACCAGACAGAGGTTTTTTTTTTGTTTTGTTGGGTTAGGCCCTTTCGGTCGACAAGACCATTGCAGAGCCGGAAGGATGATAGGAATTAGGGGGAGACATTGGTCTGGGCAGGCACCCTAGTGAGTCGCCGGGGCTGAGCCCGTCCAGAGGACAGGCCACCCAGCCTCAAGGCACTCACTGCACCCGGCTACGGGGTGCGCTCCTTCAGGAGCAGCGATGCCGCTCCAAGGGAGCAGCCCGCATGAGATAAAGTTGCCTGCCCAGCCCGGAAGGGGGTTGTGGCGTGGAGGAGAAGGATTTCAGTATCCTGAGGATAGAAGCACGGACAGGTGCCAGACAGAGGCTAATTACCCCGCCTATAGCTATGCATGCGGTGGTATACGCATGATGTAAGCATCGAACTACGCGCTATATTCAAGCTACAAGTCGCGCTGTGCAGTGTGCAGTGTGCACTTTGTGCTATGTTCAAGCTCGTCATGGTCCCATCGTCTTGTGTTGGTCAGAAACTCGGTCCTTCGTTTGTCGGTTCGATTGTATTCAAGTCACATGCAGCATCATACATACATATAGCGTCAAAGTCGATATCGTTTCAAAGTTCGTATCATACAAGGAATGTCCATTGTCTAGTGTCCACTGTCCAAATAAACTATAATAAATAAGTGTGTGATAAACATAGTCTACAAGCCACGGGAGGTCATATATCATGCGTTACTTAACGTTCATGGCGTTTCCTATGATGCAATTACGTCAATGGCAGAGAAAATCAAGCCATTTGCAACCTAGCGAAAGCCAACTTTCTCGTGTAGGCCTTAGTAAGTGTGCGTGGTTTGGCGTTTCATGCGTGTTAAACGTTATAGCAAGTAGTTACTGATGCGTTGCCAGCCGACTACTGATCCAAGTAAATATAAAAGTTGTCTGTGACGAGCGTATCCCTGAGCTCATGTTAGTCCATATGGCGCATAGATGTGCAGAAGACGTGTTCGTATATACACCTGGCCACCAGCCCATTTCAGCCCGTGTATGGTACATCCACCCGCGACAGGTAGTTCCGTGATCCACCGCACCGCGGCGCCACCGGAGCCGCTACTGAAAAGCCGTGCCATGGATGAGTGGAGAGAGCATAGGAGCCCAGGACAGAGTGGCAAGAGGGGCGGCGACAGGCGGGCAAGAGAGCTAGCCGATGATTATTTGGTGTTTTAGGACGCACCAGCAACGAGGCTATATGGCGCCCAAACAAAAGAGAGCTAGCCGACTACACTGGAGAGACCAGGCGAGGCAAGTCGAGGCAAGACCGAGGCAAGACCGAGGCAAGACTGAGGCAAGTCGAGGCAAGGCTGAGGCAAGACCGAGGCAAGACCGAGGCAAGACTGAGGCAAGACTGAGGCAAGACCGAGGCAAGACTGAGGCAGGCGGGGACAGAGCGGCAGCCGGAACCGAAGCATACCAGAAGCTTAGTCCGCGATACCAAAGCAGGCCCGAGCAGAGGTTAATACATTTATTGGTGTAAAAGAGCTGTAAAACAACAACATTCGATAACATCTGTCATATCTCTGATAATATCACACACAGAAAGCGTATGGTTTCATATCGCGGAGCTCACATAGAGCAATGAAGCTATATCTACTTTTCGGGTGAGCAGGAACCACAAAACAATCCGTCGATGGCTAACAATGTTACACCGCACCGACTGTGGGGCCGAACGCCACGGGGCGCCGCCATCACAGCTAGCAGGCGCTGACAGGTACACGGGGATATATCACGGGGATCCGCACCCCTGGCGGCCCGAGACCCGACCCTTGTGACCCAAAATCTGCCGGTCCTGAGAGGGTCACAACTCACAACCTTCTGCCGCCGGAGGCTGACGATACAGCCTTCGGTAGGCCGACTCACTCGAATAACCTGACTGAGCAACTGAGCTAACTAACTGAGCGACTGCTGGGCCTATCTACTGACCAACTGACTCTCAACTTCAGTCTCCCAAACACGTGACTGAGCCTATCACTGGACTAGCGACCGGCTGCGCTGCCAGCTATCCCTCCAGAACCCTGAGCGCATCACCGACCACAAGTGTAAGCGCGAACATGGCCAGCGTATAGCACACGCACGCCACTAGGATAGCGCGCAGTCGGCCGAGCGCAGCACGCGCAGAGCTGCGCAGCCGCACCAGCAGGCCAGCGGGCGCGGCTGTTCGTACCTGGGCGGGCGCGGCGGCGGCCGGCCGGTGACTGTTCCCGAACCGCGCCGCCATGGCTGACACGTGGTTCGAGCCACGCTGACCGTAGTCGAACCGTCGGAACGGTATGACGTCTCCGCCAGATAGGCTCTGAATCGTCTGGAACTGGGGGAGACGAGATGGGGTGTGGGTTAGAGCATCTAGAACTGCGGGGCGACGGGATGAGATATGGGTTAGATTTTTCTGCTGCAATACTGGCTCGATTAGACCATCTAGAACTGGGGAACGAAAATGGGCATGGGCGAGAGCATCTGGAACACCGGAACACAGAGACGGGGATGAGTAAGATGCTTTGGAACAAAAATGGTTACATGTGAGTGTATGAAGCGTAAGCTTGTCGGTATAGAGAGGGGCGGTAGGAGAGGGATGCACATATTTGAGGTTCACAGCGACATGACCCATGACTGTGGGCTGAGAGATTAGTTGTGCTTTACTTTCACATGCTTTTTGTTCCCGGTAACATTGTTTGCTTTCTGATACGCAGCGGGGCAGTGGCCATGATGGGATTCCCAGGCGATAGTGCGGTACGGTAACAGTTATCGCACCTTTCACTGATGTTAGACCATTACTTAGTTGAGAGGATAAGACTGGGAGAATGGGGGACACAATGCACTTGAATGAATATGAAACGCCGGGAAAACAATGGCAGCCATTCAATCGACAATGTGCGGAATTTCAAGAACGACATTATGCTTGTCGAAAGGTCAAAAGGTAAGAACAATGCAGCGCAAGGCATGATTTATCTCGATGTGTGCTTTGTCACCCAGCTGTTTTCAAAGCCCGGCAAGCAAATTATATTTTACGTAGAAAATGGAGTTAAAATAGTTAAATTAGCGGCAGGCACAATGCACACTACAAATTACAAAACATCCACAATTCACTTACAAAAATCACTTTCGGCAGATACAACACAAGCCGTTCTGCTACTTCATGGAAACAAAACAAAACATTGATCGCATAAATCCACAACAGCTCAGGTCATGGTTCCCCTCTGGAACTCATCAAACAACATCCACCCTTCACTCTGAACATCAGCTATTCGTAGCATCGCTTTCCTAACCTGAAAATAACCGTCCCGGCTCCAAAATAGCCCCGGTCGGACGCCCATGAGTCAGTCAGTCAGCCGTGGGCGGCAGGGGGCCGGGCCGGTCAGGCTCACCTTATCGTCAAAGGCGTCCCGGTTCCACCGGGGTACCGGGTAGTCTTTGTCTCGGTTCACGAACGGCCGGCTGTTCTCCTCGATTTTCTTCTCGATCTGCTGCAGGTTCCAGTCCTTTTCGATTCTCCCGATGACTCGGGATACCGGCTTAAAAAAAAAAACGGAATAAAAGATATATCAATGAGGTTCGTTCTTCAAGCGGTCTAAAGAAAACTATATTGTAAAATATTACATTCAGATATGTTAGCTGACACAAAAAAGTGAGCAAGTAAATAATGAACTCACCTTCGGTTTCTTATCGGGAGGCTGGTAGGTTCCGCTGAACTTGGCCTCCAGATCCTTCACTTTGGAGGCGAACTGTTCCTTCTTCGATAGCTCTGGTTCCGCCTGCTTCGCGTTCTTCTTCACTTCCGGTGTCACACGGCTCTGTCAAATATGACAAGCGTTAGTTACAGTGAATCAGGAAACCAGATACAAGAGGTACTGGTTGCGGCTTTTGAGCTTTGACTCAATGTCTCGAGGAAATAGCGGTCAAAGACGCGAAATATTTTTTCTTAGTCAGGTAACTGGTAGACGGATAAATGATGATTCAGCCTATGGTCAAATCCAATGATCCATACATAGACCTCTGTACACCGGTCTATGATCATACAGAGGTCTATGATCCATATAACACAGAGCTGAAGGATTCCCCAATTAGTGACAATTATACTGACAATGAAAAGAATTAATCTAACAACATATGCTGTCGATTCAAGGGGCTAAAACGTAGTCATGCGTCATGGAAGAAAATATTGACGGCATCCGACAAGCAAAACAAGGACGTCTGGTCAGCAGCCAAATCTGTCAAAAGCATAACTAAAAGACTGTTAGTTTCACACGTGTCTGAAGCCAAATTCACAAATCACGATAAAAAGTCACAACCAGGCTGCTTAGTCATCTCGGCCAGCTTCGTTAGTCCAAAATCCAAATAAACACGCATTAAATCCAAGCGCTACACAAACTAGCCAACTACTACTCAAAGTCTGGACAGGGATACCACGCACAAACAATCCTCACAGGCCGAAACACCATGTCTTCCAGTCTGCTGCGCCGTGACGCGAAGTCAGCCGCCGTCTTCCTGTACAGGTGTACCGTGAAATCATCAAACTCCCCCTGCTCCTGCTCATCAGCTGCTCCGTTCAGCAAGGTCGCCTCCAGATCAGCCTTCCTCTGCGCCAGGGACCTTAGCCGGCGCCGCTCCCAGTGAACAATCCTGCTTTGTTCTTTCTCTTGATCTCCACCATTAGCCAGAGTACGCTCCAGGGCGGCCAGCCGGGACCTCAAAGAGCGACAGTCCAGTCTCGAGTCTTCCCCATCCTCTCCGCCGGTGGGAGACGTGACTCCCGATGCTGACTCTACAGACTCGATCGACTCGAATGACTCCATTGAGCTCATGCCTCGGAAGGCTGCCTCGACGAGCGCCATTTTGCGACGGTCGACGGGCGGTGGTGCAGGCCGGGGTGGAAGGGGTACAACAGGAGGGACCGCGTCCCAACTGAGACTGGAAGACGCGCTGGTGGACTCCGGGTCCTGTTGCTCCTGCTGACGGTCCTGCTGGTCCTGTTGGTCTCCCTGTTGGTCCTGTTGGTCGTCCTGGTCGGGTTGGTCCTCGAGCTGGTCCAGCTCCTCAGCAGCCGCGGAGTCCAGCGAGCCTGGCTGACTGGAGTCGGCCCACTCGCTCTACGGGGTGGGGCGGCACGGTGCGAACCAGCCACACTAGTCAGGACGGTCGAAAACAGCGGAAACATAATGAAGACAGCTTGAAACCCGCTTATTCGGTTACTGATTCCGGGTACCTAACTGCTGAGCATAAGTGTATCCACGAACAAATGGACAACAAAACATATATTCATAGACCCGCTTTCTACATATTATACAAACCGTTTGTCAAACATTTCCACTTAACTAGCCAATTAACCATATCCCTCCACCCGCCGTCTTTCCTCTTCCTTCTCTCCCCCGCCCCGAGTTCTTACCGCTTTCTGGTGGGCCGCGTCGTTCTTGCGTTTCCTGTACCGTCGCATGGTGTCTCCATTGGCGGCGTGGCGGCCTTCGGGTGTGTGGCGGATTGGAGACGCTCGCTGGGGCGAGCCGTCCTCCCCACGCACCATCTCCTGTCGCCAAAGGTCACAGTTAGAGCTGGTATAAAACAGCTGTCGGGGCTCGCTGTCGAGTAAGATAGCTATACCAGAGCTGCGGTAAGATACCTGTCAGGTTTGCGTGCTGTAATGTAGCTGTCAGATTTCCGTTACAGTAGCTGTTGGAGCTACAGTGGTCACATGAAACTGTTTTAGCACGGCGGGGCGAGCAGATATTCATTTACTAAACCATCAGTTGCCAGAGTCTGTCTGACTGTCGCACGGTCATTACATGACCATTAGCTGACCATTACGGCAATGTACGACCGTAATTGATTAATGGCTTCATCTGAAGGCTGCAGACGCAGAGCGAAGTTGGGTATCAATTCTGATGACGTGAGTCTGCACAGGAAATTAAATACGAGCCACACAGCCGAAATTAAATACGAACACAGCCGCTTCAAGCTCTCTTAGATGTCATACTTATGATTTATTTTTAATAATTATGAAATAAATCAAATCGTTCCAAAGCATAACGTACAAATAAAATAATAACGCAACGCCTTAGAGCTCGTAGTAAATCCCTCGGAGTTATGAGCACCTGGATGTGATTTTTAAGCTTTATTCGACAGCACCACCTGTGCATTCCTAACGGATTTTCGCAGCACGTAAAGTAAAACCAAAACAGCTGCATCGTAAACAATCGTCACAAATGCCTCGACAAGGATATAAATAGAATAATCCACTGTCAGCAACAAGGCAACAATATATGCTGCTTCTAAGGATATAATAATTCACAAGACCAACGAAATGCGACTTACGTCATTGTAAATTACAAAGTGGACCTTGAGTAGGCAATAAAAGGCGACCTTTTGACATTCGGTATATTTCTAATAGAAATACACGTGGTCGGAAGTAATGATCAATATTCAATGCGAGAAAAAACTTATGGCAAATGTTTTGAAGTTGCTTTCATGACAAATGATGCGAGAAAATTAACTAATTGTGTGACATATTCTACTCCACATTATAATATTCTGACACCACCAGTAACACATCTCCTCCCCGAACCTCATCACCACTAACCATGAGCCAGGCCGTGGCCAAACGACACTAACCATGAGCCAGGCGGGTCGGGGCGGCGCGGGGGCCGGCGGAGCTCCGTGCAGCGCGTCGTACACGCGACTGAGGAACTCCAGCAGCTCCTCTGGGTCGGCCTCGCCTTCCGCCAGCAGCTCGGCGGTCAGCCCGTGCGGCACCGGCAGCTGGGAGCTGAGCAGCCGCAGCGCCAGTCGCCACCGGTCCAGGGGTTCAGAGGATACGGAGCAGGGCTGCAGCAGCTCCGGTCGGTATAGACGTAACAGGCCGCAGATCGCCTCACCTGGAGATACAAGGGGAGAGATGAGGAGGGTCTTAGGAGAGGGAAGAAGTAGGGTGGTGGTGGTGGAAGACTGAGAAGAAATAACGCGAACAATTAGTCAACATCCAAATGAATCGCAAGCACTTAATTGTCTTCGGCATCAACTGATGGACAGAAGTCAGTACGTGACACAGTGAGACAGAGAGCAGCTCAAAACAAAACTGCAACACCACGTTTCTACGCCCATATTATCTAAGCCGAATAACAGTGATCTGATATTAACCGCAACGTGGAATGCACCACGCGAGATCACAACACACCCACAACACACACCCGATGTGGGCCGAACGTCCCTCCGAGTGGGCAGATAGCGGAGAACTGACACGGGCCTCCCAGCCGACCGGTAAAACGCTGGCTACCCGCCCGTAGTAGGTCACTAATGTCTCCACCCATGGCTCCACGTCCAAAGTCAACAGCGCCAGAAAGGCGGCATCAGCCGCTGGATATATCTAATAGACGTCCGAAATGACGCTAGAACTGCCCGGAAATTGCAGACTCCGAGAGTAAGTGAACAGACCCACTAGGCAACAGGCTCACAGCCAGAAAACTTCATGTTTCAGGCAACAGAGCATTACTCTCCCTCTATCATATACCTTACCTTACCTTATCGGCTATCGGGTAATAAGGCCACTAAGCCTGGAGGTACCGCTCCCATCGAGCGTGTGTGATAGGTAAAGTACTACCGAACAATGCCTACCCAGTCCCGCACAACCCATCCCGATGTCTGTCTTCTCATTGAGTTCATCACCTACCTGACTGGAAGGCGTCACTGAGGTCAGCAGCTTCCACCTGAAGCCGGCGGCGACACCAGCGGAGCAGCGCGGTGGGCTCGATCGGGCGGTACGGTCGTTTGTGCGGGGGTAGCTCCGGCTGACCGGTCTGCACGGCTGACACAGCCGCAGCCAGGGCCGCCTCGGCAGCCAGACACTCTGGGGAGTCTGTGTCGACCATGTGCCGGACCTGGTGCGGCAGAACCGACTGCAGGTTCAGGTTTGGGTACCTGCCGGGAGGGCGGAGGTCAGGTCACCAGCCACGGGAAGGTTAATGCACCGGTCAGGGTCAGACGTCACGACTAGTTCAGGTCAATGCTCGTTATGAGGTTAAACCAGCCACCAAAATTCGATCCGGTTTGCAGTAAGACATCAAGGTCATTGGTCCAGTTCGGTCAGAGCAGATCAGCACTGAGCTTTCTCAATCAAACGCGCCTAACAAGAAAAAGTCGTGACCAGCAAAGGGAGTTCAATGCAAAAGTAGCAGAATGTAGTTGAACGAATGCAACGGATATGAGTGCCGCAGCAAACTTGGGCGTCGGTACACACCATACCAAGCCGGACATGCCACATAAGCTGCAGTGCGTCCAAGAAATCCAAGCAATGTGATTGTTTGCATCCTGCTATGGTACAGTCAACAACCACACACAAACGAAACTAGAATGCTCGCTGAATTCCACTACCGGCTTAAAGGGAGCGTGCACATCAACAACCAATCAATGTCTGTCTGACTGGATGGGTGCACTGGGTAAAACGTAAATGGACACATCCTGTCGAAAATACCTCTCAAAGCGAATGTGAAAAACAATACCGTGACTAGTGCCGCCACAACGTGGACGATTTTGGACGCTGGTAGGAGACAGTTGTGGTTATCCAGTAAGAAAGAGGACAGCAATTGTTGACAAGTGGGAGGACAGGGTCAGGAGGTTCAAAGTTGAATCAGACATCGATCGGATGGGTTCATAGCCATATGGCCCGCAGTCAAGGACGGGAAAGGGGCACAGAACATGGATGTGTGACGTGACTATGAGGGTAGTTTCGACGTATAACGACATAATGTGTAACATTCAACTACTATTCACCAGCTACTAAGCACGTCCCGTATCGTACACCTCTAGCTCTTGCTTCCCACTCCTCTCCCCCTCAAAAAAAGCATGCGAACGCAAGACAAAAGCGCGGCGAGTCTACGGTCACTCAAACTTCGGGCTACGAGGTCTCACTACAAATATATGTACAACTCCCCATTAAAGCGGAAGTCATTCCACTCTCCCAATTCAGACTATTCACTGACCTGGGGCCGTATTCACGTCGACTTCGTAAGTCGATTTTCTTTCGTAAGTATAATTTGGTATTCACGTCGACACTTCTTAAGTTTTTATCGACGGAGTTCACGTGAATAAAAAAATTTACTTAAGAAGTAGGTCAAACTTAAGAAAATTCTTACGAAAATGATCGACGTGAATACGGCCCCTGGTGCGCGGGTCCAGACTGTAGCCTCCCAGGTCGCTGCTGAGGTTTTTCGGTGTGGTCTGCGCCAGGAGTCGATAGGTAGACTCCCGCTCAGCCAGACACTCGAGCGTCGAGACGCGCGGGTTGGCCCACGAGCGGATCTGCCACCCGGCGTCGAAACAGGAGAGGAACCCACGCGCGCATCCGCTGCCAGTAGGCCAGAAGGGCTGTGGGTGGAAAACGGTGCGTGTCAGAAGGGGGGGGGGGCAATCAGGGGCACGAGACGTCATCTTGAGCGGGGGATTACGATATAACGATACACTGATACTAGGGTCACCAGCACGGGTTAACGATAAACAGTGTGCGACAGTTGACTGCCTATTTTTTACGGAGCGAGCGAAGCGAGCGTAGTCTTTCCTTAGATTAACGGAAATTTCTGAGTATGAGCGGCCGGCCGGCCGGCCGGCCGGCCGGCCGTGGTCACGCTTTTGCGAGGCTTATATCTCAGCAACCACTTGACCGATTTACATGCGGTAAATTTTGTAGGGTAGCTTCATTCCTTCTACCAAGTATTGGACTATTCCCGATGCATGTGGGTGACCCCTTATGCACGTGCCACGTGCAAAACGAAGAGGTGTCACTTTTGTAATTGTTGCAATATCTCGGTAACTACTGGGCCGATTGCGCTGAAAGTTGGCATGTAGGTAGGCACCCACTAGGCAATGCATACCCATGTGCCAGAGTTGGGGTGCTGCTGCACGTGCGCACGTGCAGGGGTCGATTCCAGATCTCGAGAACGGCTGGACCGATTGCGCTCAAATTTGGTACACGGTTACGGAGCAGTTAGTAGGGTGCCGTGCACAAGTCAGTTGGGACCCATTTTGCACGTGCGCACGTGCAGGGTGCCGCTTCCAGATCTCGAGAACGGCTGCGCCGATTGTGCTCAAATTTGGCACATCGCTAGAGACCGGTTAGTAGGGTGCCGTGCACAAGTCAGTTGGAGGTACCCCCTCGCAATTTCGCACGTGCAAGGCCCACCCTCTCGCTCGCTCCGTTAATCGCCCCATAAGGCGTTATACTGGTATTATTGTGACGTCAAGTTGTCGAGGAGGCGTGAAAGGTGTGGAGTTCATCAGTATTATCATAAATCAGAGGCTCAGCGTTATCTCAGCAGCTCATCCGTGAAGAGCCTGATATCTCAATGGTGAGATATGTGCGGGGTGCGGGAAGGACGACAAGGTCACGAAATTGCACATCATCAAATATGCGTGGATAAGGGAAACGCGACCGAGTGATTGCGAACAAAGAAGAACAGATCAATCTCACGCACGAAATCCTACAAAAACGCAGTTTCGTCACAGCACAAGGACCGCATTGCATCACTAAGAAAGCGTGGGCGTTACTGAACAAAGGTGTGGATAGAAAACAGAGCGCCTCAAAACAGCGACACTGGCGATGATTCGGACCACTGCCCTGATTTCTTGTTATGCTTACAGAGCATCGCTATCGCACGTTTACTTAGTCCAATCTGAAGTAAGTCACCTTGATCCCCGGAAGGACACGAGGGTGTGCTCTATCATCGGCTCAGAATCAGGGGCCGTGACGTGACGACGACGTGCAACGGGTTGATGGTGAGCGGAACGGGGGCAACAACGGATAACAGCGAACGTGTCGGAACAAGAAACACGGACTGTGGACGGTGATACACCGCCCACTATGAGGTCGTCATTCGCTGACCACCGTGTAATGAACACGTTGAGCTGGCACGTACGGTGTTCAAAATAAAGCAGCATCGTCGATGAACAATGCAAAACGACAGCTTTGTCAAACGTAATTATAAAAATGGTTCACAAATATTCACTAAAACGGTCAGTCAACGGGTAGCATCATATCCCCCCGACAACACAGCTCAACTTCTCCGCATCATCTATCAACCAAAACTGTCTCCAATCGCTCCAATCTACCATCAAACCCAGCCTCAGTGACACCTAGCCTCGCGATCACCCACCTCGAGAAGGCTGTCTCCCACCAGCTGCAGTAGCAGTCCGTGACCATGCCGTACGATCGCCGTACTGGCGTAGCACGAGGCGTACATGCACGTGAAATCAAACATGGCCAGGTCCTCCAGGCCGTAGTGGTTGACGGCGAATTTGAGCTCGGGCAGCTGGAAGTCGGTGGAGAAGTCGGCTGCCTCTCGGGCGAAATCCATCAGTCGGGCCCGGTCGATGTTGGATGGAGACAGAAGCTGACCTGTGTCCATGTAGTCCTGTGGATGGGAGAGGCGGTCAGTGGTAGGTAGATGCTAGTAGTGAGGTGCGAGAAAGTTAATACAAGGGATCAGCATCTCACTAGATCATCTCATCCAAATAGCAGCTGGATAATTACGAGCGAGCGAGCGCAGCGAGCGAAGCGAAGTCTTTTCAATATAACGGAAAAATCTCAGTATGAGCGGCCCGGCCTGTAACGCTTTTGAGAGGCTTATATCTCAGCAACCGCTGGACCGAATGGCCTGCGGTCTTTTTTGCTGGGTAGCCCCATCCCTTCTACCCCGTAATTGACTACTTTTGATACATCTCAGTGACCGCCGTGGCACGTGCCACGTGAAAAGTCAAGGGTGTTCAAGCAGTTTTGCAAAAGTAATGATTTCAGAGGCCCATATCTCAGCAGCGGCTTAAGCGATTGTCTTGCGGTCATTTTTATAGGGTAGCTGCATCCCTTCTACCAAAGGTCGGATACTCTTCATCTATGTGAGTGACCCCCACTGCACGTGCAAAATACAACAATAAGAGGTGCCAAATTTGTTCCCATTTCAGTAACTCGGTAATTACTGGGGCGATTTCGCTGAAACTTGGCATACAGGTAGGCACCCACCAGGCAATGCATTCCCATGTGTTGCGGTTAGGGTGCTACTGCACGTGCGCACGTGCAGGGGGCGTTTCCAGATCTCGAGAACGGCTGGGCCGATTGCGCTCAAATTTGGTACACGGTTGGGGATCGGTTAGTAGGGTGCCGTGCAAAAGTCATTTTGGACCCCGTTTGCACGTGCGCACGTGCAGAATGCCGCTTCCAGATCTCAGGAACGGCTGGGCCGATTGCGTTCAAATTTGGTACACCGCTATCGACCGGTTAGAAGGGTGCTTTGCAGAAGCCCGTTGGAAGTACCCTCTCGCCCTTCTGCACGTGCAGGGCTCACTATCTCGCTCGCTCGTTCTTCGCCCAAAAGGCGTTTTACTGGTTATAGTGAGGCTTTTATAGTGATGTAATGATTAAGTTGTGTAATACATGTTTGAAGCAAACGACAATTGTGATACATGCATATTGCATTTGTTTGCTATGAAAAGAAGCATTTGACATATATTTGAAGTACACTAAAGCTTAACCACAGACGGACAGCAAGTATTGCATCACTAAATCAATGCAAGGTTGCGCCTTATCTGCCGCACTGACTTGCACTCGATTCTTATCAAGTCGACTGTCTGAAGGCGGCAAAGTCTTTGATTGACGGGGCCCACTCAGGAAACACTTGAAGCTCAAAGGACTATAGACAAAGATGGTCGGAAGCAAGAAAACCATACACGTGTAATGTGTATCAATAGAATCGCGAAACAATATGGCTTACAAAAAGTCACTTCTGTTACTCGCATCCCCAAAAAGTGCAAGAAACAACAAAACGACTCAAAACAAAGCGTACTAATCAAACGCAATAGCTATCCCATCCCGGAACAACTTTCGAAGAAGCCCTAAAAAGCAGCCCCACTTCAAAGTGTAGCTTTACCTGCAGTATGACGCCCTTGGCCAGCAGGCTGTGCTTTTTGGCCGTCATGACAAAGTAGTGCGTCTCGTCCTTGTAGTAGACGATGTTCTCCAGGTCGATACCAGTGGCGGCGCTCAGGTCCTTGAAGAACTTCTGGTTGAAGATGAACGCCACGCCCGAAATCTCGTCGACGCGTGCCTCCGCCTCCGTGTGACGGTTCACGAAGTTGGCCGTGATGGCGATAGCCAGCTTGCCGCGGAACTCCTTGCGCCGGAAACCTGGCGGTACAAGGCAGTAGGGACGTGTTAGTGCTTGGGACAGACTGGCAGCTTCAGATAGCCATTTTGTTTTTTAATCGGGAGCAACAGGTCGAAGCATTTGTTGAAAGACATATAATGCAGAAGTTTTGCCACATTTTAGGCACAACTGTCATACTCAGAAAAGCTTGTAACAATTACATATAGTACCAGTATAGCGCCTTTTGGGGCGACTAACGGAGCGAGCGAGAGGGTGAGCCTTGCATGTGCGAAATTTCGAGGGGGTACCTTCAACTGACTTGTGCACGGCACCCTACTAACCGGCCTCTAGCGATGTGCCAAATTTGAGCACAATCGGCCCAGCCGTTCTCGAGATCTGGAAGCGGCACCCTGCACGTGCGCACGTGCAGAATGGGTCCCAACTGACTTGTGCACGGCACCCTACTAACTGCTCCCTAACCGTGTACCAAATTTGAGCGCCATCGGTCCAGCCGTTCTCGAGATCTGGAAACGACCCCTGCACGTGCGCACGTGCAGCAGCACCCCAACTCTGGCACATGGATATGCATTGCCTAGTGGGTGCCTACCTACATGCCAACTCTCAGCGCAATCGGCCCAGTAGTTACCGAGATATTGCAACAATTGCAAAAGTGACACCTCTTCGTTTTGCACGTGGCACGTGCATAAGGGGTCACCCACATGCATCGGGAATAGTGCAATACTTGGTAGAAGGAATGAAGCTACCCTACACAAATTACCGCATGTAAATCGGTCAAGTGGTTGCTGAGATATAAGCCTCGCAAAAGCGTGACCACGGCCGGCCGGCCGGCCGGCCGGCCGCTCATACTCAGAAATTTCCGTTAATCTAAGGAAAGACTACGCTCGCTTCGCTCGCTCCGTAAAAAGCAGTACCTATTGCACAACAGAACTAACAAAGACATTTGTCGCAAATAAGATCATCTAAACCACACCCCAGTTTCTGCACAACAGTGACGCATTGTTTTGACCGAGAAACCCTGCCAATGATCATATTCCCGACTGGTTCCGGGTGCGCCGCACCTGAGAACAATCCGTGAGGGTCAGCATAGCTGTCCACTCCGAGCGTGTCCGCAAAACAATGGCGCGCGATCGACACCTCACCCACATTCCTCGGTTACTACACCGGAACAGGAGCGGGCCGAGCTCATGACAGTCGACACGGAAGCTAGCGAAATTGAAAGGAGTGTCGGCGTTAAACCCCCGAGGAGAACGAGGTTATCATGAAATGAAACTGAGCATATGAAGGGACGTACCGAGGATCAGACTAGTTGCAACTGCAAATAAGGATTAGCATTGCGTGCTCCTCCAGCTGCCGAAAATCATGAACACTTTCCTGTTGCATTTAGCGCATTTTGCTGAGTATTTTGACGGTACAAAAACGATCTTTTGCACTTTATAGCATAGTATGTACGTACATGACCCGATAAATCGTTTAGCCAGCCGGTGGTGTCAGAAAAACGACAGCGTAAAATGATGTTACCGAGGCCCTCCACTTTTTCATTTACCATTCACGGCTATCTGTGACTTAGCATTGCATCAGTGATTCGAGCCAGCCGACACGTTCGGCCCCGCAGACAAATGCATTTGATGTTCCGCGCAGAGGGTGTCTCCTTTGCCCGCCCATATTTGGTTTGTCAGCACCACGACAGCAGAAAGGAGCCATTTGTACCGCCCGACCCTCACTGCACGCTGTCTTACAGATGCCGTGGGAGGTTTCCATTACGCCCGACGGCGACCGAACATTTCGCAACAGTCAACTTCCGTGACTTTGAACACACCCCGGGCACGCGATCGGTGGCCATTCAGCGGAAACGACCAGATCCGTAAACAGACGCTCGAGTACACACCACTCCCGCTATTGTCACTGTCTGCCGGCTAGCGAGACTTCCGCCTTCATGGCGTCACTACAAATACAGAGAGTTTCACTCGTCTCTCACCCATGGGTAATCAATAACCCTCCGATAATGCTAATCGCTTTGGATACGTCGCTTTCGCCGACCCTCTCTGCGCTGATTGAGCTACGCGTCTCGTGAGTTCTCCGAGACAAACTGCACACTTTAAAACTTGTGACGGACATTAATCCACCAGATTTGCCTCACCCCGAGAGAAAGTCGCAGTGTGTCCCGCAATTTGAGGAACATCCCCATCTGACGGTGGTCTCGCCAAATGTCTCTCCGCATTTACCATCCGCGCTGGGGCATGCATACTCAACTAGGACCGCCGGCCTCGCTGGCCCCAGGCCCCATGCCAGAGTCGTAAGCCGTACAAGTTCGTGAATGCAGATGAGGGCGAATGCAGTCCCAGCGGCAAAGACGAGGCAGGGACATACCATGGGACCATGATTATACAATGATTATATGATTATAGACGGTCTTAACCACACGGTTTTGGAAGGAACTTCTAGATGTTCGTCTTACGTCTGTTTCGTCGATGTTGTGGCCAGTGATTAGGAGCATCCTCGAACATGGATGTTAAAAGAGACCCATTAGGAGAAGGGACAACGGACAAAGACATTTGTGCTCCTCTGGGTCCCCCCCCCCCCCCATTATCATCACGCATGTTTCACTCACACACACGACTCACATTTGAAGGTGTTTCGTTTGCCGTCGGCTCCAATGAGCACATCGAACTGGAAGCTGGCAGCCGGGTGGTCGGGCGGGCTGAGCCGCGCGCGCCAGCCGGTCTGCTCGTCACTCGGCTCGATCAGCTCCTCGAAGCCGACGTTCTCGTGCACCTCGACACCGAGCAGCAGGGCCACCTTCAGCAGAATGCACTGCAGCTGTCGAATACCTGAAACGTGACGGAAAAGTGGGATTATGTAAACAGTGGCCTCGGGATTGAGGGGATAAGAAATAAACGCTGTACAAATGTGGTAGAGAAATATTGACTACAGCAGACCATCTATTGAGCTATTCAACTGCAAGACACATCACTTTTCAATATGAATGTAGGCATTCGTGTAACTTGGTCCAAGTGACCTACAACGGATGCCCAAATCGGCATCACGCTGATATTCGCTGATATTGTTCGAAGCAGCCGTAAAATTTTACTTCGACAGTCCGACACAGAATTCTCGCCAAAAATGTCATAGGATGCTGGCTCTGGGGCATACCAGCAATCTGAGTAGCCGCAATTAATGATGAAAACTCGTGTGTGGTCTAGAAAAAGTCCCCGGACTGACGACAGCACAGCCATTGTTTCAGGCCAGGCCAGCCCATTGACATATTGCGGTCTTCAATACGACCACGGTCAAACCAAAGCGCACAGTCCCCTCCTCCGACATACCAAATCACTGACGGCATAGTTTCCGGCCATCGCATATTAGGACATGCCCGTCATTATACACAGTCGCACAATCATCCAACTCCAGTACAGAACAGCGACCGACACGGAAACTTCGTGACCGGAGTGTGAAAATCCACGGAAAACCGACCGCTAACCTTCACAAATTGTTCGCAAATCTCAGTGATTCTCCCTGGTTGGCCGGTACCTACAGTTTCCTCCGTAGTGATCGACGCTGCTCAGACGGACGTGCCATTTCACAATCGAGCTGGCTAGTTGGCATCCAAACGGCGTTCGAGCGGCGAGCGAGCGAGCGGGCGAGAGGGAGGGCGAGGGGGAGGGGTGGGCGGTGGAGCGGTCACTCCGTAGTCAGCTGATACGGGACTCAAGGTGTTCGTGGAAACGCGCCAGCTGATCGGTAGTCGACGGCCGTCGCGTCGGTAACAGAGACAGAGTGAAGAGCAGGTGGAGAGAGTGGAGAGCAGGTGGAGAGAGTGGCCGGGAAAAGTTTGATAGGGAGTAGCAACTGGCGAGAGGTTTTGATTTACAAATGGGGATTCAAGGAGGTCTCGCTAATCAGAACCACACAGAACCGCAGCCGTCTCCAGCTTTGGGAAACCCTCCCCTCGCCCTTCGCCACAAAGTTGCAGCCACGGTTCTGCACCCCGCGTCAACAGAATCCGACACCAACAGCAGCGCGCTGGGGCAGCCTGTTTCAGGAGCCGTCTGTTTTGGAATCGAGCGGTGTGGAGCGGAGTAGCTGATCCCGCTCAAGAACGGGGCACAGCCGTCGATACGCTCCGACCCGGCACGGTCGCCGCGACACGACACACCGGGCGAGGTCGTGCTACGGTCGGGTGTGTCTGTATCGCTGTCAGAGAGAAGCTTAGGTTGCAGCTCGAGCGACAGCTTTTACAGCTGAGGCGTCTTTGACACCACAACTTGGGAAGACATGCTGTGTCGATCCTACAATCTTACATAAAGCAGCCAGGGACATCGGAAATTCGTGAAGGAAAGATAATTGGCTATTCAGGTAATGCGGCTCAAGGATGATGATGTCACGGGCAAGGTTGAATATAACTGTTAAAGCCAATTAGGCGAAAGACAAACGACCGGCATGATGATGACCGGGATAATCTAAAATAAATAGCTGAAAATTGGTTAGTCGTTATTCCTATGGCATGTGACGTGCTAACTTAAAAATTGAACGTCAAAAGAAGCACCTAATCTTACATGTGAAGAGCTAACTTAAAAATTAAATGTCAACAGATGCAACGAGAATGAAGTGCAATGAAAACTTTGTGAAATGAACAGACAAAAACGAATCCCCAGTCAGCCTTCGCAGACAGAATGAACAGTATTTAACCCAATCCGATTTAAGTGCTGCAGTCCGCCAGGGTCAGACAGTGAAACTGTGTCGTCCAGACCCGTCTCGGCTCGCTCCAATCCTCTCCACACAGACTGGACGGGCAACGGCACTCAGCCGGGGCTGAGCTGAGTGTCGTCCTTGGTAGCCAGCCGCAGTGCGAGACGAGCCATCGCCGGAACCCGCGTCACAGTTGGTAGGTGCTGTCATCTAAGGCGATTTTAAGCGGTGGTCTAGGTCCAGTGATGGGAGAAGCCACCTGTCATCGATGTATTTCAATGGCCATTATTGTCAGCCCATGACAGTTACTGCCACCAGCGGGCTTGTCCGAGAAAATCACTGCCCCCGGCCGATCGTGCATTCATTTATCGCGGTGAGCACTATGCATATAAGCAATTCGTAAGCAATGTGTGAGGCATTCGTGAACAGTCAATCGGGTATATTGTCATCGATGAAACTGATGAAATATCACGTCCCTCCTCGAACGGCTAGCTCACAGCGTTACCTCGAACACTGAGGCACACGCCCAATGCTCCGCACGCGTACACTGCAAATCGTGCCTGCGAAACTCCCGCCTGCTGCAAGATAAAACACACGCGACCGATCGTGCAACAACACTTTCCGATGAATCACTGCAGCTGTGCAGTGGTCTGGACGGCACAGACCGGCGGACCAGCGCCAAACCAGCGTCTGGTCTGTCGCTGGGCTGGTCTTGTCGGTGGCTGTCGACCAGGCCGTGTGGCCAGTCGCACAGGAGTCGGCCACTCGCCCGGCCACACACGCCAACATCCCAATTTGGATCGGTCCTCAGTCCTGGGCAGGTGCTCTACCCCTCCCTCCCTCCCCGTCCCACCTTAGACCGGTTCTTTCAGGGAGGGAGGCACCCATCGGTAGTCGGTACTCGGTACCCTGTTGGATGACGGTTTCGTCAGTTCGCTGGGTCATCAGGTCATCAGGGGCTCCTGAGACGGCTGCGAGACATCACTCGTCGCTAACACGGTCAAGCGGTGTCCCTAGCTCCACCCCTCGTCACTGCCCCCCCCCCCCCCCCAGCCCAGCCCTCGACCACCCCCAGTCCATCCTAAGCCTGGACCACTGGGCCAGCCAGGTCCGGCGATCTCCAGATAGCGTCTGAGGGACCAATGGAACCCGCCCGCAGATGCGGCACGGGCGTGGTGACCGTGTCACCCGAAATATGAACCGAGGGCGCGGTCGTGGCCAGGCACATGGTTCAGGCACCTGGTTAAAGTCAAGCCCGTTAGTAGAAGTTCTTACCAGTAAGAGTGCAAGGCAATTTAAATGGAGCTACATAAAACTTATAATCGTTTTTGGACATCAGCTCGGACTCGGAACAACATTTGAAACATCCTAACCACTTTTTAAATGTCGTTGGATACGACTGCTCTCTGGCAGTCAAAATGAAACGGTGTCCTAAATCGCGAATTAGTCATTACAGGCCCATGTGTCCGAACATACAACTAATTAAAATGTGAGCGATCGTTGGCTGCCCATCTCCAATTAAGAAGTGGATAATCTCTGATGACCCAGAGTGATACCAGCGCCAAACGGTTTGCGTCACTAAAGACACGGAACCGTTACCTTACCGGTTCCTTTCAGCGCACAACATCAATACGTCATGCAAACTCCTCTTTTTACACAGCACAAGCCACGCAGGACGGTGAATCCTTCACAAAAAGCCAACTCATCTCAGATTGAAGCTCAGCTCATTGTTTCGGTTTTGCGGGCACAGTGATCCGCACCTCCCGCCGTCTACAGGCCCAACACAGTGGCTCCCCGCAGCGGTGACCGTTCAGCTGTGAGTAATGACGCCTGTCCATCAGTCGGCGCCCTATGGCATCATAGGACCACTGCTGAGTGTCACAGCTTCGGAGAGAGAGCACCATCAATATGTCAGTGGCGCCGGGCCGCACAAATAATTGGAGTGGGTTTTGGAGTCGAGTGTGGTGAAGTTAGAAGCCCGCCGAAATTTTACTTACATTTAATGAGGGGCTCGCCACACTCTCCATAATGGAGCATATGAGGCGAGCAATGAATCTGAGAAAACAGCCCCAGTGACCAAAACCCGAGGCCACCTGTACATACCCACAATCAGCGCAAAACCTCAAGGCCAGGGGCATAAGTTCCAATCATTTCCACGAAATCCCCACGCGGCTGTGTGGAAACCACACGAGCCCGATAAGCCGCCGCTGATCGCGCCACTAGCCGCAGTAGCCAGCGGCTTATCCACATATGTTGACAAGCAAACACTGCCGCAAACACTGGCTATCGACAGTCCCCGTCCGGTAACCGTGACCACTATCAGTAGCGTCTAGCCGAGTTTAACCGGCCCAGAGAAGTGCCACGAGAGCCCAAACGATCACCGTCAGCCCGCAAGGCCTGTCCTAGAAACTGCCCCGATCCGAGGCGAATATCGACCCCGAAGAGTAGGACAGCCGTCCCACAAAACCAACCGAAGCGGATCTAATAGCGTCCTGCGCCCGATCATGTGTGAACCAGCAGCCCACATTCAGCGATTTACAAAAGAACGGGGTCATCCGTCCGCCGCACCACTACTTCGCTGCGACTGGAGATAATCAGCCAAATAGGGTAATCACGGGGTGAATGAGGTCCTGCCGGCCCTCTGGCATCAGTCGCTGATTGATCAAACAACCGATACCTACTGGACGAACTAACGGGAAGTCGGACCATGATACATGCATGAAAATAGCTGGCAAGCAGCCATGACTATTCGTGAGCATCCGTGTGAAGAGTTAGTTGGATTTTAGAGGGAGAAGTGACCGAAAGCTGCATCTCTGTTGCGACTCAAGATTGTGCGATTAACGTCTATCCTGTATTGGAAGCGGACACGGGACAACAAGAATGTGTGTGATCTCAGAAAAAAACGGACAGAAAAACGGAAACAAACAAATACAACGGGTTACAGACGGACAAGACCAGCCACCAGATGGCTATACAATATTCACAGATCAAGGGACAGACGGATAGACAGACAGACAAACATTTGAGCACGTTAAGCTACTCTGACAGATCAATAATCCGTCCATCAATACCGTCGCTACTAGCGCCTGTCAGTCGAGTGAATCCCTAACGTCAAACATGGACACAGGCCACCCATGCACCTTTCGAGCGCAGACGCAGTGACATCAGAATAAAAAGTCGCCGAGCCGGGACTATGTATACGGACCCGCAGGAAGGCAGTTCACAGAAAAACAGGGGACTCTGAGGCAACGCGCCGCGAGGCTGTATGTGCTCAGCGCGTGACTCATCACTCCACGTGTGGCACTTGTCACAGACGAACCGCAAACGCGATGACGCAGACCAACCGCAAACGGCAAGCAGAGCAGTCGGGGCACACGTGACAGAAACGGAACACGTGACCTAAACGGAAAACAGCTGGGGTGTCCAGGAGCCATCTGCGTGCAAAGAAACTACGATAGTGTAGCGATATCTATTCGCCATACGCTTTGTCCCTCCATACCATAGTTCGCAGATGATTCAACATCAGGACAGGCGAGTGCAACATCAAGCGAGTCCGGATATACCTGCAGTGAGTCACCCCGCGCCATCACCCCTTCCTCAGCCGCACTCCGATCGAGGCAAGGTTACAGAGAGGTGTTTACGCCGCTCGCAGGGCTTCCAGCCGGAACAACGTGATGGCTAGACGGCAGCTGTGATTTCGACAGTATCGTAGCACCGCCGTGCAGACGGATAGAGGATCAGCTGCAGCTCGGGGAGACCTGCAGCGTAGTCGAGAGAACACAGCTGGCACGAAGCGAACAACACTGAGCCGGGAGCCCTCAGGTGTGCCCTTGAAAAGCCGCACGAGTTGTAGAGAAAACTAGAAGCAGAGGCGAGATTGATCCGAATTATACGAGTTGCAACGGATGTGGTCGTATCTGAGGTCCTAAGCTGTGCCGTGCCGTAGGTACCCAGCTGCAAGTTGCAGACCGTCGCGTGACGCTTACAGAGCCGGTGATTCGCTAAATGATACCGGTTTCTTATCTTAAACACGATCACTCATGGTCACCGGACGCCGGCGAAACAGGAGAAAATAGGGAATTAGGATTCAGACCGGGTCTATACTGTCACCACATTCACCACACTGGCCTGAAGAGGCCCTATGGTGGTCGGGGTTATCAGGGCCGCGTGATGACGCTACGCAACCGAATAAGGCAATATCGGAATGTTTGTGTGCGAATGAAGCCTAACAGGTTTTACAAGCAAGCTATTGCTTATGAATGATGATAACAGATGATTTATGAGAGATTAAATGAAATCAACGTTGTATTGTACCACAGTCCACAGGTATTAAGCCGTAGTAGCGTTTCCATCATTTCAAGGAAATTATCAGATTCAGTGATTGATCCAAACGGCACTCCTGACAAATGGACCTCAAGACCTCATGAGCCTACGATTGTAACTTTTGAAAAATTCATAGCCACTCGAGTTGCCAAAAAGCATTTTAAAGCTAACAAACGTCAACAAACTTCTAAGCCATGCATCAACCGTAGAGCTGAGCCACCACCACTACCGTTGGCTTCGCCCGATAAAACAAGCCTTGGATAAAACTAACAGCGAAACAGGAGAAAGCACGTTACGAATTAGTCGATTTTGGCAGAGGAACTCCCTCCCACGTGCCGGGACCGTTCCTAGTGCCGCCTGGCGGCAGCCTGGAACGGACTATCGTGGGCGGAATGGGTCACGGGTTACAGGAGCTAGGGCCGAGGTAATAATCCGAAACGTGCTACCTACCCACGTGCCTCCAAGAAGAGATACAATGACGAGGACATTAATCGCCCGCGCCATGCGGAAAATCGACTATTCTCTTCAGCGGAGATTGACTGGTGTGCTTAGCATCTCAGCATATAACCATTGGCGCTGTTTTCGTCTATAAAGTAGCGCAGCAGATCATCGGTAAGATTGAGCAATGTGTTAACTATGCTCGCGCCAGCCGTTGGCACTACCATCATTCAGCGGAACTACGATTACCAATAGCCATGCACAGCACGACCAGGCCACTTCCAGAACACCGAAACTCAATTACTGCTAAATGAACGCCCATTACGTCGTGCACGAGCGCTTTCGGAAAGAAATGTAGTGTAAATGGAGCTGGAAACTCCCATGCGATTCATCATTGTAAAGCGTCTCAGGGATGTTAGCGAGACGGTTAATCTGCGTCAGGCACAGCTGTCCTGACCCACTCTCCAGAACAGCCCTTAGCGGCGTCTCGGCCAGTCATAGCTCAAAATCGAAACCATCAAACAATTTGCGTCCATGCTTTGACACAAAGTGAGACTCCTCCAGTTCTGCAATGGGCCAGGTGATCACAGAGCTCAAACAAACAGAGATCAGAGCGGAATCGGTAAACAAACAGACCTTCCGTGGTCGATTCAGATCGAGTTGGCAGTGGCTACAGTGTGGAGACTGGTTGTAACAACTGTGGGCGGATGCCGGACGTAGGGTGAGTTTGCCGTTCACTGACCTCACAGTTCCAGGAAACCCAGACTCATTAGCGGATATGACTCATCTAAACGTTTTTGTCTGTGATCAAAACGATCCGCAGCTTTGGAACGATACCTACTACTTCAGGAAGGATTGCCGTCGTGATCGTTTTCCGTAAATTTCATAACCTACGTTTGATTACCTTAACCAAACAAACTATATGTATGAATTTCGTAATTTTGCAAATGTATCTAACCGGACGGTCGTCGTCCTCCAAACGACACGCGCTAGCCAGCTTCTTCCACCACTGTCAGCCGCTGTCATTCTGAATCCCCCTGATGCTTCATCTCTCCGTCTCAGGCAGCCTGGTTGCCAGGCATCTGAGCCAAAATGGACACCAAGCGGAGCTGTGAAACCTCACACATCCTGCACAGCGTGGCGCGTGGCCTGACCGCAGATAGCGGAAACGAACCGATGCCAAGTTGCTACGGAAGCAGCCAAGACAGGAATCTACATTGCTATCTGGATGACATTGGATTGAGATCGTCCCTATCTGCCCAAAAAGAGCGCAGTCATTCGCTGAAATATGCTAATGGTCGGACGTTATACAGAAGCACTCGAGTCAGGCAGCTGCCTGAATATGATGTTGCTGCATTAAAATCTATCTCATTATTCAACCACTGCACGATGCAGCAGCATCTACAATCTAAAGCTTGCAACGAGACTACCATGACAAGTGACAACACATTTAAATAGCGCTTCCAACGGCCGTTTCAAAAATGTGGACAAGCACGCGAGACTTCAGTAGCTACTTGTCATGGACGGGGAACAATGAAGACCGCCAGCCTCTGGCCAATTAGGAGTCACCTGGTACACCCGAGCTGCATATAAAAGTGAGCCCTGACCGGCCGAGCGGCTTCTACATACCACCCCGGTCATGCATAACTCATCGCCTGCGCTCCCGCTGCTAACCCGGTCCCGACCCGACTTCGAAGACCGTGTCAGCCACCCGCTAAGGCACGGGACAACGTCCGGCCAGCTGCCAACGTGGTAATGGTGCACTTGCCTACACTCGAGTCACACCTGACCCTCTGTCAGCACTCCTGCAATATGGAGAGTGGGGTGCTCCGAGACCTTGGCAATCTTGGACATTGATGGATAGAACTTGTCTACGCATCAACCATTTCTTCCACATTTGAATCCGTTACCCTCCCCGATTCATCCCAACCTATTCCGTCCCGTCCGAACAGCCCCGTGACTTACTGATATGATCAATGGCTCCTGCGCAGAACTTGCCGAAGAACTTCTTAGCGCCGAGTGCCTTCAGGTCGTGGATGACCATCGGCCACAGATGGAGCACGTTGTTTCGGCTGAAGCGGTCTCTCTTCTCGAGCACGACCACCTTGGCACCGAGCAGCTGGGCCTCGATGGCGGCGCGCAGACCGCACGGTCCGGCCCCGATCACCAGCACCTGAGGGCAGCGCGACAGGTCAGAAACGGTTACACAATACACAGGGTTGTTATAAGGTCAATGAAGGTCATCGGAGGTCACTGAGGGTCACCATAAGTCACTGAACGGCCCAAAACGGTCACTGAATGCCATCCAAAGTCAACAACGATCATCGACGGCCACTACCGAGTAAAACTTCACTTTCTAGCACAAATACAAAAGCTTGCCCAGTTATGACTAAAGAGCAGATCACCAACGGCCATGAAAGGTCATTGACGGCGATCACAGATCTTTTATGGTCATTTGCAACCACCTAACCTACTGCCAATACCTGTAAGTCACCAAAGCAGGTCACAGACGGTCAGCGTCTCGGCAGAGGTCAACGGTTGTAATTCAAGCTGTGGGTCACTGCCTATCACTGAACCTAGTCGCTGCATACGAAACGCGCATGCATTAAGTGCGTTTGCCAGAAGACGTTACGGAGAGACGGCGACGATATTGATAAAACGGCGAGGGACGCAGATTGACAATTTGTCGCGGCATCCATGTTTCTTTTTCTTGACTTCGGGGACTTTGTGATAAAAGCAGGCAATGGTACCGTTCTTGTGACAAAATAAGCAACTCTTCCGGGTAATTGTGTGCTTCATTTAAAAAAAAAAAATAATAATAATGAGAGCAGCAGGTTCCAGTCTCACAATTTCTGGGCCGGGTTCTACACAGCTCTGAACTAGCAAGCCCCGGGAACTCGTAAATGAAACTAGGCCTCGCGGAAATGAAATCCGCGGTTCAATCATATGGGTCAAAGTAACTAATTGGGCCAAAGAAGCGATACAAGCAACTTTTACTTTTGCTTCTTTTGTTTTTGACCCCAGGTTCCTACAAATGCGAAAAGCACTTCCAATGCTCCCGGGGAAAAAAGCCTCAGAAAACGTTACAAGTACTGCGGTTGGTAAAAGATTACTGATGCCTTTACGCAACCTACTTGGAAGGCTGGCAACAACTCGGCGTTTTATGCGAGTTTATTTATGAGGTCCTATTATAAAGTATAATCGGGGCAGCGAGGTTCCGGAAAGCATACCGTTCTGCATTTTAAAACACGAGTTTGACCCATAGGCCGCAACTGCGGTCCAACCTTATCGTCAGGAGACCACAGAAACCAGTCATTCAGAAAATATCTTCCTTCCCCGTCCAAGATCGAGACAAAATCACCATCCGCGCGGCTAGATTGCGGAGCGATGGACCCACCAGAGCCGTGCTGCGTTCATCCATCTCGTGGATCACGCCGACAAAAACCCACAATACGACAGGTCTGAGCGACGGCGCCAGCCGGCGATGGGACAAGATAGCCCCGCCGCCGAGCCGCCCGGCCCGACCAGGCACGATAAAGGTCATGGCTCGACCGATGACGTCAGGACGATGACGTCATGAGCGCGTGCCTAACGGGATAGCCGCTGCGAGAAGAGACGAACGCAGCGGGACGCGGCAGGACGCTCGGAGTTCGCTCCTCAGCTGCCCCGCCAGCCTCCGGGCTTCAGACGACCTCTGGTCGCAGCAGTGCGCAGTTCAGAGCCGACAACGAGCGCTGAATACAAAGGGACATCGTCGGCCCGGGCTGCCCGCCGCGACGGCTGGTTAGCCGCTATAGACACCGCCGCTGGATGGTGTATGGCCCGCTGCTTCCCGCTGCGAACACGCATCGCCGTAATGAGCCCAACGCGGTGGTGATTTGTGCCCTCTCAGGCGATGAGATACGCCTGAGTGAATCGCGCTCAAACAAACACCTCTTGAATACCAAGCTCAACAAGGCAAGGCGACACCCCGACAGGCGTTTACAACGAACCATCGGACGCGTTGCGTCCATTGAACGCGCCGGGGCCATCGAACGCGACCGGATTCCACAGAAGCTCACTAGCTAGATGTTGAGCCGTGACGGTCATGGAGTGGCGAGCGAGTATCGCCGGCTATCGCTGGGGGCGGATGGGCTCGCTCGTTCACCGTCCGATGGACCCGAATCGCCTCCAAATATGGACGGGCCGGGCGCCGGGAGGGCGGGCGACGCAGCACCAGCAAGCAGCAGCGGTAGCGGCGGGTCCGCGAGCACCGGTCCCAGAAAGAAGAACATCAGACCAGAGATGTGTATCGGTACAGCGAGCTCGAATATCGCCGGTGACACTACCGAGAATGGCCGCAAGGTCGCTGAAATTCGATACCGGACCCCGCTGAGGCCACGGGAGTCCGGTGCGCAGGGGTCGGTTCTGTGAATAATGTAACGGCGTGGGGTAACCGGTACACTCCTCGGTGGTTTAGCACTTTGCAGCTTCGTGGCATACCTTTGTGTCAACACAGGCGTATCCTTGGTTGTAGCATTTGTGCGATGCCCTCTTGTCGAACTTGGCTAGCAGGCCTTGTGCTTTCCATGACTGAAGGCTGGCCTGAAACAGGCGTAGAAATGAACAAAATTAAAATGTGTCTAAAAGGGGAAAGGGGAAAAGGGGAAGGGGAAATGTGTCTAAAGGGGAAGGAAACCAGACAAAAAAAAAATCAGCTCAGTCAGCCAATACTGCGCTATATGTTGCTCAAGAAATAATACACACACACACACCTTTGACAAAATTATAGCTTGGATCATCTACTGTCACCGTCGCAAGTTTGCAAACATCACAGCATGCCAAAGTCATAATCATATCCACCACAAGTCACGAATTTCGGGAGCCCCACCCCTCCAGTGCAGCCCGTGGCATGGACCGTGAGGCAACTCGACCATCAGCACTTCACATTGGAAGCACAAACACGCCCGAGAAGATCGTATTAATCATGTCATGCTTTTAAATGAGGCAAACATCAAACCATGAGTCCGATTCTGCGGCAAGGGTAAGTAACTCGTGACACTTTGATGTTGTTTATGCACCAATAACCACCAAAGTGGCACATTAGGGGCACCAACCAACCACTGCCTATCTATTGAAGCAAGCAGCGAATCACGATCTACTGTTATCAAGATCAGATGAAGAACAGTTCATCCGCTCCCTCAGGGGAGCGGCCGATATTCAGACGACGTGATAAGCTCATCGCCCAAGCGTCCTGCCGCTCCCCTATCGCTACCGGTATATAGGGCCTTGTCGCTACCCACGCTATACATACATACACACCGCATCGTTATCTCAGTTCCTTCCCGCTATTGGGAATCAAACGGGGTCAAAGGGGCGCCGCTCACCGGTCATTGACCCCGAGGTACCGGGTACGTCTGTGGGACGGTTACTATCATCTGACAGCAGCGCGCCCCGAGTCATCCGCGAGTCATTTCAGATGACTCAGCTGGGAGTCTGAGCTCATCGCGGAATCGGCTGCTCTTTGGTGGTTCAATTTCCGGAATTCTATCAAATGTTCAGTGACTCACGTATTTATGACAAGACGCAATCTGCACTAAACAGTAGCGCTTCGTCACAACGCTCAACATTTTCAGCACTTCAGCAAAACCCCTGTCTTGTCACAATAGCGTCTATATCAATTCCTATCACTGAAACTGCCCCTTTAAAAGCAGCCATTTTTAGCAATTTATTTACTTATTAGCAGTTATTACAAGAAAATAACATTATGCCTAGGGTCTTGAAACCTCATGTTTTTTTATTAAGTGTTCAAATGAATGTTGCTCTGTGCAAATCTACCTTCGAATCCACACAATATGAGGTAGAAATGAAGCACCAGGCCCACGTTGACAACCAGTCAGCCCGTCAAGCTCAGAGCTCGGACATAGGTTTAGAGCGGCGATAACTTTTTTCTCCTCTCTGTTCCTTCGCTTGCAGTCAGCACTGTTTGCACTGAAAGTCAGTGCACCGGGCGCAGATACGCTGCATTTTATCTCCCAGCCTTTGTGGAGTAACGAGCCAACACTGTGCCACGTGGACCACCCTCCTCCCCCAATCTCAGACAGACCCAGCGGCCAGCGGCCAGCGCCAAGTCTTTGTGACCACAGGGGATGGCCAGCCGCGCCGCGCCGGTCGGATTGGCGGACCGCCCGGGGGTCGGTGGGGGGGGGGGGGGGCATCTTGTCACCGGTGTCTGGTGACCCGGTGTCTACCCCCCCCCCCCCCTCCCGGAGAGGGAATGACGGGGTGGCCAACTAGTCTGAGAATCTGGCCGGCCGCCCGGTCCCGAGAGCCGCGTCCCTTCTGGGATGTCCCCTATCAGCAGCCTTACTGCAAGCCCACAAACACCCAGAGTCACGAAGACTAACAAAGAGGCAGCATCAAGAAACCCACACAGAGTCTGGAAGCAGCCCTCGGTGTGCCAAACTCTCACGGATGTGACCGTCGTACCACGGCTATGAACCATCCAGGGGACGGCGCCCGTCAGCGCGGAGTCTCGGTGTCTGGCAGCGCCACTGTGGTGTATGCTGGCTGGTCGCCCGACGGTGGCGACCCACTCAGGTGGAGGAGGCTCCTGGCCGGCCGCCCGCCGCCCACCTCTCCTGGCTGACCCGACCCTTCCCCCACCCCTGCCCTCCGCTGGGGGTCGGGTACTGCTGTCCCTGGCTGACCGCCACGGATTAGACACGGCCCGTGACGCTCACAAGTCGTGACGGGTGACGGATGTGACGGACGTCACGGAGTGACAGAAGGCCGTGGGTAACGAGCGTGACGGTCGGCGGAGGAAGTGGTCACGCGGCCTGTGTTCACTGGTCACCGGCCGTGCCCACCTCAGACCACCATGCTTCAATCCACCAAACTGTCAATTTCCTCATACGAGTAACTACCCGCTTCTGTATGTATTTTCTGAATGTATGGCTTGCTCATGAAGATAGGCACCAAAAAACGATGGGATTGTTATATACGATGCTCTCCCCAGTTGCAACTCGTCGGTAGGTGGACGGCAAACAGTGCAGGAGGCGTCTACTATATGGAGTCTCGATGACGTGTCCGTATCAAAAATGGTGAGTCAGCGATGACTCCACTGAGTCATTGATGACGCCATTGATAGTATAATCACTGACCTCGGTTCGACTACTGCGACTCATCGGGAGATATAGGTATGTTGGAAAGGCCTTCAGCAGTACCCAACTGAACTTAGCTTGAGTTATTCTCCATTTATCTAAATCCGGAGATAACCGATCATTAGAAAAAAGACTGCAGTCATTTAGGGTGTCCGTTCGGGTCTACCTTCTATTCTCCGAGTCTAGAAATTACATAAGTTAGGCATCTAGGAAGCGCTCGTTCATCTGTCTTCTCCAGACCCTCCCACGTGATAACTACTTGACCGCTCTCCGACCCTTCCGTACCATTCCGTACAAGTCTGTCCAGTACCAGACCCCGGGGTCAACCACAAAGAGTAGCGACAGACAAAGGCGGATCACAGGCCACCTCACCTTGTCCACAGGGTCACTGAGCTTGGTGAAGGTCATGGCAAAGCTGCTCCCGCAGAAACGATGCCACAGGTGGTAGCAACTACCGAGCATGCAATAAGCCTATGTTCCTAACATATGGTTAATTTTACTTTCCCGTCCTCTTTACGTCACAATTAGAGTAATTAGAGAATCATCTAATCCTACATACCTAGATTTCTTCTGGCAAAAGCGCCATCGTTTATCACATGGCCCGCCCCTAGGCAAAAAATCGTGACATGAGAGGTCTGCAGTGTCCGCCGAGGTCACCGAACCACGACTTGCACACGTGTACCGCGTTATGGGCATCTAATGGGAATGACACACGGTATCTGGCCAGGAGGAAGGTACCCGTGATGCAGCTCCAAACAAGGTTATCTATCTGTCGTGACCACCCAGCCCAGAGGTCAAGGCCGGGTCACTATTGCACGCCAAGCTTTGTCGTCATCTATCCCATGACTCATGGTGCGAGGGGAGAGGGTAGGAAAGGAGAAAGAAATAGAGGACAGAGAATAAAAGAAAGAGGATGAGGGATGGAAAGAAACAAAGGGAGAGAGAGAGAGAGAGAGAGAGAGAGAGAGAGAGAGAGAGAGAGAGAGAGAGAGAGAGAGAAAGAGAAAGAGAAAGAGAAAGAGAGAAAGAGAGAAAGAGAGAAAGAGAGAGAGAGAGAGAGAGAGAGAGAGAGAGAGAGAGAGAGAGAGAGAGAGAGAGAGAGAGAGAGAGAGAGACTGAAGAGCATCCAGCAAGTCGCGGGTTAACAAGAAAGCTGTGTGTGTTTATCCAATGTCCAGCCTTAGGTATAGCCGGCGCAATCCACTCGGTTTCGGTTTTCACCTGTTTACGACAGCCTGGCGCAATGATTGGTGAGAGACCTGTCGGCGACAGACAGCGGTCTGAACAGAGAACAGCTGACACGTGCGGACAGAAGGGACGGCACCAGAGGCGGTGGTGACAGCGCTCGTAAAATCGCCGGAGAAACTGGCGAGGACGGATGTACCGGCGCGGGCTGTGGGCTCCCCACGCGACCACACACCCGTCCACGCCCGGTCAGTGACGGCGGCACGCAGGAGAAAATCGCAGACAGACCCGCGGGTTGGTCAGACAACGCCTCATCGCCGCCGCTTCAGCCGCCGAAGGTGGGTTTCGAATGACGCAATTCATCCTTCTGAGAGATACCAGACCTACGCAGTTCATCGCGGAGAAGAAAATCAACGCCAATTTGAAACGAAGTACAGAGAGGCTGGCTTCATCATGAGATGAGAAAACACCATTCTGAAGGGAGATGATGATGTTGAAATTTGAATGAGGATTTAAAGATGAGACGACAACGTGATGACGCGACACATAAAGGAATTACAACTGTAACGAGATCATTCATATGCATGTTTACGTCTAAGCTTCATCTAAAACCTTTTGCGTCGGAAGACATTGTTATGCTTTAGGAGCTGACACATTTAAACCGCGATGGCAGGACTTGCCCGTTCCGCCCATTCAGGCATTAGAAGGGCACCCTATTCTAACAGCCGGTTTACCGCAGGCCCATATGCATGTGTACACCGGGAATTACATAAGCCCAACTTTTGTGGGAGTAACCAATCATGCCACGCAAAATTAATCAATGTGGTAAATGATCATTGGGAGCGGCATAATTCGGTAGGCAGGTCGTAGCTTCTTAGTGTCACAGTATAGCTTCTTGAAAAGAAGATAATTACAGTTAGATTGGTCTGTTTTGACGTCAGCTATAGGTTCCTTATGAGCCTCACAGATGAGGAAAGAACTCATAAGCAAAAGCCTTTCCGCAAAGTTGCATAACCTCAGTCAACTCTGCGTAGCAAATTGTCACACATTTGGGACTAGGCAAAATGTGTGTGCCTGTGCAAGGCGCATATCTGAGATATTGCACATTCCTGGCAGTAAATACGTGTAGTAAATACGACGTAGAGATATGATTCAGGACATTGCCTGAGTCACAGTCACCGGGGACATAACTGTACCGCTATCAGATGCAGGACAACAGGCGAACAACGACGTGCATCGCATTCTCTGTTCTCCTTCCTTGAAACGTTAGCGCTATCTGCAGTCTACCTACACCCTCGCATATTGGCATTGGGCATATCGATAAGAACTTAGGTAGGTAAGTGTCCGAAAGGAATGACTTCTTCATTCGTCCTTGTATGCACAAAGACGTTCTGTTGTATGTAGACGTAACCTACGTTCTGTTGTAGCTATCGACTCAAATAAAAACAACTTGATGCAGAGGAAACATTACTGAGAATTGGTACACCCGGAACGTCGTCACCTTTGTCATTTGATCTATTGTAAAGCGATTAATTACAATATCACAATGTTCGTGCAATACGAGGTTTCTTCTAGCATATAGCAGTTTCATATGCTCTTCATTCATATAGCTAGCACACTTTACCCGGCTATACCCAAGATTATTTCACTACTCACTGTACCTTTACAGCAGTTGTAGGAAAGTCATCCCTTTCTCTGTGAACCCATCACTATAGCGGCCGCCGTCATAACACAATGGCAGCTCACCGCTTTTGTGAGCCGGTTTGCTAAGTAGGATACTTCTTACTCGGTACCAAGGTCAGATGAAGAAACCGAAAACACGCCACCGCTGTTACAAAACAACGGACAGGATCGCCTATTTTTGGAGCATGCCTTAGTTTAGCCACGTTAAATCACAAAGGGGGCGCTTCAAAACGTTTAGATTAAGCTAGATTCCATAAGATGAAACTGTTTTTAGGGCCTTGGATGAAACGTATCAAAATGTTTGCTGTTACGGTGCTGTGACAATGGATGATGTGCTTAACCCGCGCCGTGCTGGTGGCCTGAACTTTCCGCCGAGTGCTGGGGGGGGGGCGTTTTCACGCCCCCCCGTCTAACTCGGCTCCTGGGCCACGTAGCGACACGCGGTAAGCGGCAATCGAAAGAGCGTCAAAAATAAGGACGAAAACACTTCGGTCATTTTTTGGGTCAGGTCAAAGGTCAGGTCACCAGAGGTCACCAAAGGTAAAATGTTGACTATTTCAACATTTTGGAAACTGCCAACGGCTATCTCGGGAACCGATAGAGCTACAGCGCCGCGGAAAAGCGCATTCGATAGCCCTTTTACAGACCTTTCTGAGTAATGTTCTCAGATTTGACCTCAGGTCAACGGTTTAGCCTCCAGAGGGCAAAAACTCCAAAAATAGCCGTTTTTACGAAAAACGTTTTTTCGTCAATAACTTTTGACTCATAAGCGCCATGACATTACTTTTGCCAGCATCGTGTTCCTCTCGTCGAGACGCGTCGAATGAACTATTTGTTGACCTTGAAAGGTCATTTTGAAAATTTGACCTCAGGTCAAGGTCATGACCTGACCGAAAAGGGTCATGTTGCATATCAGTCGATCCGTATCGTCGAGCTGAACACATCTGACGTGTTTTCACCGCTCTAGCACGTCTCTATCAAAAGTTATAGCCAAAAAACTGCTGGCGACCGTTCATGACCTGAGATGACCTCAGGGGCACACAGAGGGGTCACAGGTGCATTTTTCCTATTCAGTGTGTCATGTTTACCTATGAACCGATGTTTGAGAGCGTTTTGAACGATATTCGTCCAAAAGAGGCGCATTTCAATTTTCTCCCATTGACTTATAATGGAGAGGTCGCAAAATTGACCTGACCTTAGGTCACAGATATCAAAAATCCGAGATATACATTTTATACATACTGTTACTCATATCAATCGCTGAAAGTTTCAAAGTGATCGTTCAGTCGGTGTAGCTATAGCGAGCCTTTGAACTTTTTCTGAGGTAAGGTCACTTGACGTGACCTGGTGACCTGACCTTGAACGGCCTAGGTCTGAAATTTTCACAACATGTGCGGAAATGATGTAGGAACACGTGTACCAAAAACGGCGGCGCTGCGCGCCGCCGTTTTTGAGATATTCGCGAAAAACCTGAGGGGGGGGGCGTAAAAACGCCCCCCCCAGCACGGCGCGGGTTAAATGAATCGTTGTTTGGCGAATGTAATATACCTACCTATTCATCCAGCCCCTTGGAGTAGACTAATATGGATCTTCACATCATCCGGTTCTCAAAACATCACCAATCACCATTCACCACTAACTCTCTTCAGCCCTCCCGGCTACACTTCTCTCTTCTTCTATGTATACCAACTCAGCCGATCACTCGTCACTCACCTTCAGTCTGGGGTAGAAGTCGGGGAACCTCGCTGGCCTCAGGTCCAGCGCCGTGCACAGTCGCCGGTAGTGTGTGAGGATGCTGCGGAGCGTCTGTGCCGCGCACAGGTGATCAAAGTGATCGGACGCGTGACCCGGGTGGGTCGCGTCCGACGGAAGGCTGCTGTGAGGCATCGCGGCGGCTCCGAGCGGTCACAGAGACGGGGAGCGACTGTCGACCGGCCGCCACGCATCCTGGAACACACGTCGGCAGCGCGCGTCAGCGCCGGGATACAGAGATAAGGCGACGCTATCGACACCGCGCCGAGCGAGCGCAGCGGAGTCTCCGTATAAGGACGGACATACGAGCCGAGAGTACACGTGTTTACTAATACGTGTGGCACCCCACGCGGCGCTCGAGTGGTGGGTATGACGAGGTGAATATGAAGTGATAACTGACATCCGTCACAGGATACTTTCTGTTGGATTTTAGTGGTCTCGGGAATCAGGAAACATCAGACTCATGGTTGCGTTATACCTGTTACGATGTCACACTCTGACTCGAAGCTGACCATATTCGGTCAGTACTCTTAACGTTTGGCATCGTGGGCTTGGCTACACTGATAGTAGGGAAATACTTGAGAGTTGAGACAGCTTTACAGGAAATTGAGATCGTATTATGATTTGAGTGTTCTTGATAGGAGTACCAACACCCAATGAATCAATGGCTAGTGAACTTATGTCAAGGGCAGATAACTAAATGATCATATCTATCTGTAGGCTTATATGGCATGATGATGACATCACGGGATCTCAGAAATGTCATCCCGGCCGCAGCGGTCCATATACGGCTACTCGACAAACATCGATCGTCAAGAGCCACTGGCCACGCCGGGCTCTTACTGGTCGGCCGGGTCGGAGGGACAGCCACTTTGTCCACACGACTTTCGCCGAAATTGGAGGCAGTTTCTCGACATAGACAGACGCGGACGCCGGCCGGCCGGCCGGTCTGGCCCGCAGACACACATACACACAGCCACAGGCTGGGTGTGTTAGCAGCCGCCGGCCATAACACTCGTTTTCACAGTATGGGGAAAGAAAACGCGCCTCGGGTCTAATGGACCGTGCAACTGACCATGTGAAAGCAAAAGCTGTGCAGGGTCTAAACGAGCAGAAATCGCCAAATTAAACTACTGCTGTGGGCCTTGGCTCTCGGCAAACCACACTAAGATTGTTAGGCGATAGTGGCGTAATTACACAGCTGGCACACCAATTCAATTTCACGCTAACTACCACGTTAACAGCGATTTTCTTTTCTGATATTTGATCGGGTGAGATGATGAATCGTCCAATGAAAAAAACTACCTACATTACGGAAGAAACAAACTTTTGACGCTATACAGCCTACATGACCAGTCTTCTGCCACAGTCACCCGTACGTCTAGGTATTTTAGACCGTGAAGTGTCAGTAAATGTTATAAAGTACGAGTAAGCTAGTTCCCCAAGCCAAGCTAGTCCTCAGGATATCTATCCAGTCATAACTCAAACCAGCCACCTATCTATATCTATTCCTCGTCCACGACAGTGATCTATCCAGCCATCCCTCCAGATTACCAATGCAACAACCATATTCTCCCCCCCCCCCCTCGTCCTCGAGTCATCCCTCTAGTCAGACCTCGAGCAACCCCTTCAGTCACCCCTCCAGTCATCCCTCCAGCCATCCCTTCAGCCATCCAGCCACCCATCCCTCCAGCCATCCCTCCAACCATCTCCCATCCCTCGAGTCATCCCTCCATCCCCCAGCTATCCGTTCAGCCCTCAAGCCATCCTTCCATTTATCCCTCCAGTCATCCCCCCAGCCATCCCTCTATTTTCCCCCAGCCATCCATGTAGCCATCTCTCCAGCCATTCCTGTAGCCATTCCTCTAGCCATCCCTCCATCCCCCAAAGCCACACCTCTAGCCATTCCTCCAGCCATCTCTCCAACTCCGTCTATCCAGCCTCCAACCACCCCTCCATCCCCCCCCCCCCCAGCCCTCCCATCAGACGGCCGGCCGCTACCTGGCACTCAGTTCACTGCTCTGAGTTGGCTTGGCAGACGGCGCTCCTCGTGCCATTAACCTTATTGCCACACGGCTCAGCGTTGGACGACTTCCCATGAGAACAGAGATGGTCATCAAGTCAGGTGTTGTTTGCGCTCTTCCGTCAAATGTCAATAAACAGGGTTGATGAGCATGGAGTGATTAAACTTAATTAGCACAGGTAGCGTTATGGGAGAGAAACTCGGCTGAACAGTTTGTCGCAGGGGCGGAGCTTCATATTCACTTGGTGGGGCGGCTGCCCCACCAACTTGCCATTTTGCCCTACCAATAAGAGTTTTGCCCCACCAACTTAACCTTCCAGGCGGTGGGGGGGGCATTTTTTTGCCCCCCCCCCCTTTAGTTTTTTCAATATATCTCGAGAAGTGAGAACCGCTGCGCCGATCGTCACCAAACTTTCAGTACCCTCCCGGGAGCAGCTAGCGCACATGTTGACCAAAAATTTTTCCAAAGGCTATGATAGGTTGGCCGCTAATGACGTCAGAGTGACGTCATTTTTGCCATTTTCGACCCAAAAAAGGTTTCGCGGGAAGAGCTGTCAGGCCTACAGCTTTAGAGATACAGAAAAATGTTTCAGACATAAAAGGTGTGGAATCAAAAGGCTACAAAACTACTATTTCGGTTTTTCGATTTTTTTGGATTTTGACCCCCAAAAATCAAAAAATATATTTGTTGAATATAATAGCCAAAAAATCCAAAAAAAAAATTGAATTTCGAAAAAAAAACGGAATATATATGATAGTCCCTACCGCCTTCTATCTACATACCAAATTTGAGATCGATACCTCTTTTTTTGGCCAAGTTATAGCGAAAAAAACTGTTCAAAATTGATGACGTCAAATTTTCAAACTCAATTTTTAGCAATTCTAGACCTCGTAGCGCAAAACAAAGACCACCATTAGACTCCCCGTGACAAGCTGCATCGAATCAATACCCATTTTATGCAAAAATATCAACTTTGAAATTTGACCTTTTTTGACCTGACCTTGACCTGACCTCCACCAGAAAGTGACCTAAACCGTACCTGATGGTCTTATAACCAACACCATTGAGTTGGAAATGAAAAACTGGCCATAAAACATGCATCGCATAACCTTAGTAAAGTTGGTCTCATGTGGTGACCCTTGGTGACCTTTGGTGACCTGACCTGTGACCTGACCTGGTATGACCGGTGACCTCTAATAGCAACATATGTACTAGACAACTGACGCCTCATCGCTGATTTTCGACAAAATGCGTTTTACTCGGTGTTATAGCGCTTTCCCTAGAAGCCCCGTGAACGGTGAAACATTTTATCTTTGACCTGACCTGTGACGTCATCGGTGACCCCGAGGTCAATGAAATTTGGTTTCCCTTCACAAATTTGACAGGGCTATCGAACACCGTTTGAATTTTCCGGATCCGTCCAGTAGTTTCGGAGATACGGGGGGGGGGCAAAAAATGCCCCCCCCCCCCCACCGCGCGGAAGGTGGCTGGTAGGCCCACCGCCTGCCGGGTTAAGCCTATTTGCAGGACTTAACTGCTTGGCAAACCAATGTTTTTCACATTGAGGAGCTTTGAAATGTCTGTGTAATGCAAAGTATTATCTCTGTAATGAAAGGAATTGATTCATCGTTACGTTACATCGTAGGTTTGACAACTTTTTGCCCCACCAACTTTCCGCACCCATGGTTTGTCGGAGGAAGAGGAGAGGAACGGTTATTTCCAAGATTCTTACATATAATTTCCACAAATTCTGGAGTGAGATCGCGTAGAAGCAGGCCGGTACCTATTGCCTTGTTTCAGCCGGGGACAAATGGGAAGTCAACAGCAGAAGACGGCTGTCCATTCTTGCGAGACACGTGGCAGGGTGAAGGCGTATCTGGCGAACTTGGACGTTCGAGAAGATTCGAATCCGTGAGCCTAGTTTCAGGAGTTGGTTTGGTTTGTTTCTTTTTCCTTTGTTTTTGGGCTCTGGCTCTGAGCCGAGGATCGGGGTGAGTCGTTCCTGGAGTCTTTTTGCACGGCAAAAGACTTGGTTAGGTTTCTCTTGATCTCTGTCACCGATGGGATAGATCAGGAGGATGGGGCCAAGTAGGGCCAGTAAGAGAGTGCGAGAGGACGATACGGTTGTTAATTTCTGGAGTGAGGATGATGATTCTGGCAGCTATCTTTCTGTTAAGCTGCAGTCCGGGCAGCCTCTGAAGGAAAGAGGGTGGCCATGGATTCAGATGTGTGTCCGTGGGATTCTAGGATCCAAAGACAAAGTGGACAAAGCAAACTTTTTGAATGATGGTAGATTACTACTTAAAACCAAAGACAGTGCCCAAACCGAGAAACTATTGAAAGTGTGTAAGTTCGGAGATGAGGCGTGTGTGATCGAGAAGGATGAAAAGCTAAACCAGAGCCGGGGGACAATCAATGCCCCTGATCTCATGGGCCTTCCTGAGGATGAAATCGTTGGTTGGTTGTCCAGCTTCGGGGTGGTTGCCGCCCGTCGATTCACTCGGAGAGTGGGCAATCACACGGAGAAAACCCCCATCATTCTACTGACATTTGACAGGCCCACATGTCCTTCCAGACTCGAATTTGACTATGTGGTATACCAGGTTCGCCAACACATTCCCAACCCACTTATATGCCTGCAATGTGGGAAGTACGGCCATATGCAGGCAAGGTGTCAGGCTGAGGCAGTATGCCTTAAGTGTGGTGAGCAGAAGCACGAGGGCACATGTTCCCAAACATGCATCCACTGTGGCGATGGCACACATGACTGTCTTTCCCGGCAATGCCCCAAGTGGAAAAAAGAGAAAGCTATTTGTGAAATCAAAGTCACCAGGGATGTCTCCTACGCCCATGCGCGTCGATTGTATGACAAGGAAAACCAAACCCCAAACATTAGGCCCTTCACCACAGTGGTGCGGGGCAACAGTGTCAGTGATACTCCGTCGGATCCATCCCTCAAAGCACAAGTGAGCACTATCGAACAGAAACTGGACAAAATGATCACCCTCTTTGACAGGTTCTTACAGCTCCAGACAGGACCAGGGAGGAGTGATGTCAGTGCACGAGAGGAAAACCAAAGAGGGCAGGGAACCCCGGTCTCTGGACAACCCCCTACTCCAGCAGCTACAGCCCCCAGGCCTTCGGTGCAACCCAATATTGACCAAGACAGTG